GAAGTACAGCATTTACTGAAGGTTCTCAAAAGTAAGTCTTGCAATTTAGCAAGTCTCTTACAAACTTTGAGACTAATATTTTGCGTTTTATCATTGCAAAATTTATGCATCAACTTATTATTCGCCTTTTAACTTCAAAATAAAAAAATACCAAAAGTGGCGGATGTGTGAAAGTGGTTATATGAACTACGAGTAACAAAAGTGACTGTTTTATCTCCGAATCAAAAAAAATTTATTGCTTTCATCCGCCACATTTGGTATTTTTATAAGTTCCAAACAAAGAAAAAATTCCTTGTCTTTGTCAGGTTTGCCAAATTAGAAAATCAAATTTGACCCTAAGCGGTCTCAAAAGCTTCGAAATAATTTCTTTTGAGCCGCATTCACAATATGATCTCTTCGTTTCCTACCGTCCTTCCCCCTTCCCCCCTACCCCCCCCCCCCCCCTCGCAAAAATATTTTTCTAGAAAACCCTGTAATAATTTTATCCAGAACGTCCCCAATTATCATCCTTTCGTTTGGCACTACATACCCACATCCGTGATTGTCCCCTGGTTGTCATGGAGAATTGAGCTTTGGCATGCAAATTGCGCATAGGTGCACTTCAATTACCTAAATCGGAGATTCTATGCATAATTGATCAACAAATTACACTGCACCAACGCACGCAAGGCGTACAAGCTCTCCCTGTCTTCAATTCTTTTCTTCTCTTTTTTTTTCGATCGTAGAAAATGAATATAATCTGAAGTACGTTACACTGCAAGATTGCACAATGGAGTTCACAATGAACTTTTTCAACTTCTTTAGTAAAACCTAGAAATGCAACATACTTCACAGGCAAGGAAAGAAGTTCTTTCCGTGTGTTTCGCTCGCGCAAGTAGCGCAAAAAGACCTCGTGCGCACTATTAAAGGCACCACCCAATCTGAGTATTCTGAGATTTTGGGGCAGTATAGTAGCGAAGCCTTCAAATATTAGTGGCCCAAGTGCCGCTGCAGAAGACGAACTCCGAGGCGAGAAAATCGCTTTAAAAGGTAGAAGCGGTTCAAATGGCTCCGCCCATCAACGTGGGTGGTCTGAAAATAATGAGCTCCAAAGCGGACCTTAGGGTAGAACAGAAATGTCGAAAATCTTATAATCATAATGAACGGCGGATTTATGAGGATTCTAGCTAAATATATTAAAGCTCGATCGCAGACTTTTTGTCTTAAGACCACCCACGTTGATGGGCGGAGCCAACTGGGACGCTTCCACCTTCTAAAACGTTTTTCTCGCTTCGGAATTCATCTTTTGCAGTGAAACTTGGGCTATTACATAGTTAGGGGCCCCGCTTCTATGCTATGTCAAAATTCCAAAATCATCAATCTGGGTGGACAATCCCTTCAAGCCGTTGCTAATGAATCCAAGGTTTTAATTGAAATGGCCAAGAGAGCAACCATTTCACCAATAGCTGTTGACATTTCGCTCTGAATTAAATTGTGAGGGTGGAACACAAAGCGAAATGGAGAGTGCATGCGTTCTCTCCAACAAAGCATTGTAGTTCAATGTTTGTGTGCAGCCGTGAATGGTGCAAATGCCCCTATTATTGCCCTCTACCATACTCTTCCCAATGCGCATGCGTTAATCAGAATATTCATAAAAATATAGGCACACACATTTTCTGCAATGCTCTACCGGTCACTACAGCCATAAAAATTGTCTGAGATAAGTTGTGTACATATTTGCCCTCTGTCTACTCCCTGCATTTGCACCAAGATTCTTGGCAAAAACGAATGTTTGGTGTTTTGAACATGAGCAAAAAGTACACAGAAGTAAGGCGGGCGTGATTCAGAAGGTCTCCGTATATAAAGCAAAAAACTGTCTGGAAAGAGAATGCACCGTTTTTATTCTCTGTTCTTTTCTTGGCAAAAACTGGAGTTTTGCTCGCCAGTTCAATGATTTTGTGATTTACTCGATGAAATATATCTTCGAATTTCACGCAGTATAACCAGAAATTGTTGCATTTTATTTGTACAGGAGATTATGAATTCAATGAAAATGTTGTGTATATGGTAAATAGTCATTTGCACTCGGCTAATTCGTGCAATTACAGATTTTTAAAGATGATTTGCCCGTGAAAGTCAGACGTTGTTTTTCATGCTCTACCTAGTCTTTTGCTGTTCAGGCCAATCACGTTGGAAACATCGCCATGCATATTTTACATACAACTCAAGCGTCCAGCATTCCTTTAAATATGCAGTTGCGCGCATTCGACAAGAAAGGTGTGGCTATAACCTGTAGTATGTACAAGTTTGGTTTGAAAGTCTTGCGATAGAATTCAAAGTGCAATTTTTTTCTAGCTTAGAAAAGTCGTCTCAATCAGCTTAGCTTATGTCAGAAAGAGAATATCATTCATTTTACTATAGTGCTTCAGGCAAAATCTTGACATGTCATGAAGATACGAGCTAATAAATATAATAAAAACGAACAGCTATCATTTCTCAAATGTGGTTGTGAAATTAGAAAAAAGTCTAACAAGATTGGCTTTACTTTTGAGCGGTAAACGACTTACTTTTGTGCTGAGAGGGATTGAACCTGACGGGCTGTTCTACGAGTAGTTTTGATTTTCAACTTTTTCAGACCACATTTGATTTTATTACTTATATGATCTCGAATATGCATTGTAAATTAGTTTGATTAGAAATAGAATGTAACGCAATGTAAATGGAATTGATTTACATTTTGCTTTCAAAATGTAAATAAAAAAGGTTTTTTAAGCATTTTCAAAATGGAATTTTTTTTGATTTTGTGCAAGACTTACGGCCCAACCTAACATTTCTAGCGTAATCACATAGATTCCCTTTTTCTAAATAAGGTACACTTTCAAGATTCAAATATTTTCCACGAATTAGTCTGTAAAAATTTTTTTCTGGTTCATGGCTGCCGCCACGCCCTCCCTATAAAATTTCGAGGTTATAGGCTCGCAAGAATCTTGAAAAGGCACCCCGAAAACATTAGTGTGCTTGGCTAATGTGGCGTTAGCCTCGCACCTTTACGCGAAAAAATTTTGTTCCGCTATCTCGAACGGAAATCCTGGGACCGCCACTGATCCTAAGCGGTGGTTTTCATTTCTCACTTCCAGTTCGAAAGCCAAGTGCTTATGCATGCAAAATATAGTATCGCTGTGCTATCGTAAAAAAAATCTCCCTCCCCAGCACAACATAAAATCGACATTCGCTTTCTGACATGTGACAAGAAACGACGACATGTGCAAGGAAATTGCACAGAAAGACTCATAAAACTCGAACGATCGGGGGTAGTTTCAGAGGGGAGTCTCACATCACACATGTTTTCGTCATCCATAAATGACGATGTTCGTTCGTTCGGGTTAGGTCGGTCGGTGTCAGTGGAACCGGCTGACGACCAAGCGATGACATGTTCGAAATGTTCGTTGGGGGCATAAAATGTTAGAGGGGGAGTGCAAGTTGTTCAGATTGTTAGTGCAATGTAGCCGCGTCCGATGAGGGAACACAGCGCTCGAAACCAGAACTGAGAGGGGTTCGAGCCTGAAATGGAGTGCGGCTGATGGTCGAGCGGGTGGTCGCCCCCGCCACCATCACCCGACCATCGTCGCGCCCCGCGCTCCGACCCCGCGGTTCAATTGATCGCTGCCTATCCTCGTCGCGCTCTACCCCGGCGGCTGTGTGTCGTTACCACATTCTGCAATTCATCTTCATTTATTACTTTTTACTCCAGGAATGGGGCCAAGCTGTTGCAAAGCCCCTGTACTAAATCGCTGCAAGAAAACTAGCTCCAATCGCAACGCACTCGAATGAATCACGTGTTTTTCACTTTTTTCCTCCTCCAAAGATCAATGCGTCATATCCTCCTTTCAATCTCGTTTTTGATATCAGCTTTATCTCTCCGTAGCTTCTTTGTTTTGTAGATAAGCAGACTTCTTTTGAATCTGTGGTGATATTTTACCAACAAATTTAATTGTTTAAGTTTCTACTAGATTTCGTTGCAAATTATCGTAGAATCGATGAAGATTTTTGCGCAGATCGGATGTCATCTGATACATCCGTTGATCGTCGTCTTTTATTATTCAGAGACGCTACTGGGTCTTTCTTTCGTTCCTTTCCGTCGCCACCCCAGTACAAAATCTAATTAAAATTACTTTGAACTTCCGGTACTTGGGTCTTCGACAAACTCATCACAAAATCTATCTATGTTTTAGCGGGTTACGGTAGGTAGACGGTAAGGAGTCTATATGCCAGAATCTGCAGAAATGTTGGTGGAGTTTTTCGACGTATTGACGAATGTAAAAGTCGCTTATTAGGGGTAATTCCGGATCGCAGGGTCTGAGTTAGTGAGGGTACAGTTTAGCGCCTTGTTCGGAAATCTGTGAGGCTATGGTAGGCATTCGGGTAAGTATGGATCTGTTGCATTGCGGACTTTTCTACGCTAACGAAAATAATGTTCAGTTATTAGTAATTATTTCCCTTATCATAAGGTTAGAGCTAGCGTCCCTTCTAATCCTTACTTTTTGAATTATGTGAAGCAGATGGAAATGAATCATGCCATAAACTTCTCAAATAGTCTAATCGTGCAAGATTTTGACAGACTTTCCTCAGGCAGACTTCAAACTTATCCGCTTAGCCGCTTCATCCTCTTTCCTGATTGGTTAGATTAGTGATTTGACCTATCAGCGAAGTGGATGAAATGGATGAGCGGATAAGTCTGGCGTCTGCCTTATCACACTCTTACCGTAATCTGTGAAAAGTTTTGCTTCACGGAGTTGGCATCTTTTTTTTTGCGATGAGCAATTGAGAAAGTGTAAAATATCTGAGGTTATATTTTGAGTTGTTCAATATAGAATACTGGGGTTTTCTGCAGTTTCAGTTTAAGGCGATGATTTCTAGTTTCGTTTACACTATCTCACTAATCCCTATTCTGACTGCCTCACCCTCTTTTCCTGTCACCGTGCATATCGTCTAATTGATTACTATCATTCACTAGTGTAGTCTCGTTCTTTTAGCGGAGCGACTTGGGAGAGACGTTGGTGCCGATGACTGTGGTGTGATTCATCGACACGGCTGCCACAAACCTATTCGGCATTTCGCTGCTATTCTGAATGTTGCAACGCCTTTCAAGTATTGCCAAGAAAGCTTTAAACGCTCAACTGTATAGAAATGTCTCTCGTCCAAGTACAACGTTCGCCTTCACCGTCAGTCGGCGACGAAAGTGAAGTTTTGGTGAGTTAGTTATTGAGTGTTTGTTTTTTTTTCTTCTGAAAGCTGAGTTGCTTTGATCTGTTTGCGGTTTACTACATTTCTCGGAAGCTTTTTGTTTTTTTTTCTACGCCATGAGAAACAAACATTTGAGCTTTCTTTCGTAGAGACTATTGGCTATAATTATAGCCCTTTTTAGCTAACGCGTGTTAGCCTAGCAGCAAAGTGTTTTGTTCGATTAGCAAACCGGCATGGGACATTATCAAACCTAATGAATTATACACATCTTCAAAACGCTGATGTTGAAATGAGGATTAGGGGAGAAAGAAAATTGCTTAGGCTGGCTTTTGACGGCTTATATCTATTTTCCGCTAGTTCACTTTTCGGACGGAGATTTTTGCTAGCATCTTGATGCAAATTTAGCCGGTAGGCTTGTAAAATGCAGTGTTATTGAATATACCATACTCTCTGTGAATACCGAGCAAAAACACCTCATTTTATCATGATCTTTTATGACGGAGAATTTTTAAATGCAAAACTAAGATATTTGAAGAAAGATCCTAATTCAGCCTACGCGGGTGATAAATATTCAGTAATGTTGGGATTTAGGTAGAAGAAAGCTGCATTTCTCATGCTTCACTGATTGTGGGTATACAGAATCTTCTTTTTTACTGAAGCGTTATATCAAAAGTAAAGCTGCCGTACATGTGCATATGAAATTCCACTATTTTGATTTGCTACCTGCTACCTGATTTAGCTTCTCAGAGATCCTGCTGGGCAACGCTTTCTTTTTCAGGAGTTCGATGAGTCAAGATGCTCGTCGAGAAATCGAAGCATGTCCGAATGCTATTTTGCTGTGAGAGGCGCCGCGGTCATCTTACCTCACAGGTCTGCTTTATCAAAATAGCTTAGTTCGCACGCCATTGTATTGTTTTGCAGCGATAACTCACCGACATGTTCTCATGGGTCCGCAAATGGAGCTGAAATTGAAAGTCACCTTCAGTTGATGTTGAGGCTTTTGAGACCTCAAGACAAAATGAGCATGGCAGTCCGACTACAAACTCAGGTTTGATATAACGCATTCATCGATAGCAACAAACTTTATCGCTAAGAATGTTTAGGTTTCTGATCATGTAAGATATCTTGCCGTTGTTTCAACTCACGATGTGGATAAACTAACCCTTTTAATTGGCATGGATTACTACAAAGAAAATATGACGTGAGTCTCTTTTTTTGGAGTTAGTTTTTCAAGCAGGCACATAAATAAACCGCCTCAGTTATCTTTCTTTCCAATCACTACATGTCATTTCAAGAGCGTTCCAGAAAAGTGACGAATCTCTCGTAAATCTGATTATGTAATCGATTTTCTAATCCTCTCTTTGTCCAAAGCCATAATTGAAATCTACTCTGAAAAAACGTAATTGCTGAAGAAGCTTTCAATTGTTTTTTAGTTCACATATCAACTTGTGAATGAATAAATGAATTTTGCATCTTCATATTCGATCCAATATTTCCTGTATTCAACAAAAATTATTTTCACCTTGTATCATCTATTTGTTCCAGAATAGGAGTTGTCTTGCCGTTACTATGGTGTAGCCGAGTAGAGCTGGCGGGCGATGGTGGTGTTGCAGTATATGGGTCCGGATCGTGCAGTAAGGCCGACAATGCCCTTCTTTTCCGACCAGTTTCGGTGCAGGCCATGTGGTAATATTTTCGTACTCTTTTTCATTGTCCATGTTTCGTGTCTTATTGTTCTTTCTTCATATTTGTTCATTGTTTCCATACTTATTGGGCAAACCACTTTGAAACTGCTTTTCATCTGTGTTGAACACCGCTGTAACGAACACTTTGCGGAAATACATACTCGCGTAATTTTCACTCGAACGAATTCTTCGGGAACGTTTAGACTAAGAAGTGGAGATTGTTATACACCTTTGACTTTAGCTTAAGCTTCCGTTTTGAAAGCTAGTATGTTCTAAAACGAGGTCACCCGTAGCGTTATAAGCTCGAAATTACATTCGAATAGATGGTAGTTTCCTTGGAGATTGCTTCTAACTGTTCAGGTTCGTGTTCCAATCATTACATAAGGAACTGGATGGCACACGTCACGAAACGAGAAGATTACGTGAACCAGCAAGCGCAACTGAATATTATATGGACAAAATCTCCTCTCCAGATTTCCTCTGTGCACAGTGGTACGTCACTTTTCATATTCATTCAAAGTTTTTCGATGTTTGATAAATAAACTGACTCGGTGCTTCAATTCAGTTCTTTGAATTGTCTTGTTAAGGCAGCAGTCCCCGATGGAATTTGATGATGAAGATGAGTTGAAAGCCGACACAGTTCGAGATCACTTGTCTGAGGAGGGGAAAGCGAAGGTAAATTGTCATTAATATCGATAATAATTATTTTCATAAATTTGTTCTAATGTAACGAAGGGACTACTTTATACGACTCCAATCGTAAATGATTCGAATAGGAGTGGGTTTTCAACCAAAAACTAATTTACAGGAAGCATTGTTGCGAAGAGAATTACGGCAGATCATGCAAAGTGTAGATTTGGACAGCGTCACAAGTCGTGATATTCGTGAAGCCTTGGCCCAACGTGTGGGCTGCGTGGACGGACACAAGGTACCTTCTGGTCTGTCAAATTTTGAGAAAAATGCAGTTGTTCTCAGGATTTCATTGACCGCGAAATGTTGGTCATACTGGGACAAATGGATAAACCAAGTCGTATATTCCCTTATCTTCTTCTTGGTACCGAGTGGAATGCATCAAATTGGGAGGAGCTAAATCAAAATAAGTATGTCGACATGTCAGAATACTGTCTTTACCGTTCTTGATCATGCTATTTCAGTGTCGGTTATATCTTGAACATGACTCGAGAAGTTGACAACTTTTTTCCAATGCATTTTAAATACGTAAAGATCTCAGTCCCTGATGATGCTAGCACCAATTTGCTGAATAACTGGAATCTTACCTATAGTTTTATAAAGGAAGCGAAGTTAGTTGATTCGAGTTTTTTTTCACTGAATTTAGAAATACTTCGTTTTTTAGAGAATCGGGTAAGGTATGCTTGGTGCACTGCAAAAAGGGCATTAGTAGAAGTTCTTCGACGGTTATCGCATACGCTATGAAAGAATACGGTTGGAGTTTAGAACATGCACTCGCGTATGTGAAGAACAGGAGAAACTGCATCACTCCAAACAAAGTATGTTTTTGAACGAATCTTTTCGATTTTTCTTGCCCTCGTTAGCCGGAAGTTGTGCCTAATTGCAAGAAGTTTCCGAATAGTGAACGCATACGCCTAGTCTAACAGTTTGGGCTCAGTTCATGCTTGGCAACGGTAGGATACCCGGGTTCGTTCGCTCCGTATTGATATACCCAGATGTCACCCTTCGTTTTGTTTCTGTGCAACATCCCTTCCTCTATAGCAACTCCCACCTCTTCCCAGTTCATCGTTTGAACAGTTCCGTAATTAGCATGCTCACACACCCTTTGTAACGACACCCATTGCCATAGCTCGAAGTTTGCTGAGAAGTCAATAGATCGATATTGATTCATACAAGAAGTAGCCTGTGCGCCTTGTCTAAAAATTTATGTGTAAGCTTGGTTTGGATGGGTTTAGAAAGAAAGTTTCCACGCAATACATATAGCCTGCGATGGGTCGCGAATTCTTTGAAAATAGCCTGCATTGGTTACGAAATTACTAATTTTTCACTTTTAGATAATCCCCCACAGAAACTTCAGTTAGCTTTGCAGGAAATTCTTTCTGGGGACACAGACATGCCCTTTGCTTCAACGATATCGGCTGCTGGAAGGCGGGACTTCGTGACCTAGGAGGTGACTGCTCGCGTCCGCGACGCAGTCTGCGCCTCCCTCGCGAACATGCTGTCACGGAGCCCCGCCTCCAAGCCGCCGATCTGGTTGAAGCAAAGGGTACATAAAAACATTTGACTTTGAATACATATGTGTATGTTAGGGCTAGGCATCTAGCCCATTTTAGAAGATAATAGTTCAGTCAGTTACACAAAGATACAAACTGCGTTTATAATGTTGGGGCAGCAGAAGTTTCGCCTTTTCTCTTCACACCACATGTCTAGATAGCTCTTGAGGATAATTTAAATTAGTGAGATTTTGCAGGTTTGTATTGCTCAATTCATGCTGGTTTTCGACTCTGGGATATACGAAATTGCTCTAGTTCTCGCGCAAAACTCCGCCATTTAGGGCTTTATGGAGCAACTGCAGACGTTTGCGGGCCTTTTGGAAGCGTCACGGCATCGACATGCGCCTCAGTTCAATGGACGAGGGACGACACCAGCTGTCCCCAACTCCCGCGCACACTCTGCGTCATGCATTCGGACCCCACGTAGAGTGGCTTCAGCTTCCGACTCCGTGCGATTCATCATACGTGAATTTGAGCTACGTCGTCGCGGCGCAGAGGACCCAGTGCGTCATTCTTTCCCCCTCGATGTGATAAGCAAGCGGAGTTCTATACAACAAATCAGTTAGTGTTGTCTGATAGTCATTTGATTTACTATGGTACTTGTACAAATGTATACTAATATTGTTCATACGGAATTTTGTACCCAAAGGGATTTTCAGCAATCAGCATTTCGCCAAACATGAGATAAGCACTTTAATGTTCATTGTTTGACCAATCATAAAGACCTATTTTAATAATTCTGATGTTACTATTCACTATGTGTATCGACATAAGGGTCAGCTAGATGCGTGCAACATCTTTTTTTCTTTCAGGTGCTATATTTCCTGAGTTATGAAAAACGCAGTGCCTTCATGAGAATTTCAGCTCAAGTTGGCAGTTCAAACTCGTCCTAAAGGTTTACACTGCGCAGAAACGAAGGGTCAGCTTGTATAGTCAAAAGTGATGAGATATATCCTAACTCAAAGACAATGTCCAGGTAGAATTTTCCTTTGAGATGTTGGACACTTTTGACTATTCTCGACCTGCTGAATCCTGATCTGATCCTCAAACCAAAACGGCAAAAACCCCTTTTTCAAGGGTCCCTTCTGAAGAGCGATGGACGAGTGCGCTCTACTGCAACTGCGGAGTACACCCCCTTTTGTAGACTCCTCCGTAGCATTTTTTCGCTCTAGGGTCCATCTTTTTTTGATGGATCTTGCACTGTCGGTTTGTCAGGAGCTGCGCTCTAGTACGTCTCTGGACAATGCCTTTAACTCAGCAATGGCCAGAGGTGCAGCCTTTCTGAGTTTTGAGAAAAGTTCTTTTCCGACTTCATAGGCTAGTATCAGACTTTCAGATCGCAGCTTCACTCTACAGAATCAGAAATTGCACAAGTTACAATGCAATGCATAGTGGTTACTTGAAACATTTAGTTTTTCAGCGTTGTCTTTACTAGGCAGCGGCTGTTGTCATTGAAGCAAGATTCTGCTGTTTTTCAGATGCAACACGAATGTAATTTCAGCAGCCTAAATCAAAAGAATTTTTTTATGTGCAGCGCACAATCCTCTTTCGACAAAACACAGATTTGAGGAGCAATTTTGCTAGCATAACCAAAACAGTGTGTTTTTCTCCCACTGGATATTGTAGGTTCTTGTTTTTGTCAAGTACTTTGCCGCAGTTAATAGTCTTGCATCTGAGAGCAAAAGATACAAGAAAGTCGTTTTGAAGATGTATGAGAAAACTAATCAATTTACACGACCATCTTTGTTTTGTATGCAGAATGTAGATCTTTACACTACAAAATATTTGGAACAACATTCGAGAGGACCTTCTTGGCAAACTTGCGTCAGATACGTGGCTGATTTTCAAGTACGACTATTTGGAATGGGACTCTCTAAGATAGGCACAGGTTCCACTGAAGTATTGGAGGTCTTTACATGATATTCGTCAGTTTTATGAAAAAGCCAACAGCTGCTTTCTGCTCCCAGAATGAAAAACTATTACTTTTTATTCCTAGTTCGAAAACAGTTCTAAGCTACTAACAACTGAGATTTCGGAAAAATCAAAACATGCCAATCATAACTGTCAGGTCTGTATACTCCTCAACTCACAATACAAGACTGTCTTCATGCGCCTCTAACTAGAAACTGATGCAAGTGTGGAAACAAGGTATAAAAGGACTCTTCATCTTCGCCTATACTCCTCAACTACACTACTCCGGATTTCATTACAACAATAAACGTGAGGACGACATAATATTGACAAACTAACAACTTAAAGAGCGAACAAGATCATGAAACCCATAGTGAGGCAGAAGAGTCCCATAGCCTCAGAAAGAGCGAATCCTAGAATAGCGTACGAAAAGAGTTGTTGTTTCAACGATGGGTTTCGGGCGTATCCAATAACGAGTGCACCGAAGACGTTTCCGATACCAGCTCCGGATCCTGCGACACCTACGGTAGCAGCTCCGGCACCGATGTATTTGGCAGCACTGTCAATGTCTTTTCGGGCAACGGTGGTGTGAAGGCATCGGGCGGCCAGCGCACTCTCCGTGCGAAGGGCCAAGGGAACTCGGGAGACCTAAAAGAATGTTATAGTAACAAATTCTGCCATTCATTCTGAAATACGCTTTCTCCAAACTTCATTTTCCTCGCAAGGCCCCGGTCAGATTCGCTCGAAAGCGCTCAGACGCGCCCAAATTTCTCTGTCTCTTCACTTTCTCGTGTGAAAAAAAAAGATAGAGGATGAAGAGAGGTTGAAGAAATTTGGGCGCTTTTAAGCGAAGTCTGGCGGGAGCCCAAGAAAAACCTGGACAAACTTCGCCATTCGTCAAATCAGACTAAAATGTTTATGGCTGATTTGCGAATGAAGCATTCACATGTATATTTACATCAGCGTGGCCCAGAAATTTTTTTGATGGGGGGGGGAGGGGTGAAGAAGAAAACGACAAATTTTTTCTCGAGTAGGTGCTTGACCTTAGCCATGCACTCCAAAAAGTTCTCGGATGCTTTCAGACTTTTGCCGGCCCACAACAAATAGGTTTTTGGGATGCTTCCCAGACTATTGCGGACCCACAGCCCCGAAACTCTGAAAAAGGAGCGTGGCGGCAGTTTGAATTTATAATTTCAGTCAGAAGCAACTTTCACCTATAAGCAACAAGACGCACAATTTTATGAAGCATACTAGGGCCTTTTCCGTTTGATAGCTTACGGATGATTAGCTAGATCAGAAAATTTGCTGCGACCTTGCATAAGAATTTACTATTATAGAAAGTAAGTGAACCAGTAATCTAAAGGTGTATATGCAGGAGCGTCGCTTCGGGACCGCGCCGCAGTTTCCCCCTATTTGATGCTTTTTGAACTGGCGTTATGATTCTTTATATTTCAGATAAATCAGATAGATATGCATATGAAATCCCTACGCAATAGGTAATGAAAAGTATAGCTTATTTGACGTGTCGCTCATTATCGCCTACTTTTCAAAGTGAATCCTTGATGTTTGCAGTATATCACCGACAAGAACAAAAATAAGCTGCGGCTATAAAAAACCATCATGGCCAGCAATATGAACCCACTGCATGTTGTGGTAGTTTTGGAGTGTTAGCCCAAGGTGTACATCCACCACAATCACATGAACAGCATGGGAATTAAATCTATGTGGTTTTAGCAAATCTAAAGTTCTCAAATGGTGTGTGTTGTGTAGGCTACTGAATGAAATACTGGAGAAAAATATTTCATTTTAGCATACACCTAATGCTATAACATTCTGCAAGTAGCCGTTCCTCTGATTATACATGTAGATCAAGCATAGTGAAAATTTGATAACTTTAATGAGTTATGTTACTCTGCAAACTTACTGATAATGTTACCAAACAAAAGCGCATAACGCTATACTTTTCTACCTGCCAACAGCTTCTACGATTGATATTGCAAAAGAGTGCAAAACACTGCAAAACTTTTCAAATCACAGTTGGGCATGACCAGCCTACATAATTATAAAGTAAAATTTGCCTGCAGCGCAGCAGACTAAGGTACTAATTACAAATCACCACTTGATTGAAAAGCTTTCTTGTATAGAAAATGGATAACTTACAAGAATGGAGCGAGCCAATGGGACGGCGAGGCGCTGGCAGTACATGATTTAACCTGTAATAACAGTAAAATCAGCACAAGACAGAGCAAAAGTTGCCACGCATTCAAAGAACACTGAAAAGCCACATCCAAACGTTCAAGAGAGCTGAGTACAGGCAAAAGTTCCGCAAAAGAAAACCACAGAAGCACTAAGAGCATCGAGAAAAGGTTTTTGCATCCCTTCGTCCAAAAATTCGAGCCGCCCGGAGGACTTCCTATAGCAAAGCGGCCCGCTCAGGACCTTGGGAGGATTATGATACTGTACCTAATGTTATGGTTAGGAAGACATCGTAAACTGGCTTGTCGCGACCGCTTTGATTACCATGAACTAGAGCGCAGAAACTCGCGCTTTGGAGCTGTTCGTTCTTCTTTTGGTAGTTTTATGTTTTGCTCTTCGTTTTCTTTTCCACAAATGATGAAGGAAGGATGATCGCATTTTGCTGTTGTCTTTGTGTGGCTCTCTGTTCTCCTCCCAAAAATTTCTTCTAGTTTCTTGCTCGTTCATTGCTTACTAGGTCTTCTCACATTCGCTCGATTTTTTGTCTTGTTAAGACGATAAATATATGATCGTTAGTTAATGCTTATCTACTTGTTATCACTGAAATTAGGGATTGCTGGACCATAGTTCGTTAGATATGAAATGCGGCATTTCTTCAGTTCTTTTAGAAGAAGTGTTGTGAGATTTGAACATCCAATTTCTTTATCCCCGGTCTTGGTTATCTATATTCTTATTTTGGGCAGCGTTCGTTTGCCATGGAAACGATGTGTTTTTCTAGCATTTTCGCTTCATTTCAGTGGTGGTCCAAAAAACTTGGTAACTTGCATAAAATGAGCAAAAACTAGTGCTTATATCATTCGTGCAAATGACAGCCTCATTTGAGACGAATCATTATTTGCACTATGAGTGATGTTTTATGGTTTCTGCTGCTCTTAGTTACGGATGAGATGATTCATATGTGTTCTATGCTCGGTGTAAATTCATGCTTGGGGTTATTTATCTTTTCAAGCAAATAAGAAAGATTAAAGAAATGATTTCACCATGGTGATTCCGCATAAGCACATTCTGCATTTGAGTCACTGCTTGGTAATAGATTTAGATCTTCGCAAAAACGCTTTTTTTACTTCCTTCTCTTATTTTTGTGCCGTGCCCGCTTGATCATGTGATACTTGACCTTATTGATTTATCACAATAATCATAGCTTTATCGTAAACTTGGAGTAGACCAAACAGCAAGATTTGAGTTCAGCTGCGTGATCCATTTTCTCTCGCTGTGTCTGTCGCGCTCATCTGAAAAAGTTTCCGCAAACTCTCGATGGTGACGCGAGGTCAGACAATTCACGAAATAAAACTTTCCTCAAGATTATGAGTCACCACCTCTTTACTAGGGGTTTTATCTTGACAACCTTCGAGCTAGTTGCCGCGATAACGCCCAATATTGCCAGTCTGTCGTGCTCGCTTTAGCAGTGTGGTTTTTCTTTCTCAGAATTTGACAGACAACTCGTCTAGATATCATGAGCTTTCGAAGCCCGTCGGAGGAAGAGACATATTTTTCCAAGCCTGCACATCTGTTTCCACATCTTGAAGATGGTAAAATCCCAACGGAACAATTCTTGAGTGCCTGTCAAGGGATCGCAGATTTTGTAGGTGAGAAGTTCTTGTCCTCCACTTTCCTTAGGTTTTTTCCACATTTCACTTTCTGATTATGCATGAAGTTCCTTAATTTTCCTTTTGTGTATACTCAGTCATACATAGGCTGAAGTCTAGCTTAAGAGAATTGCCCTAATTTCACGCGTATAAGGCGCACTTTTTTGATTTTTCAAACGAGCCGCTCAGCCGCTGCACTGTATTCCGGAAAGAGATCCCTATACCGCACGATTCTCTCAAGCAAAATACAGCACGTTATAGGGTCCTTTAGTAAAGTCCTTTGGCGTGTCTGGGCTGGTCGATTTTGGAAACAAAGTCCCCCGCGCCTTATACGCGTGAAATTAGGGTACATGGAATTTTCTGTTGTGAGGCCGTTACGTCATAAAATAACATGCCTTTGTTTTTTGTTGTTTTTTTTTTCTTCAAATTAAACCGTCATCGGGTTTGAACGTATCATTCGATAAAATTAAGAAAGACTGAAAATTTCTGAATTACCTCAGGCTTTGCAGAATCCGCACACACTCACATTATAAAGCAGTATGTTTTCCAACTGATTTTATCATTTTCGATTTAATTTGCAATTTAACCTTCTCAATTTTTCACTCTGATACTTAGTCCCATAACAATCTCTTTACATACTTGTTGAACCAAAACCGTCTTTATAGGCTTCCTTGGCACTGCATTCTCACCAGTGAAAGCAGATATTAGTGGCAATGTGGTGAAAGTACGGACTCGCTTTGAAAAGGACAAGATAGGTAAGATCCTGATACATTGGTTCCAACAGTTCTTTTACTATCAACTTATCATTTAGGACAGCGGTACCTGCAAGATCTCATAGACGCTGATCTACGTGAACATGGTGGCAGAATGGGCATGGGTACAGAGGGGTTGTTATGGCTCAAAAGGTAAATTTGACTAGTAGGTGCTTTCTCCACATTTTAGTGCTAGCACATATTCAGAGGGCTGGAATTTATGCTAGAAATGCTGACGTTGATGGTGGAAGAATACAGATCCTGTCCAGATAAGAGCAAAACTGAAAACTTAACAAATGTGATAAACACCGCGTATGAACGGGCACTCAAGCGGCATCACGGCTTCATGTCGAAGCAGCTCTTCAAGGTATGTCTTCATACAACTCCCCTTGATGTTTCAAATTGAAAATCAATAGTCAGAATAAATATACCTAGGGCATGGTGAAATATGTTGAGTGGATAAAAATAATATGTCCATTTGAATTTTGCTTTTCTAATAAGTCCGGTAATCTCACTGTGGGCCTTTTGGAGGATTTTTGGGTGATGAAATGCAGGATTTTGAATGATTACATCTCCTTGATAATAATAATCCTGGAAAAACTAAAAATTTTGTATGGTTCTTGCGAAAACCGCTTACCGGGTCTCCCCAATTCAGACATTTGAAAAACTTCTTTTTGAATCTGCTAGCAGACAGGCAGGGAGCAGGTAACTGCTAGAGGCTAGCAGAGGGAAGGTAGAACGCAACCCGGTATTTTAGCGCAAACCATAGCACAAAATGAGATCGATTGTATTTTTGCTAACATGCCAAACGAAAGAATGTTAGACGGACGACCTTACCTAACTCTTAGGGCCGCATGCACTAACATCCTCGCGGGGAGGGGATCGCAGCTTAAAAGAAAGCTTTATATTTCGAAACTCCAGATACCTGGATTTCACGTTGTGTACCTATCCGTAAGTATTCCTACTACCCTTCACTATGAACATGTTGAACAGGAGCGAGAAGCTGTACGGACCGCATTTTCCAGCTTTTGAATGATCCCTGATGATCCCCGGCGCTTTTCTTTGAAGTCATTTTTCTTTCTCCGAAGTTAACGAAAGACCTCCAAAGTTGTGCAGATCATCCAACCCAACAGTGCTAAGCATGTTCGTGATAAGAACCAATAATGTTTTGAAGTCATGAAATTTTCGATGATCCACAGGTCGAAATTTGAGGTTTACCGAAAAATTCGACTTTTCGAAAACTCATTTGTTCTCATCAGCAACATGCTTAGCACTGTTGTGTTAGATGTTCAGTACAGCTTTGGAAAGTTTTCGTTGACTTCGGAGAAAGAAAATGACTTCAAAGAAAAGCGCCGGGGATCATCAGGGATCATACAGCTGGAAAATGCGGTTACAGCTTCTCGCTCCTCTTCAACATGTTCATGTGAAGGGTAGTAGGAATACTTACGGACAGGTACACAACGTGAAATCCAGGTATCTGGAGTTTTGAAATATAGAGCTTTCTTTTAAGCTGCGATCCCCTCCCCAGTTGGGAGGTTAGTGCATGCGGCCCTTAGCCTCACAAAAGGAGATGATAGGGATCAGCGATGTTTAGCGCATATGTCCATCATTTTTTTCTTTTAAGGTTTCATGCTGCACATGTTAGGAGATCTCGAATCTTTGAGGTATTTCATAACCTGTTCGTCCAAACATTGAAAAGGGACTCTTGGATCTAAAGTTGTGTTATCGCATGTTTTTATCTATCAGTACATTGATTATAAATCATTTTCAGAACGACTAGAGGACTTATGTCACTTTCCGATAACATTTAATGCCCAGGATTCATATTGAAAAAGAAATTTATAAAAAAACTTTTCTAGACGGATAAAGTAAATCTTGTCACATGTGGGAACACGTCACCAGAAATTATCTTTTACGTAGGCTGGGAAATTTACACTTAGTTATAAACGGTGTCGTTTCTAGAAATATTTATAGCTTGCTTACAACGATTTTGCTGTAAGGTTTACAATCTTACGTTTTTGTAGGCAAGTCGATTCATGAAAACAATTGGTAGTGTGAATAAATTTTGGCGTACTTTTGCATTCCCACTCATGATTCAAATGATATAATTCAGTTTTGGAGCTAACGCTCTAGATAGCCTTTCACTAGTGACTCATGCAAATCTGTTTCAATTCCGAACACATGAATTCACCAGTAGCAGCCCAAAGTCACCATCTATAAACTTATCCATTTCAGTTAGTCATCCATGCTGCCCCATATCGACGAAACATTATGAAAGCAGTTGCACTCGGGAAGGATGGTCTTGATGATGTGTGCATCGATCATATCTCTAATCATTTGGACAATTTCCGTACCAATGTTGGAGTTTTAGTCGATTACTATATTGCCAAGGGTCTTGACACTCCAGCTTGATTTCTCAAACTTGTTTGTAAATATAGAACTCAAGTTAATTCTCACTCTAAGATGCTTTATGTATCTCTACTCATACACCAATGTGTGATTAACTGTGATCTTCTCAAATTTAGAAAGGGCATTCCCATTCATCTCTGGCGGCTCACCTTAACTTCTGAATCTTATTCTATATGTGCCAAAAGATCTTATAAAGACCATTGTTCTATGGTGACGAATGCAAAGGTTTTGCCATATTTTATCACATACTAATCAATCAAACTCAATAAAATCATCTCATTTTTAGATTAACCTTTCTCGTATCCGACTTTCATCTGAAGGGTCCTCTGACCTCGGCTTTTTCCTCGGACAAAGTTCTTGTGAGTATTGATCTTCATAAAATCGTTTACGACGTGGTGCACTTCCTCCTTCTAAGGTTGGAGTGCTCGACGTTGAAGGTAATTCTTCATGAATACAGCAGCTCTAGACATGCGATAAAAACTGACGACAAAACGTTTTAAGAAGACGGCTTACAGTGCTTCCTGTGGTGACCGTGCTTAGCACATCTGTTAGCAGATCACCGACTTCTTTCTCCGATCCCGGCGAAATCATCTGAACATGTTCTGCTAAGGCTTATTCGCTGACAAAATATACTTACCTCCGTACAAACCAGCACAAGTCGTCTTATGCAGGACTTGAGTGAAAGAATCTCGGTATTTTGCTTCCTGATCTGTTTCTCCTGTTGAGCCAACTTATCCATGACATTTTTGCGCCACTCGCAAGTATCCAAATCTCTGCAACTGTAGTATGAGCCAGATAAAGCATCAGGTAGATGCAATCGTTGTTCTAAAGCCAATAAAAGCCCGTTGAAAACACATAGGAAAAAAATGCTGTGCATATTACAAACAGAACGTGCGCGCGAAAATGTCCGCGAAACGCAGATTCCAATTTTCGCCCCCCCCCCCTCGGAGAGTAACATTTTCTCAGATAAGCCAACATTTTTTAGTAAGGAATTACCTGGATGGAGATGTAGTGGGGGTAGTAGTTGCTCGGAAGAGAGATGGATGAATTGTCATAAAATATGAACTGGTAAGCGCACTTGATGTAGAGGTAGTCAGCGACGGTTGCACGTGTTCTTCGAAATGTTCCATAGCCATGCTGAATATAGCCGTTCAAAAACACGTGATTGAAAAACTGCACTCTATTTCTATATATCATTCCGACTAAGCTTTTCAAGAACAGAAGAATAAGTACTATCAGTAAAACCATTGGTATTGGTATTTTAGTGGTCAGTTGAAGAACGCACCTTGATAGGTCTCTCAAATCTTTGAGAAGCTCATGAATATCTATGGTAAGCGTTCCACCTCGATCATGCGACTTCTTCAATATGTCGATGATGCGGAAGAACTCATCTAATACCTAGAAAGGCTAGGGTTGAGTCTATTAGATAGGCAAAGATATAACCGCTCACCTTCCCTGGTATGAAACATGAAGCTTTCATATCAATAAATTTTCGATAAGTCATGGTCATTATAGAAAATCTGGTATCAAGACCAGCATAGGCATCATTTAAACGTGATAGCCGATGTGATCTACAAATTTACAAATTATCTCATTTATCAATTTAGAACTGACCTTCTCATAGATTCTCGACGAGGCAATTCTCGTTTTATGCGAAGCTTCTCTCTATCAATATCAATTCCCAGTTGTTGAAAACCTCTGTTTAGTAGATAGGAGCATAGAGTATTCATAAGTTTACACGTCTGAAATGAACGACAACTATCAAGCGTCAAAGTATCCAGTAAACACTTACCCTTCTCAATTTTGCTATGTCGTCATAGGACAAACATTTCAAAATATTCATCTGTATCTCACTCGGCAGATCAATGAATTTTACAGCGTTGCCGTCTTTTTGGTCATCGTCTGCTTTTTCTTCTACTTCTTCAGTTGTAACAGGCGCTTGTGATGATGTTGGTTGCGGAACTGACCGAGGCTCATGCCCCTGAAAAGAAGTGTAGACAGCATGGCTAGAAGGACTGGGACGGATAGAACTCACTTTATTAAATATCACTTTTTTCAATAGATGCATATATTCCGCCAGTGGAAATACGGGATGACGATTATCAAGAATAATTCTGCAAAATTTGATTAAAAAGATGTTTCTAGATTGACGATCTGCATGAGAAATGGTCTTTCGTTTCATAAGGGCATTACTCAATAACGAGAGGGTGATCCAAGAGGTGAGGACTTTGCTTACAAGGAAAGGATGGTCGGTCGAAGTGGCCTTTTGAGATGAATTGTATACCATGGTGAAGGGCATAAAACGCTGATTCCAAATCTGTCTTCCTTATATGTGGCGCATTCCTGGATGAGGAGTTATGAGCGTTTGAAGGGGCAAAAAATGAGTGTTTTTCTGGGATAAAAACATTGGCTAAATTTTTCCCAGCGCTTGAATGAGAACCGGAGTGTGAATATATCTCACCTTAGAATATTTATTTTATGGAGTGTTGGAAAGATCATTGGTCCATTGATCACTGGTCCATTTAAGCGCTAGGAATAATGTTACTACTGTTTTTATATTATTTGCACATTCAATTTTTTTCTCAATAAACGCTCATAACTTCTTGTGCAGGAACGCGCCGCAGATAATGAAGACAGATTTGGAATCAGCGTTTTATGCACTACATTAATACAAGTCATCGCAAAAGGCCACATCGACTGACCATCCTTCCCTTGTTAGTATATAGGGTTGTCAGTGGAAGTTTCACTTCTGAAAATTTCTGAAAGAACTCTATAGTCAACTGTTTTAGTTTTTCATATACTGATTATGCTATTCCAGTTATCAGAATCAGCACCGATTCGAGCACTTGCACGAGCCATAGTGAGGGGTACAAAATCAGTCGAAGGCAAAGTACAAAAGCTTGACATAGGAGCAAAAGCAGAAGCATTGAAGAAGATATATGAGGAGGAGTACAAAAAAGCACTGAAGAAGTAGATTTAGTAATTCCGTGTGATATGTATAAAGACCTCTAAATGGATGAGTACCGGTGGTGCTAGGTTTTATAATGGGCAATGTAGTAAATGTTTCAAGTAGTGAATGTGATTAACCATAGCATATATAACGAGCAAGCATTGATAAAAAATTTTATTGGCATTTTGAATGTCATTAATCTTTCCAACGATGAGCACATTCGGCATTTGCGCATCGATAAAATATAGTCATCGGTTCATCAGCAGACCTTGTTTGGATTTGCATGAAGTAAGCTCGCTCGTGCGAACACTTCGGACATCGTTCATTCGTAACCTAAAGTGACCGACTGAAGTATCACATGCCAGTAACAAAGAAACTGTCCACCCTACATATGGGAGTGCTTTTCAACCAATACTACCTTAAAGGCAGCGGCTCGGCAGAAATGACAACTTTGGGATATCTATCGTTCTCGGTTCTCTTGGATGGACTAAGGCCAAGACTGCGCTTCGCAGCTTTAAAAGATACCAATAACCCACTTTTCCAGACGTGAAAAGCGCTATTTGAGGGCGGAACCGCGTATCCGCCCTTTAGAGCGCGATTGGCTCGTGGGTACAGTGGGTACAGTATCTCCACTCACGAGCCAATCGCGCTCTAGAAGGCGCTTACGCGTTCCGCATAGCGCTTTTCACGTCTGGAAAAGCGGGTTATTGATATCTTTTGAAGCTGCAAAGCACAGTTTTGGACTTAGCTCATCCAGGAGAACCGAAAACGATGAATATTCCAAAGTTGTCATTCTGCCGAGCCGCTGCCTTTAATCAGTCAATACAGAAACGGCCCATGATTTTCGCCCATAGGTGAACTGCGTTAACCTTGGCGGTTCTCAGGTGACACAATGAAGGTAGTCTAACTGACCATTCACCTGCTACAATTAGCCAACCCAAAATCATATAATCGCCTACGAATGCAATTCCTTACACTACGAAGTACACAAAAAACATAGCCCTGACATTTTTCAAAAAACCAGTAGGCTTAAGATGTCAAAAAAGCTCATATCAAACTGTTAGTAAAGCTGGAACCACATAGGGTGCACGAGTTGAAATCACGCTAGCAAGTTTTATATACATCAAAAGAGATTACAAACGTAAGCTTGAACACACCTGTGCGTTATCCCAAACTGATGGTCCACCAAGCACTTCCTCGAGATCTTTTAACTTCGGATATACACGACTACTCACCTTAAGTATGAAAATTCAATCCAAGCATGTGATAACATCAACCTGAAACTACCTTTTTTGTTACAGGGCACACGTAGGGACATGAAGGGCATGAGAACTGCATACAAGAATCACCTTCTTCGATTTGTAGCATAGAACCGCAATATGGACAAAACACAAGCATTGCTGTCAAAATAAGTGCCCTTAGACTGCAATAACTTCTGAAAAAGTCTACAAACAGGTCCATAGGAAAATCGAAAAAGGTACGATGTATTATGCGCAAACAAATGGAATCTATAAGTACAATTGCACAAAAATATTTATTCTCTATGATCCTTAAACACTAAAAAGCTAGAATCTATTGGAAACCACCACTTTTCGGTTTGTAACCCAGATTACGAGCAACGCCTTCATACACGGGAGAGTTGTCCCCAAAAACAACAAAGCGAGTGGCATTTACGTCTCTTGGAGGGACTACCAACTGAAAAAAAAAGATGTACTATAAGCCAAGCTAACACAAAAGAAGAAAACACCAACACGTCCATGAGCTCTATCGCAAATCGGTCTAGTTGCGGTTTGTTTGCAGTTACATAGAAAGTAATCGCCACTTTTCTCAACCTGTAAATAGTTAAGCTTACTTTGTTATGTAGTATGATTTACTTTCAAATACCTGGAACTTGATGGGACGCAGTGTAGTTATACCTTCGCATCTGTGTGATCCATCGCAAAAGGGCTTTAAGCAAAGACATTTTAAAGACAAAGATGTTTTCTATACCGATGCTTTTCTTCACGCAGAAATGGATAACCGCATGCCTTGGATTAAATATGATAAATTTGCCAATATGATCAAACTTTTGAGATTGATGAAAAGATGGTGATTGCAAAACCAAGCGAAAAGTCGCAGGATCCCGTATACATAGCTATCCAATTTCTACCGAACACTAAAGTGCCGTATGGATTTCGAACTAAAAATGGATTGTGAATGTCGAATCCTTCAACAATCTTAACGGCAGCGTCCGGGCAGATAGGAAAATGTAGAGTACAGGGGCGCCCAACCTGGTAAGGCTCTTGCCCAACTGGCAATGCACCTATTTGCTTCTGAAGCGAGAAATCTGCTTCAGAAGTGGCGACCGAAACGCCCCGGCGACCGGGATGAGTTAGTTCGATTAGCCGGAGTGCGCATACCGCACACAGTCAAGACGTAGGGTCCCACAAAGACTCTGCGTCTTAACCTTGGCGGCAGGCGACAAAATTCAAATCAAGAGTTTCTGGAAAAGCCCGTTTTTTTTTCGGCGTTTTCATGCCCTCCAAGCTGCATTTTCAGAATCAGCGGGAGAATAAGCTCAGGTAAGCGAAGAAAATTCCATTCGAAATTTTGCCCGGACACTGCCTTTAAAGGTCATACATGTTCCTTCAACATCTGCCACGACAAAGAGGGCAATAAAGATTTTAGGGATATACATCGCTTACCTCAGTTTTGGTAAGTCCGCATGAACACCATGAGTATTGTTTGCCGGATTCGAGATTTACCTACAAGCCGATTTCTTAGTAAACTAGGTAAATTAGCAACATACAAAAGGACATAACCTGTAACTGGTTATCGAAAACTAGATTTACAAATGGAAATGAAAAATTGCAAAGGATGAATTGGTAAAGGAAGGTTTCGGAAACTAGGTTGGAAGGTAGAAACGAAATCATTATGTAAATAGTACCTTGATGGGCTTGTTTGATGATGGAACACCATTACGTGGCAAGTAATCTGCACCTGGATTCAATATAGTTACTCCTTTAGCTTTCGATCGAACAATGTTCACCTTAAAAACAGCTTTGACTCTATAACAATGAGTCGTTTTCACTGCATAGAAGAGTAAAAGAGCCTATTTTTGATATTGTGGATACGAAAAAAAGTAATATTCAAACTGTCTTTTAAAAGCAATATCAGCAAGAGTGTTGACTTTCTCAGCTGGTTAGAGACCTCTGTCTAATGCACGGAAAAGAAAGTAAGTCGGTAGGAAACTTCCACAACACTGTCAATTCGGACTTTTGACCTCTACAGCTTATTTCAAATATTAATTAACTTCGCAGCTTCGTGATGAGATAATTCTCTGAGTAGCAGAACGGCAATACGTTAAAGGCAGTGTGTCGCAAAAATTTCGCTGTTCAGTTCTTCACCTATTCGGGGCTTTCTCGTCATGAAAAACGCCCATATCTGGGCTTCTCAGCGCATGAAAGTGCCGAAAATGAGCTCTTTTTGTAGCTTTCCAGGTCCGCATTGAGGAGAATACGGTGGAAGTCTTCCGCGCCCGGCCTACCTCGTTCCGGCCCTATGCGGACCTGAAAAGTGTCGGAAAGAGCTCTTTTGCCGTATTCATGCGCTGGAGAGCCCAGATATGGTTTCCTCATGGCGAAAAGGCTCCGAAAAGGTGAAAATTGAAAACGAAATTTTGCCGTGACACTGCCTTCACGGGATTACCAATGTTGCGCTTCCGCCCTATTTCCAATTATCGAATATGATAAGAGCATTAGGTCAGTTCCCAGTTTTAGGTAGCTTTCGACAACTGGATATATAGTCTGCAAAATCGTAAACGCGCATTTGGCTGTATGATTGAGATTAGACTACTAAGTGCGCTTTAAGTGGTGACCAATGGGATTCAACGACAATTAGAACTTCCTTACTGGCAAAGCTGTATTGTACAAAGGTGAAACATAAACGAATAACGGCCCAGACTTCAACTGGAAAACAATTTTTATAGTAAAAAAAAAGCCAAATTCGCGACGAAAACGAAACTAAGGGTTCAAAATCTGGACCATTTGTTCAAAATCCTCAAAAAACAAATCCTAGTAACGCATGATGCAACCAGAATCTTGCAGATCAAGACGTTTAGCCAAATAGCTGGCACAACATGGCAAAAAGGTTTGAAAAACACAACTTAACTAAACCAAACTCCAGCAATTAGCTAAGACTGTAGCCCGAAGATACATTCAGTTCCATAGGCAAATCATTCATCAAGAAACAGATCAAGAAACATTTTTGCGACAAAAGGAACTAAAAATGCAAGGAAAAAGTGAAAATATCGAACTCACACAAGGCGAACTGGAACACCGGGTAAGGAGGTTCTTGTACATGGTCAAACACCCTAGAATCAATGTTTTTACAAAGAACAGGATGTTCTAGCAGTTAAAATACAAAATCTTACGAGCTTAAATAGAATAGTAATTTCCAGACGCGCCGCCATAAATTTCGTGCGATTACGTCGACCACACCATTTTTACGCCCAGTTAATGAGGTTTCTGGATCGGTTATGTTTTATCGCACTATCACCATCAGCCTGATATAAATCACATCATTCTTCCATTTATAAAGCTGCATCCTCAAATTAGGAAAACCTCTTGAGTCATTCAAGATCTCATTAATGCATACAAACTCGTTCAGCACCGCCGAACAACTCTAAATTCCACTCCAAAGTCTATCATTAGGCACACGCCATACTTGATCCGCTCTATCCAAGATCCGCTTGATCCGCTTCCTCATTGGTCAATTCAGTGAACTGACCAGTAGCGAAGAGGTTGTCCACTCCGTTTGATCCATTTCGTCCACTCTATTGGTCAGTATACTGAATTGACCAATGACAAAGCGTGTCAAGCTTGAAAGGCTCCTATAAGCAACTTAAGCAGTCGAAGAAACCTCGCATTCTCCCCTCCCCTCCCCCTCCTCCCCCTGCTCACCCCCCCCCCCTTCCGTTCTCATCTGCATTACGATAGGAACTTAGCATAGCAATCTTAAGACACTAGAAGTGACTGGGCTGAACGCTGAAGTAATGTCTTATTGTATGAGCTTTTTATGCTCATGTGGGCGCAAAGTCTGCGGTAAAATTCGTCGTCACGATTTTATAAATGAACTATAGTTGAGTTTTCGCGCATGCTGATCTCATTATACGACGTTTTACAAGTTTACTCAACTATTTCAGCGGTGCAGAATGTCGCTTCGGAAGCGGTAAAATCGCTCCGGAACATCGAAGAGCAGAGGCTCCTAGGCGGCAATGCCCCCTGCAGTAATGCCCGCCCATCCGTGCGCGCCCGTCCAATCACCTTTCCGGAGAACTTGGATTATTGGGGGTTTTCACGGATTCTTGACTTCATAGTCGGGATTAGGGAGATGCGATGGTCCAGGAACGACAAAACATGGAAGTCGAGAATCTATGTGGACGGTGCCGTTCATGGCTTTTCACACCCTCATATGTAGTTGCAAAATCCTACGTAACGAAGAGACGGAGATTTGCTCCATACTCTAAATTAAAGTTGAAGTCAGCTCTACAAAATGATATCTTAACACCTGCGAAAGGCATCATAGCAAGAGAGATTAAACAATCAAACAGAATACTAATTTTGAGACCCCTGTATATTCATTTAGTGTATGGTGCACCAGAATTGTTCCCGCGGGACGGTCAAGAGGTACGATCGGCGCGAATCTTTCGCGAAGCGACACCGCAACGTACTTCAGCCCTTACAACCAGAGGTGCGATAGGTGGAGCCGGGTCCCCCAAAAGTGAAGGTGGTTCCAGCTACCACTGGCCGGCCAAAAGTGAAGGTGGTAGTGCCGGACACTCACCTCCCAAAAACGTCGACCGGGGGGGGGGGGGGAGCATTAATGTCTATCCTTCCAGGTCGTTGCCGCAAGTGCGCGGAAAATAAACAAAACAAATGCAAAAGAGATTAATGAAAGCATATTTTTATGAGATAGCGGCATAAATATCTAAAATAAACGTGCTTATCAAATGGTGTATTTGGGAGTAAAATTTAGCGGAACTGTACGGACTTTATTGAATAAATTTTGTTATAACGTACTGCGAAGAAAGTAGGTCGATCCAGGCAGTAACCGCCGAGAACCACAATTTAAATGATGAAAAATCGTGAAAAATCATTCCACTGTTACAAATCTGCTGGCTGAAGACCTCCGCAGTTGCGACTTCATAGGTTTTGAAGGGTAAGTGTTGCTCTACCAGGCAGTGAAAAAATCAGTTTGATTTGAGGAGTGGCCGCCGAGAACGAGAATTTTGAAAAACCTTAAAAATCTGCTCAATTTCGGGCTGTTTGATGACAACTGACATTTAAACTCTCACAAATCCGGACTTTGAAGGTGTGTGATGTTGCGACTTCATAGGTTTTGTAGGGTGAGGTTTGCTCTATCAGAACATATCTTAGCTGTACCGATCCATTGAAACGTCGCCGAGATCCAGGCTCCTAAAGAAGCGGGTGAAAAACCGTTTTTCAGCTCATAACTTCTTCAGAATTGCATGAATCATGTTGCGACTTCATAGGTTGGATTCTCCTCATCAAGAGCTTTCAGATGATATATAATATGTGGGGGGTTCACGCCTTCCACGGCATATGCCCGGGGGTGGAGTACCTCTCTTCACTAATTCTCCACTGGCGGCCTCCCGCCAATACATTGAAATGGGCGGGGTGGAGAATTAGTGAAGAGGAGTACTCCACCCCCGGGCATATGCCGTGGAAGGCGTGAACCCCCCACATATTATATATCATCTGAAAGCTCTTGATGAGGAGAATCCAACCTATGAAGTCGCAACATGATTCATGCAATTCTGAAGAAGTTATGAGCTGAAAAACGGTTTTTTACCCGCTTCTTTAGGAGCCTGGATCTCGGCGACGTTTCAATGGATCGGTACAGCTAAGATATGTTCTAATAAGGCAAACCTCACTTTACAAAACCTATGAAGTCGCAACATCACACACCTTCAAAGTCAGGATTTATAAGAGTTTAAATGTCAGTTGTCATTGAACAACCTAAAATTGAGGAGATTTTTAAGGGTTTTCAGAATTCTCGTTCTCGGCGGCCACTCCTCAAATCAAACTGATTCTTTCGCTGTCTGATAGAACAACACTTACCCTTCAAAACCTATGAAGTCGCAACTGCGGAGGTCTTCAGCCAGCTGATTTGTAACAGTGGAATGATTTTTCACGATTTTTCATTATTTTATCATTCGAAATTCTGGTTCTCGGCGGTTACTGCCTGGATCGACCTACTACATAGATATATGCTCTTAATACTTTCTTTTACATCCCTTTTGCTTATTTTCCTTCTTTTGAGCTTCAGCAAAAAAAATTTTTCAAACCGAAAAGTGAAGGTGGTCACCCCGTACCAGCTCAAAAGTGAAGGTAGGCGGAGAATCGGCTCCGACTATCGCACCTCTGCTTACAACAGCAGCGCTTCTGGCGCAGTCTTACTTATAGCATTGAGTCATGTATCTGCCCCCACCCTCATCCCCTGTTTTTGCCGCCGGATCTGTATTGGTGGAGAGTCTTGGAGGCCCCAAGATCTGAGCGCGGCGTGTGCGGAAAGCGGCCGCCGCCCGCGGCGTACCTCCTGACGTGCAGCCAATTGTTCCCATGTGAACCATCACGTGGCTGTCCTTCGATCATTTGAACATGTCAACTTCAAATAAGCGCCTTAAATTTGCTGGAGTTGACGTGTTCGATAGGCAGCCACGTTAATGGTTCAGGAACAATTCTGGGGGATGACGATACGTGTATGGGTACTATTTCAGTATACCGACCCAAAAATTAAAAATCTCGGATTTCGCTCAAACTCAGTAGAGGGGGTTAATTGATCCTCTGGTGCCGAATATCATATCGATTCCGTGCGATAGCGCCATTTTCCGGGGATTACGGTGGGTATACGGTAGGAGGTCAAAATCACAAAATTCTCTGAAACTTGGTGCAGGGGGGTTATTTGACATGCTGAACACGAATATGATATCTATTCGTTACGGTAGCACCTCATTTCGGGGTTACGGTGGGTATACTCTAGGAGGGTCTAATTCACTGCTTTCCACACCACCGCCGCGCGCGATACACCCTGCGGCGGCTTTTGCCTAAGCAAAGCAGGGGGAGGAAACTTCCGACGTGTGACTGAGACTTCAAGCCCTGAATCTCGATCTAGCGGTGGTATTGGTAATGTATACCCAACGTAATGTCGGAATGAGGCACTATCGTAACTAATAAACATCATAATCGTGATCAGCATGTCAAATAACCCCCCTACACGAAGTTTCAGCGGATATCGTGATTTTGACCCCTTACCGTATACCCACATAACCCCGGAATGAGAAGCTACCGTAACGAGTGAATACCGTATTCGTGTTCAGCATGTCGGATAACCCCCTCTTGCCGAGTTTCAGAGAATTTTGTGATTTTGACCCCCTACCGTACCCACCGTAACCCCCGGAAAATGGCGCTATTGCACGGAATCGATATGATATTTGGCATCAGCGGATCGAATAACCCCCCTATACCGAGTTTGAGCGAAATCAAGATTTTTAATATTTGGGGTCGGTATACTGGAATAGCGCCCGTGTTATGTATCTATGCAATTTACGCTCTTCGCGTATTCTTTTTCTTCATTTTTACAGAAGTAGCCGAAAAAAATAAGATTTGAACTGGGCGGACATATCCTCGAGTCATTTGTAACTTAAAATGTGTAATGCACTTAATGCGCCTTACTTGACGAAGCAAGATTAGGACCTGCTCATTTCTAGTGATTTCTGCTTGTTTCTTTGTGTCTTTTGATTTGATGGTTATATGCTTAGCACAACACATATCTATAGGTTGTTAGGCTAGAAAGGGTTTCAGTGAGGAGTTACCAGTAAGGTTGCCGTCGGCTGCCGTGCATAGTGTGCACACTCACATATTAAGTTACAAATGACTCGAGGATATGTTACATTTGTAAGAGGCAACTGTTGGATCATATCAAGAAGCTTCTGAATAACTTGTCTGAATTATAGTGAGGTCATTGCACTAATAAGGAAAGCTACCTAACTTAGCTCGACCTTTTGGTTAAAGGCATATCTATATATATATACTAGTTGGGCTTTCCCGGTCCAGCCCGGGCCAATGTTCACCTGCACTGCGAGTCCTTCCCCTCTTATATGTCATGGTGTCATGGATAACTTACAATGGACATCCGCTTCGAAGCCGAAAAAAAAAACTCCAGAGACTTTACAGATCAAGCATTGCGGTTTGACATGCAAAGGAGAGATGAGTAGCGTAATGACTTTCACAATGATGAGCTTCATTTTTTGTGTTGCTTTGACGCTAAGGTAGACCGCAGCATATAATATAAAGTGTATTCACTTGATTGAACGATTGAAACTCACATCAAGAGCATTTTTCACTGCACTTCGCTGACAGAAGTCCACAATGAAACATACCCGCCTTGTTTACATATCTCTGCTTTGATAGCAGGTGATAAGAATCATTTTAATTGCAAAGTGCTAGAAATCAATAAATCGATAGAAGGGCCCAACGAATCGCCGCAAAAAGTAGCCTATCATCTGCGCAAGGGTCGAAAACATATGTGTGCAAAGTTTCAGCTGAATCGGTTGAGTGGCGCGCGTTTCTATAGCGCACATACCCTCCAAACTGACAATTTTTGAGTTTTATATATATACCAGACCGAAGTGCCGCTTCGCGGCACTTCGGTCTGGCCGTGTGTGAAGTGGGATGTGCGTAGAAATTTGGCACATTGCCTCTTCTTACGGTTAGTCAAAAAGTAGGTGTTCGCAAACATCTGCTAATGGCGAAAACGCGAAGTAAGTGAAATTTCTATAGGTTTTATATGTTGATGTGAATGAAATATACAACAGAGCTTTTCTTATCTCCCCAAAATGTTTGGCATGTGGAAGATTTACAGCTTTTGCAAAACATTAGCTTGGTGGGTCTAAAATAGCCAAATCTGCTGAGGTTGTGCACTTGGACTAAAAGTAAGCCATCTAATGTAAGTCATCTGAAAAACTTTTTGGAAGAAATTGAAAGCTCTTCTGTCACACTGCGCTGCAACCCCCCCCCCCCCTCCCCTCCGTGTTTTCACTCCCCCCCCCCCCCTTGCGCTGAAGGCTTGTCAGCATAAGCATATTTTACTTTCTTTCCGAAAAGTCAAAAAATCTCCACGTTTTCCTGGTTCCTTATTTCTTCAAAATGTGCCACACTTATCATATTCTTGAGGTTTTCAGATTGATTTTCATCAAAATTTTTGCATACCCAGCGAGAGTAATCTCAACCTTCCAATCCACTTTCCGCTTTTCTATCACTTATTTTCCCCTAAATGAATGTTTTTCGAGAAACCGTGCGGGAACGTCTCCGGCTCCTTCGAGATCAGGGAAAAATCTGGCACTCGTTCGTTTTATTGGAAATGTCCGAATGTCCCTAAATTTATCAATGTGTAAATTTAGCATTATTCAAGTGTTTGCGCCATATTTTGTTAGTTTTCCTTTACCTTTCGATTACATCCAAAAAACTACTCTTGAGCTTCCTCTGTCAGGACCGCTCAAAGCTTTGATCTCTGATTTTCTTGAAAACGTGCGTATATCTTTGCCTTTTCCGGAGTCAAAGTGCACATCTCCCCAAGTTTTTCTACTCTCCCCCCCCCCCTGCCCCCTCCCTTCTTTCGTATCAACTTCCTCTATGCTACCTTAATATCTCAATTTTGTGGCACTTCAAACCATATTTTTCGCACTTCCAGCATTGGAGATCTCCATCTTTCATTCCTTCAGTTTACAATAATTTTTATACCTCCAATATGCTTTCTATTAGGGTGAACCGTAAAAAATGGGACACCTTGAGAATAATGGCAGATTTCTCAAGGAAGAAAAGTGATTGAACTTTCCAGTTTTGATGGATATTAGAATAAATTATTCTCTTTCATATAGTACCTATATAAGGTCATTTACATATTTGGTAACCTTTATACTTGCTGAAGTGCAAAGTTAGTCACTTTGACAAATTATAAACTTCGAGCAGTATCTGCGCAGTGAAACATGCGAAACCATCTAAAGTACTACTGCTGTAATGCGTGAAGGTACGGTCACCAGACCCACGATGGGTTGCTGGCCTCAACTTTCAAATTCAGGACATATGGCCATTAGCAGCTTTGAGAACACAGATACGTGCTATTCAATGCTTTGCATGTGAACGCATGTTCTATAGGTACCATCTGAAAGATCTTTTTACGCTCTATCCATCCATATGCAGTTTACCTCACATTTTATCTCTCTTCGGGAAATACAGATTGAAACTTGATTTACTGGTTTTTGTTGCGCCAAAAAATCGCGATTTTCCAGGTATTTCGCTTTTTTACCCAGAAATAGAAAGAAATTCTGTATGTTTCATATACTGTTTGAAAGAGCATGAAGAGCTCTTTCGAAAGGTGTATCAATTGCTCTATAACTTTACGGTATGTCTGCGCAAGAATGAGCAATGTTCAAAAAACCCTGTTTTAGTTCTTCAGGGCGCCACGCAAAGGGTTGTGGGAGAGGAGCGTTGACGCTTTGCCAGAATAATAGGCGAAGGTCGCACATGTAAGCGACATTCAAGTTGCAGCCTACTTGCTGTTGCTCGAAACAAAAAATTCCAAAATGTAATGAAAATAAAGCTGTCCCATTTTTTACCGTTCACCCTAATATATTTTGACTGATGTTTTCCGAAACTTCAAAACCTTTCTAGCGGAAGCTATCCGCGCTCGCGTTGCTGCTCGCTTTTGCGATATAGTAATCTAATGCATAACGAAAACAGCTAAGTAACCTACCCCCTTCCCAGCATTTAGCTTGTCTAGCAAGTCGCTTTGCTAGTTGGGCTTCTCGATTAACATCATCTAAGACAGGCGCCACTACCATCATGAGCCACAGCTCGGTGCACCTGCACCGGCACATAACGACAAAGTTGTTGACATCCGAATCGCGACCACGAAGGGGGGGGGGTATCTTACATGCATGAGTCATCTCTAGCGCTTTATTATAGAGAGATAGATAAAACTCAATGTCTGTGAGGATGTTCGTTTAGTTGTTCGTTCGTTATAGAAACGCGCGCCACTGAACCGATCCGGCTGAAACTTCTCACACGTATGTTTTCGACCCCGGCGGTGGTTTAGAGGTACTTTCCGCGGCGATTCGCCGAGCCATTCCATCGATTTATTGATTTGTTTACTCAAACCTAAGAAAATGAAGGGCCCTATGGCAACCGATCATTTTTACATATACGTATGTGAGCAGGGGCGGTAAAGTTCATTCTAACCTCAAGGCTGACAGGATGCAGCGGGTTCGTCTCAAAGCGCTTTTCGCGCAATGTAGAAGTTAGAAAGTGTAAGTATGTTGGCTTCAAGATTCGTGTGGAGGTGGGCTGCGGACTTCAGTGACTTCAAGGATAAGCTCGACCAGAAAGTATGAAATTTAACGCTTTAACGTAGAGGTTTAAAAAGTTTATCCTAAAGACCAGAAAAGTTTGCAACCCGCCTCTATACGAATGGGAGCCGATGACATATTGGTTAAACTAAGAGTCCCGGGTGAGACCGGGACTATCAGCTAGTATATTCTAAATTAGCCTCAAACACTGATTCCAAATTTGCTGTTCTTAGCTGCCACGCACCTCCGAAGCGAGTTATAGGCTTTTTCCTGCCTAAAATTGGCATACTACTGAACATGGGAAGACTGCCTGTAGATAAAAATCTGCAAGAAAAAGGTGCTGAGGTATCGAAATAGTACAAATCCAATCTTTTCTCACTAAAAAAAGCCCCAGATGTAACAGCACTTAAATGATGATGACTTGATGCCTGAGTCGATGACCATGTCAATTTTGCGCAGGGAAAAGCCCATAACTCGCTTTGGAATGGTGCGTGGCAGCTAGGAATAGCATATTTGGAAACGTTTGACTGATTCAGACCATTTATGTCCCTTGCCAAAAGGCTGAGCTAAGTTAGGTAGCTTCCAGTGGCGGTCCGAGAAATTTTTTTTCGGGGGGGGGGGGCGCGACAAAAATTTTTTTCTAAAGAAGGTGCGTGGCGTTAGCCACGCACTCCGAAAAAAATTTTTGGGGTGCTTCTCAAAATTTTTGCGGGTCCCCGACCCCTAAAATCTGGAAAAAGGGGGCGTGGCGTCAGCCACGCCCCCGAAAAAATTATTTTTATAGGGCTAAAATGAATTTTTAAAAAATTTTAAAAATTATTTTAATTATTTTCAAGTGCAAGCAAGTTTTACAACCCATATAGGTAAGTTTCAAAAATTCCGCGACCCATTCTCGGGGGGGGGGGGGGGGGCGCGCCCCCCCCCCCCCTCGGTCCGCCACTGGTAGCTTCCTTTGTAAGTCATCGCAGCACTAACTAGTGCGCAATGCGCTAATAAATGCTAGTTTTTGGCTTTTCTACTTTTTTTTTCAAAATCACCCCATCAACTTCTCAATTAATTTTTTATGTATTCATATCATAAGTGCAGTGGAAGTCGCGAAAGATTTTTCTTAAATTACATGGGCGTATAAGTTTTCTGTTTTGTTGTATGGGTGCAGTTGTAACTTGGAAATAGTAGTGAAGTAAGCTCTGTACACTTTTATTTGTCCTCTGGGGTCGCGAAATTTTTTAAAGTTACTTACATGGTTGTAAAAATATGCAAACGACTCGTTTTTACTTGTAAATAAGTGAATAATTTAGAAAATTTTCAAGATTCAAATTAGTCTTGTAAAAAGTTCGGGGGCCGCCGCCACCCCTCCTTCTCCTGAAGTTTCGGGGTTATGGGCCCGCAAAAATTTTGCGAGGCATCCTAAAAGATTTTCAGAGAGCTAACTTCGTCCCCCTCCGAACGAACGAAAAGACGCGGTCGAGCAATTCGAAACTCGTCCCCCTCTAGAGAGAGGGTTCTCGGGAATAGGGAGGTTTTGGAGAATTTGAATTTTATAACTGAATCAGGGTCTAGGAAAAGTCCAAGGATGAGAAGAACATGGGAGGCGAAATTTTGGATGTACGCAGCCCTTAACCACGTTAGGTTTTGTCCTCACTCTATTTTCTGATAAGGGTCTTGATCTTTTCTGTTGTCTACTCGCCAAATGATTTAGCTGCATTTCTTTGTTGCAAATCTTGCGTTGTGACTCTGCGCCTTTTCAGGATGAGGTTGAATGAAAATGTAAAAATTATCGGGAAAAATGTCATACTGGTACCATACGAGAGCCACCATGTTCCAAAGTATCATGACTGGATGGAAGATGAGGAGATAAGGAGGTGAGTGTGGTTTTCCCTCATTGCCAAACTGGAACCCGTAGAGACTTTTTTGGCGAAGGAGGAGCGGAATGGGGGTAGCAGGAGATTTTTTGTATGAGAACTTTGGGACAATTCTACAAGGAAGTGACTATTTTACAGAATTCAAAGAAAAAATAGCAATTATTCTCGTATTGAGGTAATTAAAGTTAGAAGTTACATACACAATTTCAAACTCATATAGATCACTTTCGCTTTGCAATTTTTGAATGTTAAAAAGAGCTAATTTCGCTATTTTTTTTGGCATTAGTTAGGATTTTGTTTTATTACTAATTCTTGTGTAACGCAAAGTTTAGATTGACAGGTTCCGAGCGATTGTCGCTTGAACAAGAGTACGATATGCAGCGCACTTGGCGCACTGATGAGGATAAGCTCACTTTTATCATTTTGTCAAGATCAATGACAGATAATGGCTCAGACGAGGTGATTTCCAAACTATTAAGGGTGGTCCCAGTTTGGTTATTTGAATTTTCTTGCAGATTGAAAGTATGATCGGAGACGTGAACTTGTTCATTCAGTCGGAAGAAAGCGCTGGAGAGCTCGAGATCATGATAGCAGAGAAAACAGCTCGGAGCCGTGGAGCTGGAACAGAGGCTGCATCCCTTATGATCTCGTATGCTCTCAATGAACTACATATCGAAAAATTCTTTGTCAAAGTGACAGATGATAACCGAGCTAGCTTGCATCTATTCGAAGATAAGTTGAAATTTCATCGAGTATCCCACAGCGACGTCTTCGGAGAATATACCCTTGAACTTCCCGAATCTGAGATGAAGTCTTTTAGAGAAATATTACATACGGCTAGCATAGTCTCTTATAGGAAATGAGCGAGTATATGATTAATACATTGTTTTTGTCCTGTTATTAATTGTTGCTACTTTAATGTGCAAAACAGATCACTCTAGAGTTTTTTCCTTTCTTTGGAAACTGCGGCGAGATAGTCTCCCTTGATTACTTGATTTTCGTTTGATATATTTTTTTTTGATTTTGATTTTTGAGGCTACCAATGTTATCATTCTGTGGTGTTTTTATTGTTCTAATTTGCTTGTGATTCAAGAAAACAAAAGAGAAATCAGATCTGCTATCTTTGAAGCACACAACCAAACATAAGAAGTTTCAATTGTCCTTTACTTGGCAAATTCTAATTCTTAGGGCATTATTAATTTTTGATCCCTATGGGAGAAAATTTCTCTTTTGCATCAAAATCGGTAGGGTGGAGGACTATATGTCGTCGAAAAAGGGCGGTCCCCTCGTCATTTACGACAAATACGCCCCTTGTGTATGCGCGGACATGCGTTCCTTCAGGAATTTCGCGGACTCTTCCACATTCAGCGACATATGGCCCTCCACCCAAATCTGGACATATCTGTCATATTTTTTACAGACTAGTTACTTGCATTTTCACTTTGTTAAAAAAAAATGGAATTTATATATGTCCTGATGGGCCCGAAAGGTGAATAGAGCAGTTTTCAAAACTTTCATAGAAAACTAGTTGAATCATAACGGAATACTCGCCACTTCCTTGTACTAGGATCTCTCCCGAAAAGACGGACAATGGCAAAAGTGGTTTATGAGGGACAAGTGTTTGCGCACGATATTCACCGTTGCCATCGTTGAACCTTCTGGTTTTTCTGATACTTCTGAGAAAGGGATGAAAATAATCGAGATGTCTTTTTCGACTTTTATTTGCTGTTTAGTTTGTGTCATTGATTTATTAATTCTTTGAGAAGAAAAGATAGATACTTTGGTCACAGAGTGTCGTTCTGTAGGCTTCTAGTAGCTCTTTTGAATCATCGCCTTTAAAGTGTTAACTTATATAATGTGTCGCAAAATCAAACAAAACCGCAGCACCAATATTTATCGTAATATCTCCAAACCTGAGATTATCAACTGAAGTGTTTGAGATTTTCGTTTTTCTATTGATTAGTCGCTCCCACTGTGTTTTCTTGTTGACTTGTTCTGAAAATAGAGGAAACATTGTTAGTACGCGAAGGTAAAGTTCATCGAGATTTTAGGGTCCAAGAAGATGGCTGACCGCGTTTGCTCAGTCCTTGGGCAGCACATCCGCGCAGTGCAAAGAAATCCGTTTGGGCAACCGCGTAGCAAATCACATAGTAAAGGTTGTTGCGTCGAAGGGAAAAGCATTGGTTGTTGTCCGTCTGGACACTTCGTGGGTAATCTTTTTCCTGGTTGTGGCGGTTGCTCGGGTAGCAGTCTTTGCTCAGTTGCCCTGAGTTTAAAGATTTTGTTTCTGAAGTGGCCATCAAAATAGATTTACCCAAATTGAATTGTCCACTGATTGCTCGGCTTTTTCTGTGAATGCTTACAACATAAGTAAGTAGTAACAAGGAAGGAGTAAGCGCAAGAAGAATCTCTGGGACATTTTGTTCCACCAATGCATTCCATCACCATATGATCAGAGTTCAGCGCAGGTTCTTGTTGCTGACCGCAAAGATTTGCTGAAATCACGTTTTGTGCCAAAAATAGGGAACAAATCCAAGTTTTTAACCTAACGGATATACTGAAAGTCAGTCTCACCCATGCAGCGATCTCTGTACATTACTGTTTTCCCATCACACATGCATCTTCCCAATCTGCATTTGGCACTGGCTGGGCACCTGGTTCCGTCCTCGCATGGTTCACCTAATTTTGCTGTCCTCAGTTTATTTTTGTTGACCTGAAATTATCATGTCATCAAGCGAAAAGACGCATGCCGTGTTTACCTTTTCTTTTTCATTTTGTTTATTCACTTGATGTACAACACGAGGCGATTGAACTGCACATAAGCGATTGATGCATATTGTACCATTGTAGCACTGCGAGTTCATCAAGCAGGATGCTCCTATCGAACCCCGTGGCCTGAATAGAGTGAAATTGTACATATTTTTGTAGCAACGAAGTTGTCAAGCATGTATTTCGTTTTTATCTTATGAATGCGAAGAATAAGCTAATATTACGACCTGAATGGTAAGGGAAAGTACGTGAGGCATATTCTTAGCTTTATTTTTCATTTTTTTTGAAGGTCAGATTACTACCAAGTGATACTTTTTACTTTGCGTGATGGTAATTATGAATGTTATTGTACCTTGTATCTGCTCTCATATTCTTTCTCGTTACTTAATTTTTGTCATGACCAAAGAATATCTATCACGACCTGCATTCTCCGTTTGTAAGTACTGTATCTGGAGGGCATAGAAGTACCAGCACTGTATTCGTTGTTTCATTTAACTTTCCAGTCACTGTTGGAATTTTCGGTGTTGAAGATGCTGGCACAACCATGTTTTCGTCTGGCTTGGGCTGAAATGGTAATTGTTGACGTTACTATAATCTTGAAATTCTCCGTTTATAGAGGAAGAATGCGCCTATCTTGTGATCGACCAATCATTCTTTCAGAATCTCAACATCAGATTCAAAATTTTGTTTGTGTTGACAAAAAGAATTGCCATGGCATCATGAAAATGTTTTTCGATTATTTTTTTCAATTTGACAAAATTTATTTGTGTCTTAAATTTATAAGCGTCCATGCTTGGTCTCCTTCTTCTGTTACTCATCCAGTATTTTAATGAAATATATAGTGCGAGTAACATAGTGTTTACGTGTTGAGAATTTCTGAGTAAGTCTGGGAAAACTGTTTGAAAGAAAAAAGCGTTTCTTTACCTGTTCTGAAGTTGATTCTATTTCAGTCGCTTTACCGGTGCAGCAAATGTAATTTCCTTTTTCCGTTAATTGACATATGTATCCTGTCGGGCACAAATTTGCTTTCAATGAACATGCCATAGGAATTCCACTCAGATCCAGAAAAGCCACAGATTCCTTTGGGCAACCTTGAAAAAAAATTTCAAGAAGAAAGCAGGGATTTTACAATATATGTTGATTAGAATAGTATATGATCCTTACCTGCTTTATGCCCACAGCATTGAAATTGCTTATTTTTGTTGGAGAATTGACAAAAATATCCGAAAGGGCAATTGCTTCCTGAGGATGTGCACAACATTGGCTTATCTCTGTCGAGGAAAGCAACTTGTGAAGAAGGGCAGCCGTACTCTGGAAAACTGTCCGTAAAATTGATATGTAGAAGTTTTATAATACACTAAGCACCTCGTTCAACTTTCTGTTGCTCCTCAGGTGGTTGATTACCACAACATTGGTATCTTTGGAAAGCGACAGCGAACTGACACGAGAATGAGGAAGGGCAGCTACTCCCATTGAAGGGATCACACTCAACAATTTTCTTAGCTTTCGTCAATGCATATTCGCCAGGAGGGCAGCCTTCTGAAATTCATGAAGCTGGCATAAAGTTTTTGGGATCCAATTTTGTTTACCCATAACTACGTTGCTGCTTAACTGGCAGCAGTACCCGCTAGTAGAGAATGGCATTCGTAGCTGACAACTATAACCAGCAGGGCAGGCACTAAGTAGCCCCGGAGTGCAGATCCTTGGCATTTTGGTGCCGTCATCCACAAGATATTTAGCATTGTCTTTGCATACGCCTAAATCAAGAACATGAGAACATGAGCGCAATTTTAGCAGAAATCAATTTGATAAGAAGCAAAAAACTTTCTTTTCTCTGAACAGCAAAATCCTTGTGACATTCCTTTGATTTTCGATTGGCAAGAGAAGCCATTTGCGCATTCGTTTAACACATTCATCAAACACCGTTGGGGCAACGAGGTGTTTTTCGATCTGAAGATGGCTCTTCCTTCGGGACACATATCTGAAAGCGATAGAAGACAAATGGTTCTGTTCGCGATACGGTAGTTTAGTCAAATCTTAGGAAAATTTTCAAAGACAGGGGCGCTTTACTTTATTTTTCCATTCTTGTTTTTCTACTGCTAATTGCCAAAATAATCTACTATTATTGACTATGTTCCTAACGTAGCTTGTGGCGCGTTTTTGAACTTACCGAAAATAGTTGGATGAATATTTTACTTAGAAGCATTCTTGTCGAATAGCACTTGAACTATCAAAATAATTGTGATGGACCGACCTTCAACCGCCGGAGCACAGCAGTAATATTTATTCATTTTAGAGTTGAATCGGCAGAGAAAATGTGATGGACAGCTGCCAGGAATATTCACAGCACATTCTCGCACTGTGTCATCCGTTTCCATATATGGTCGTTCATCTTTCGGACAAATATCTAAATTAGTAATTGTTTGATTAGAAGACCACTGTGCGGCGGAGTCTCAAAATTTCAAATAAATATGCGTTTTTATACAGCACCCGTGTTGATCCATTACGTTGAATTGTTATCAGGAAAATTTTTTTAAACAACAATTTAAACAACAACAACAACTACAACAATTTTCTAAAGAAAAATGAGCATTTCGGTTACAAGTGATACAAATATAAATTACGGTGTGCTCATGTACACCGAGTTAGACTTAACAAATCTGGAAGATATTTTCAGAACACTCTGTATTCTTCTCAATGTTGATTTTTGATGCATCAAGAAATAATTAACCTACTCAACGCAGAAGGTGGGGAACCGCAGCAAACAGATTTCGTGAGAAGGCTATGGTGGCGACACTGTGAACTGCCGGGGCAGCTGTTGTGCACTTCACTATCACAATAAAGGGGTTGCGATGTTCCAGGCTCCTTGATGACGACTTCACCGGCTTCGCAACCTAAATTTTTAATCATTCGAAGATAGTAGACCTGAATAAGGTATTAGAAACCAACCTGCGCTCAGACAAAAGCTCTGACACTGATCCTTACTTGCAAAATTGTTATGATTACCCTTGCAGCCATTATATTGAAAGGTAGTACACTGCCGAGTTATGAGGTTGAAATAATAGCGTGCTGTAGAAACCATCGAACACTGATTTCCTTGTTGTGGTGCTTGGCTGCAGATGAAAACTGAAAATGTGCAGGATCTTCAGCCAAACTAGGTGTATGCTCGACATTGTAAATTATGATAAAGAAAAAAAATCCATCAAGCCTTTTTCTAGATAAACTTCCAGAACTTTTCTGAAAGTGATGTAAGGCTTTCGGCAATCATTTGAAGTGCGAAGGATGAAGACAAACTGGAGCTTATTTGAGCAATACAACACTGATTAGTATTAACAAATCACCTTCCACCTTTCAAGCAAACCTTGCTATCAGTGGCTCCAATTTGACATAGTCATTCGGCTTTGTATTACTAGACCTTCGAATGTGACTGGAGCAGAAAACCTGATATAGTCTGGCTACTTTAGGCAGACCAACTTTTTCTTCAGAGGGGTTTTGAAGGAAAAAATGGCAGGTTCGGTTCTTTACCTGTCGACCAATGGCGTACCCAGGATTTACGCTGGGGGGGGGGGGGGGAGGAGGCAACATTTTTTTCGGATGAAGGTGCATGGCGTTAGCCACGCACTCCGAAAATTCTTTTGGGATGCTTTCCAAAATTTTGAGGTCCCCTGGCCCCAAAATTTTAGATAAAGAGGACGTGACAGCAGCCTGCCCCCGAAAAATTTTTTTAAGGGCTGACTTGAATTTTAAAAATTTTCAAAAATTATTTTAATTGCAAGTAAAAACAAGTTGCTTGCACATTTTTATAACACATTTAAGTAATATTCAAAAATTTCGCGACCCATAATTTAGAAATCTTGTTATGAACGCCACACTGCACAATTTAGATCTTCTTATGAACGGGAAGCCAAAAAATTAGCACCACAAGGTGTTTTGAGCTCTATATACCTTTCGTTGGACAGCAGCGATGTACGATATTCCCGTTGAACGGCAACCCTAGACATTCATGCGTAGATGGACAGCGATGGGTGTTTGAACAAGTCACTTGTCTGTTCGTCTTTTCTTCCGTTAGAGATGATGCTCCATTTGGACAGCCTAGAAGGTCAGCTAAGGTTTACGGACCTACATGTAGAACTAAGAAGAAATTCAGTGACTTCTTAACTTTCCATAGATTTCTTTCACTCATTTTGTCATTTGATTCTGACTGTTTAACCTATTTTTGATGTCCAATCTTTTAAATTTTTCAAGAAATTCATGAAATTTCGTTACATTTTTGAAAAAAAATTCACCTCCAACTCCACAGTAATGCTGACAATCTTGTGCGTTCAAGAAATTGTTACTATTCCCATCACATCCTTCATACTGAAATGTGTCGCAGGACTGGAGAGCTGCATTGAAATAATATCGATAAGACCGTCCATTGCCACATTTTACTCCTTTGTCGGCACTCAGCGAGCAGGTATAAGCTGCAAGAATTTATCGGTAAAATCTTTTTCTCAAATTTGCCGGTAGAGACTCGTCTCTCATGGTAATGGTGACCACCTTTCGTAGGGCAGCATCCATGCGTAGTTCCATCATAAGAGCAAATGTAATTCGAAGGACATTTTGTCTTTGCCGAGCAGTGCACGAACTTGCCCAAATGGTCACGATAAGCTCGTCCGTGCTGACATCTCGGCTCATCTGGAATTACACGTGACTAGGAGAGCTTACCTAAGGAAATTTGCGCTTACCAATTATTCCCTTGCAAGTCTGCTGGCACTGTACCAAAGTATTGAAATTATTGTCATTGTCTTGACAGCCGGTATAGTGAAACATTTCACAGTGACGAGAAGCTGCGTTGTACCAGTAGCGCCTTATTGTAGAAGTGCAATCTCCTGGCTGTTTTGGCTGCGTGCAAATGGTTTCTGGGAAATACCGATGAGTAAGAAAAACGATTATCGCCTAAAATCTCACGAGAAGTTGGACAGCAAACTCGATGACCGCTGCTACAAGTATGAGTTGATGGACAGTCGGACGAAGATTCACACCGCTGCCAATCATCTCCGATGCGAAGAGCCGATCCGCTTGGACAAACAACTAAAAATTATGCATAAAATTTGAACCGATTTCCTCTCCAATACGGTGATTTATGCAGAAGGATCGGCAGAAATTTATAAGACTTAGAATACATTACGTCAGTAGAGTTTGTCAAGCTTTACGATGAATAAAAAATCATAGAATTAAGTGTGACTCTTCTGATCCTACTAATGAAATTTTTTACAAATTGTGGTGCACATAGTCACAATGAATCGAAAAAAGTTGCTCTTCTCTATCTCTGACGTTAGGATTGAAGGTTAAAATGTTGGTTAAGTATGTAAAAGACTTCTGGTAGGCTCAGAGGAACACACAATTTCTATAATCTCATCGTAGAGAATGACTATGTAAATGTGCTCTACATACATATGACTACTCTACTGGCTAAATTTGCATTATTTTTTTTTTTACAATAGGATAAGCTCAACTCACGCTTGGTACAAAATGCCTCACATTCTTGTTTTGTCTGAAAGTTGTTGAAGTTACCAAGTCCATGGTAAACGAAGTTGATGCATTTTCCTTTCTCAATATCGTAGTAGTAACGCATAGAAGTTCTGCTAAAAAAATACATTTACTGCCTAATAATTTGAATCTGTCCGAAGACTGCCTAGATGGGCAATATACAATGCAATTTTTTCTCCAATTTTGGTAGTTTTCTACATTTTTTGTGCATTCCGTGCTACACAGAAATCTGTTTCCTAACGCAACGCACCTCCCAGCAGTGCTCACTCCTCGGTCAAAATTTGCCTTCGGTTTCTCCAGATAGATTCGACCACCGAAAGGGCTGCAGATAAACTCTGCAAGAAAAACTCTGCAAGCTTTAGCCTACAAAAATCCTGAATGAGAAGAAATACCTTTTTTGGCGCAGCATGTCTGTGTCGACCCAATGAGAACACATTCATTATTACTACTGCAAGTCGCTCTGGTAGACATACATCCCATTTTGGGAACTTCGTTGTAAATGGCTGAAGTTGACTGGGCAAACTCTCTGGATCCACGTGTGCAGGCTAAAACATGAAGTTCAAAACTTACATCAGAAGTAAAAGCTAGTCAAATTCAAGTGTACGTCCTTAAAAAGGTTTTCGTAATCATCAATCTGGAAATTCAATAATGATTTCCCATTTTTTTACCTTTTAGAATTCCCATTGAAAGACCTACACTAGGCAATTTTTTTTGGATTGATGCGCCTGGATTGATATAGTTATTGAACTTCCCCTAAGAACAAGAACTCACTGTCCCTGCAATAACTTTCGCAGTGTTCCACAGTCTTGAAATTATTGGGAGAGGCGCCCTCTATGGTGTTTGGATCCCACATGAACTGTTGACACGTTCCCGTTGCAGAATTGTACCACCATCTGGGAACGGATGGCTCCTCTCCAGCCTCCATCGGTTGAGCACAAGTAAAAGCTGAAACAGCTTGATAGGATAGTAATTGCCGAGATTGTTCCATCTTCATCAAAATTCCTACTCGAGGAATTTGTAGTGTTACCTCTACTGGGGCAGCAGATTCCGTCAATTGAAGAGTGGTATTCGGGAAAAACTTCGCTTTTTATCTAAAAATCTTGAAATTTCTGTATTTACCGATTCACTCCAAACCGAACCTGTGGATGCACAATACAGTCATAGATATCGGCGATGAAGATGTCTTGATCGCCATCTGGATATACACACCACGTTGAACCATCGCCACCATTGGATGTTCTAGTCTCCGCGGATGATGAAGTGCAGAGTATCGGCCTAGGAAAAAAAGAGGTGAGAAATTTAGATAAAGTGCTTATCAACACCTCAACTTACATATAGCTGTCAGAATTTAGTGGATGAGAAATAGAATTTGCCAGTACTGTCGCAGGGTTTGGAACGTCATCATGAGGTTCGGGTAGTGGGCAGGATGGAGGAATTAGAGAGGACACACAGACTGTCCCATCTCTTAAGTTTAGAAATTTAGAAGCATAGAAGGCTCGAATGCCCAAAAAGTTGTCTGAATTTCCCCATTCTTGATATAATAGCAGTCTCGTCCTGAGTTCTTCACAGGCTATCTCTGAAGAGTCAAAAAGCTGAAGTATCGCGTAGAGGCTTTAAGATAGAACACTGTGTCCTACCATCAATAAAGCTTTCAAAAATCTTTTTTATGATGTCGTTGAGCCATTTGGGTAAAATAAATAGTTGGGGAAGCTAAACTCTCAGAATGCTTACCGTACTTTGGGGATTCAAAAAAAGAATTTCAGTTTATTGCACATGAATGAAATATTTATTAGTGATTTGCGGAATTGGTAAAAGCCAATTTCCAATAGGTTTGATAAGATACAAATACAATGGGAGCTAATTTTACCTACCTTGTTTTGCTTGGCACTGTATCTGCAGGGCATTCGCAAACGCCTGAGGTGGAACAAATCGCCTCCGGCCAAACTGCATCGCATTGTCTTCCATCTACACATCCAGATTCCCCTGGGTTGATTTCTGACGAATGGACTGGTATTTCATTGAATTCTCTAGCACAAACTTCTTACTAGGCCAGCAATGTTTTTCTATCGCGACGAAGTTGGATAGGCATTGGCATAGCCCTCCACCGCAGAACATTCCACGTTGACAGTCTGTATTGAATGAGCAGACTTCTCCAACAAGTGAAGAGCCTTAAAATAATTTTTACGTTTGGTCTTATTACAGGGTATTTTTTACCGCTGGTGTTTCGACGGTGTCTCCTCTCATGTCGTTCATGCGCGAACGCAATAGACACTAATATGGTCGTATCTAAAACGTAATTATAAGAAACCGCTACATCGTAGGTTTTATTCACCGAAATTTTATTACCCCCCAAATCTACTCAAAATCGGCTACTTGAAAGCTGCAAAAAATGCTAAAAATGCAGAAACAATCACTCCAATTCAAACCAAAAATATCCTACGTATAAAAAAGTAAATTTTTATTAGAATGCATGCTCCTCCCATCATATCACTTTTTTACTTAATTAACCACATCATCCAATAATAAAAGAGACTCACATAGCAAAAAAATCAAGGTCCGCATGGAGGAAGTGCTAGATTATTTGACAAGGCAAGATGATTTTCATTGTGTTGGTTGGTACTTATTGGCACCTTTCTGTTTGCAAATGGGAGATAATCGAGAACCGATACTGTTTGAAGAGATCGGTTGATGACCACAGAGTGCAGTGGCGGCTCTCTCTCAGCTCGGCAAATAGCCTTGAACATGCTTGTTTTGTGCTACTCGCTAGATATACTCATTATTTAGCTATTTTAAACCTAGAATCTTGTGTATCGCGTAGGGTGACAGGTCTACTTTGGTCCATTTATATTCGCTACATATATGGAAACTAGTCACTCAATCATTCAAGCTGATGTCAACTCCTAAATTTCTGCATTTCTCTGCTGTCCCACACTAACAAACTATGCATTGTCTGGTTGGGCATTTTTGATCGTAGAGCCAATTTTGTACAAGTGCTTCCTAATGTCAATGTTTTATAAGAATTTGTTAAGTTCTTTGCAGAGAGCCAGAAATTTAAGAGTCGATAGAAGGCTCAGAGAGCTTCGTGGAAGTAACGTAGGACATCGTGAGGCGACACATGTATCCCAATAGCCTACTGCCTTATAAACTTGCTATTTTAGCTCCCGATCCATGACGTGCAGGAGATTAGGCATTTATCTAGAAGTGCTAGGAAGGAACATCGCCGGTGGACATGGGAATCGCCCAACGGAACGACCCACGCGGAGATCGACCACATTCTCACCAACCGAAGGTGGAGCTTACTCGATGTCTCTGTAGTTCCATCCTTCTGTAGTGGCTCCGATCACCGCCTCCTTCGAGCGAAGATACGACTCAGCCGAAGGCTGGAAAAGAAAGTCTGTCATAGTGCCGCGAGAAGGAAGGAAGTCGTTTATGACGGTAACAGGCTGGAAGAGCTCATATCAAGTTGTGACTGGCCCATCGAGGAGGACCCAACGTACGACTACGACCGGCTTCTGAAAGGATTGCGAGCCTGCGGAGAATGCGCCTCAGTGACTTCTGAGAGAAACTTGGACCGCATCTCGAAGACCATCAAGGAATTGCTCGAAAGAAGAAGATCATTGAGGCAGGATCCGAATGCAACTCATCTCGAGCGACTGATTGCCAACACCAGTTGCAGAACAGCTTTGCAAGAGGATCTCAGGAAGTACAGGCAAGCCAAGATACTGGAAGCAGCAGAAAGAAGACGAAGTCTCAAGAAGTGCCGAAGGGACCTCTGCGAATATCACGTACCGCTGGCTGCACTACTGAACGAAGACGGGACTCCGACTTCTTCCCGATACAAGATGGAATCTATCGCGAAGAACTTCTACACCAACCTCTTCCGCTCATCAACACCCGTGCAGATGCCCGTTGTTCCCACTGGAGAAGTACCACCACGAATTCTACCTGCTGAAGTGCGTATCGCGATACAGACCATGAAGACGTCCACGGCTCCAGGACCAGATCATCTTTCCGTCGAACTTCTGCGAGCCGGAGGACACCGTCTACACGAGATTCTAGCGTCGCATTTGACATCTTACCTTCAGAAGGAGAAGATTCCCGACCAGTGGAGAACGTCAAGAACCGTCCTTCTCTTCAAGAAGGGTGAACGGGAGGATCTTCGGAACTATCGTCCAATATGCTTGCTGAGTGTGCTGTACAAGCTTTTCACGAAGATTATCCTCGCTCGCATATCAAGGACACTGGATGAAGCCCAACCCCAAGAACAAGCTGGATTTCGCAAAGGATTCAGCTGCATGGACCACATCCAGACCGTTTCGAGGGTCATAGAAGTCTGCCGGGAGTACCGACTGCCTCTCGTCCTAACCTTTGTCGACTACGAGAAAGCCTTCGACAGCCTCGAAACCAACGCCATCCTGTCTGCGCTAGTCGATCAAGGAGTGGACCCAGCTTACGTGAGGACGTTAGCCGACTGCTACAAGGACTGTACAACGACGATGCAGCTATTCCATCGCCCCCTGACCATACCAATCGGGAAGGGGGTCCGACAAGGCGACACAATCTCGCCGAAGCTGTTCACCGCGGCCTTGCAGTGGGTGATGAAGTCACTGGACTGGGACGAGAGAGGCATACGAGTTGATGGGAGATTCCTGTCCAACCTTCGTTTTGCGGACGACATCGTTCTCTTCTCGAGCAGTATCACCGAAGCAGAGACGATGCTGAAGGAACTTAACGAAGTAGGGAAGAAGATCGGACTGCGAATAAATCGGAAGAAGACTCAGTTCATGAAGAACGCCCTCTGCGAAGATGCAGAAATGGAATTGGAAGGCACCCCGATTATGGAGACGTCTTCCTACGTGTATCTCGGACGTTCGATGAACATGGAGAACGACTTGAGGGAAGAACTCAACAGGAGAAGAAGAGCAGCCTGGGCCGCCTTCGGGCCTCTGAAGGAAGCCACCGACCAACTGACGGACCCGGAGCTTCGTGCCCACCTGTTCGACTCAACCGTTCTCCCGGCGCTCTGTTACGCAGCTGAGACTTGGGCCGACACTGTAGCCACGTCGAAAGCTCTACGGACCACCCACAGAGCGCTCGAGCGCAGTCTTCTGAAGATGACCCGACGCAAGCAACATCTAGTCGGACTTCGCAGCACGGATATGAGAAGAATGTCCCGTCCTCGTGACCCAGCGGAATACGTCGCGAAAGCCAAACACCGATGGGCCGGTCACATAATGAGAAGAACAGACGACAGATGGACACTAAGAACATCGGAGTGGATTCCTCGCGAAGCCAAACGTCCCCGAGGAAGACCTCCAACGAGATGGGCAGACGTGTTCGTGGAACGGATGGACCAGCTGAGAAATCAGCTGGATATGATTTTTGCACCTGGAACTCGTGGACGCAGCCATCGACGTCAGCCAAGAAGATCGTGGATGTCAGAAGCGAGGGACAGGGAAAAATGGAAACTTCTGAGCTGGGGCCCGCACGTCACGTGAAGCCGAGCCATCTAAGTATCTAAGTAAGTAAGTGCTAGGAAGTCGTTACATTACCTAGGTATTGCATCCGTAGCCGAAGAGATGTAGCGCTTAGGAAAAGCTTAACTTCAGTAACCACCGACACTCAAAGTATACCTCAATGTGACAAGAAAAGACCGTGATTTCCTCCAATGATTCTTGCTGGGTTGCCTAAGATTGGAGGTAGCCGGCAAAGTGGAGGTTGGTGTTTGTTGGGATTTCATAGCATTGCAGTAGACTCTGAAACTTTTTTCGGGCTTGCTTGTCCGTATCCAATTGAAAGCTTTGGAAAGTCTGATTTCTGAGCTCTCTAAAATATGGTTTCTGTAACAGCGGAAAAATTAGCCCAGATGTAACGTTAGCCTGACCAACAAAGCGTATTACCTGGCTGAAGAAGACGTACAGAAATGGAAAATGTTCAATTCTGCGCGAATCACCGACCTAATCACCGACGATCTTCAGGGCGGGAAAAGAAAGGCCGATTTGACCTCTCAGCAGGGCATACAGGGTGGCCTGTAAGTATGGGCGTTACAACATGTAATATATCTTTTTTTCTGAAATATTCTATTATGGCGGCTAATATGCCTGTAGCTTTTGGACAGTCTCTATCATCATCTATCATGACTTATAATAAGCGGCTTAATCTGAAGTTGTGTGGAGTTTGTCCGTTACGAAATTACAGTAAGGAATGATTCACGATACTAAACATCATGTGAGGTTAGGATAGCGAGTATGGTTCATTTTTAACTACGGCTCACTTTGCAATAAACCGAACAATGATTTGAGAGACAAGCTCTCAGAAAGTGAGTTCACCACGGTTCACGATGCCAGTGCGAACCTCTGCGAAGCAGAGGTGAAGCACTGGTATATATATAAAACTCAAATATTGTCAATTTGGAGGGTATGTGCGTTATATAAACGCGCGCCGCTCAACCGACTCAGCTAAAACTTTGCACACATATGTTTTCGACCCTTGCGCAGATGATAGGCTACTTTTTGCGGCGATTCGTTGGGCCCTTCTATGGATTTATTGATTTGTTTACGTTTTTCCAAGGAATCGAAGGCTTATCATGTATCAAGCATTTTCTCATAATCATGAAAGGAGGGCGGTGAAGCTCATTTTCACCTCAGGATTACGAGTTTGCGGTTTGAAGCGGATGTCCCAGGGTAAGTCATCCATGACATATAGGGGAAGGCGGGGGGGGGGGGGGGGGGGAGCAGTGCAGGTGAACGGAACAAGGCCCGGGCTGGACCGGGAAAGCCAACTAGTAACTTATAATAACGGGCTAAGGGTTGTTTACGTTTTTTTTTGTGTGTGTGTGTGTCTGTCCGTTACGAAATTCGTAGGGAGAGTTCAAGCCAACCTCTTGAGCCCAAATTTTGCATAGCACATCCCAGCAGCAGGAAAGTCCATTGTGCAAAAGCACAGGCGGATCCGATATATGGATCCCCTAGAAATTGCGCGCGAAACGGGTTCACTTAACTTCTGACCAGCAAAATTGGATCCGTATATAAACTTTTTGCAAAGTCGTGGATATGTTTGATAAGCTAATGTACAAGCCGTGAACTTTAGCCCAAAAAATTCAACTAAAGTTGGTTACTTTACGAAAATGGCGCCAAAAAGTATCAGTGCGTAAATGTTCAATTTACCACGATTTTACGTGATCATGATTTTTGATCGTGATCGTGATTTGAGAAGATTTTTGCACAGAAATGCAGCCCACGATGATTATTGCCGTTATGGCGAGTACCAAGCCATGAGAAGTCCACAAACCTATTCAAATTTGCATTTGTTCTTCTGAGAAAAGTTTTATCCACGTGAAATTACCGATCTCGCACAAAAGCTCTAGGAATGAGTAGCTGTTTACAAATCATTCGTGATAGCCTGCTAACGCGGTGAGTTTCACTGTCATCATTATGCGGGAATTAGTAAGGCATACAGAATGTAAGGCCAGTGCGAGTCTCTGCGAAGCAGAGGTGACGCTCTGGTAACTTATAATAACGTGCTAAGGATGTTTACGTGACCTTGTATGTGTGTGTGTGTGTGTGTGTGTGTGTGTGTGTGTGTGTGTGTGTGTGTGTGTGTGTGTGTGTGTGTGTGTGTGTGTGTGTGTGTGTGTGTGTGTGTGTGTGTGTGTGTGTGTGTGTGTGTGTGTGTGTGTGTGTGTGTGTGTGTGTGTGTGTGTGTGTGTGTGTGTGTGTGTGTGTGTGTGTGTGTGTGTGTGTGTGTGTGTGTGTGTGTGTGTGTGTGTGTGTGTGTGTGTGTGTGTGTGTGTGTGTGTGTGTGTGTGTGTGTGTGTGTGTGTGTGTGTGTGTCTGTTACGAAATTCATGGAGCGTGTTTCAGCCAGCGTTCTAAGCCCAAATTTTGCATAACGCATGCTACCTTCATGAAAGTCCAACATGCAAAAGCACGAGTAGATTCGTTGAGTGGATCCCTCAGAAATTGCGCGCCAAACGGGTCCACTTGGCTTCTGTACTGCAAAATTCGGTCCGTATCACCACTTTTTGCAGAGTCGTGGATGAGTTTGGTAAGCAAATGTGCAAGCGATGAAGTTTAGCCAGAAAAGTGGTCGAAAGTTTACTACATAACGAAAACGGCGCCAAAATGAATTGGTTGTGTAAATGGTCAACTTGCCAAGGTTCTAGTAAAGCGTTTGTGAAGATTTTCGCACAGAGATATAGCTCACGGTTACTATCAGGGTTGAGCAAGAGGTCAGGCACAAGTCTTTCCAAAACGACCCCCCCCCCCAGTGAAAGGCCCTAAACGACCCCTCTACTTCACCTCCAGGACCTCAGGCTGTGATAATTCAAAGAGATCAGCCGTTTTTGGGAGGTTCTCGTTTTTTGGAGGTCTGTAGGTCGACTTTCTGCGACTGCGCAGCACACGCAACTTGACGGCAAGTTTTGGATTTTGGATAGCCCTAATTTTAGAGCTATAATTCCCACAAGGATGTATTGTTTGGCTCCAAATTTGCAGTATTGCAAGAAGAGGCTTTGAGTTCAATACTCACAGCAGAAATGGAGCGGTTTTTAGATTTTGAAAACAAGTTAATCGGGTCAGGCGCAACCCCTCAAAAGCTCAGGCGGCCTGACCTTTTGTGGGGTTGCGCCTGACCCGATTAACTTTATCATTGAAGAAGCTTTTTTATTCAAGTTTTATGTGAATCGCTAGCACAACCCTCGAAGATTCCACAGTAAGTGTTTGGACTTGATTCGACTTGTTTCGGTCTTGTAGTAATCCGTGGAGTTGAAGCAGTCATGGCGAAAAACGCGCCGGTCGGAATTTTGGCATGATTTCTTACTCCACTATTTGCAAGCGATATAAAGCGCGATTTTTAGCCTAAACTAGTAGGGAACAATACTCTGTTACGAGTACAAAAAAATTGACTTTTCTCACTTTTGAAAACAAGTTAATCATGTTTGAAAATCACGCTTTTTAGTCGTTGAGAAACCCTAGATAATGCAGTACATAATGGTTTGTAGGGCTCATAGAGGTAATTTGAGGTGCTCGGGAATGATACCCGTTTCACACAGCAAGCTTCCTTGATGAATTTATAATATGTCAAGGTAGAAGATGAAGATTTGAGTTTTGGCCGAAACTTCGATTGTGGAATCAATCAGTATGCTGTTTAAGACCGTTCACCTTCAGTACTGGTGAGGTCGCGATATCCACTAAACTAGCGCTTTTTTTCTTCACCTTAATCGTAGTATCTCCTCAATCGAACGAATTCGATTCCTAATCACGCCCCCCCCCCCTCTGTCTTACCCCAGTACGACCCCCCAGGTCGGGCGCGCCTGACCCCACGCTCAACCCTGGTTACTATTACCTTTATGGCGACTACCAAGCCATGACAAATCCAAAAACCTATTCAAATTTGCGTTTGTCTTCCTGCGAAAAATTTCATCCACTCGAAATCACCGATCTCAAGTGTAAAGACTTTCTAAATGAGTGGTTGTTTAAATTTTATTCGTGGTAGTCGGCATAGCGCGGTGAGTTCCAGTGCCACGATTTTACGAGAATGAGTAAGGCACATAGATAGTAGAGCCAGTGCGAACCTCTGCGAAGCAGAGGTGACGCACTGGTATTAAGATAAGTGAAAATCACGTGAACTGAAGTCTTCTGATACAAGCGGGACTTCTGAGTCCACTTCTTATTGAGAGGCGCTGCGGTGCCTTCAGTTAACACCATATTTATAGCGCCGTATCTTACTTTGGGAAAGAGAATTTTTTGCTATTACAGCACTGTGTTATTCCTCAGACTGTGCTCTATAAAACCTCAGGTCTTAGAATTTATTCGATTGATAATCGGGTTATTTCAACGAATTCGCAAAGGATACATTCTTCAAGTAGAGTTTTCGACACATCAACTTTAAGGTGAGCTGCTGAAGTCTGTATGCATGTGCAGGACTCCAGTCTTGCATGAGTAACACATTAAGATGCCTGTATTTTTAACTTGCAAAAATGATCTTACAGATTTTTGTTTGCTATGAAAAATCATTAAACAAAAAATGTGACGCCCATACTTTTCGGCTACCCTGTAGATGCCAATGGATAGGGGGGACCAGCGAGAGCGCTTAGTGAGCGCTAGCGGGAGGTGCAAAGAGCCGTCTAAGGCCCCGGACAGACTTAATCGTCGCGATCTAATCGCCAACATTTCCATTCATTTTCATTTCACATTCAAAAATCTCGGGATGGAAAAGTATCACAACCGAAAGCAAGTTGATCGGCATGGAATGATGCTGTAACAGTTGTCTTTTCGCGATTCAGTCGCGACGATCAAATCGCGTGAAGTCTGCCCGGGGCCTAAGAGAGGCGAACCTCCAACCTCCCCCCTAGATAGAAATAGCCTAGTGTACCCTGCTGAGAGGCCAAATCGGGAAGGAGCCTGTTGTTGTACATAGCTATACCCGTTGTTATAGTTCTTGTTGCTGCTAGTTTTGTGCCATTCAAGTAAAATTCTTGTACTCAAACCCGTGTTTCTTCATCGAGCAGGTTCTACCGGGACTTACCACTAGACTACCCCCCGTTACAGTTCAAGATTTTGCCAGGACATCGTTTCAACAATGTTTGGCAAGGTTGTGGGATTGTTGTTCCATGTAAAAAGTGGATGTCTTCGGCGCTCTCTCGCACAAGTGCGAAATCGTGAGTTGAACCAGAAGCGCGAAATCCTTCTCGGAGGTTTGAAGACTTACGCCCTAGGGAAAACCTCCCCCACCTGTAAACTTTAAACTGCAAGCCTGGGTGCGCAAGCGACTACATTAAAAAGATAGGGTCTCGGAGCGACTCCGCTCCACCGTCCAAATTCTAATTGCTTTAGCGCCTGTTCTCGCCGTTGTGCGTCCCATAAACTCTTGCAAATAAGTATTTTCGGTGTTTTCTTTATCTTTCTTCCCCTTTTAGGTACCAACTCCCTCAAGTTCATGGAAGCAATAACACAGCGGGTTCCTTGCGTTTCTGCGAGGGCAATTCCACGATGGGAAAGCCAAAGGCAGCGTGTGAAGTGCACACATGATTATTAAAAATGTACATTTAAACAATCAGAATATCCACAGTACTTCTAAAAATGCTCCCTGATTTTATGAACACAAAATGCCTCGCTGAAGTGCGGGAAAATTAACTAGTTTCGGTGACACCTTACAGTAGCTTTGACGTATGGAAAGAAGTTTTTAAACAACCGAAGCGATACTGCCTGCAATCCACAACGAAATTTGCGCGTCTAAGAATAGCTTCAGTACGTGTAAAATGGTTAGGGGATCAGAAGCAATTTGCTCAGTCCATTTTCAAAGTGCAATGCAGCGCGTTATTATAACGATGACAAGCTTTCACGTATCTAGAAGAATCGGCAAGCAAAGTAAACGAACAAAAAGAATTTGGAAGTTACGAAATTAGCAGCAAGAATGCACAGCAGACTGCTCAAGTCTTATGTATGAAATGTATGAGATAGGCTTGTTTATATGAAATAAATTTGATATTTTGGTGCTATATAAGGGGGAGAACAGGCAGCTCAACCATTGTTGTCTCACTCTTTCTACTTGGTAGAAGTTTGCTCAAAGCAACTTTAGATTCGTCCTGGACGTTCAAGAAGGTGCCGGCGTTGAATTCCAGTCAAGAGCGAACATTGATCGCTAAAGAAGTCTTCCAGATGCAGCATACGAGCCTGCCAAGTGTGAACACCAAACCTACATCGTATGCCAGTGATGAAGCACGTGCAAAGGGAATAACAGATAAAACGAGGAGCGAAGAAAAGCAGCCAACTGAGCCTCCGTTGCTAAGTCCTCCTCGTATGACGCCTATTGTAAGTGAGATTTATGAAATTCGATATATAAAATCTCTGCTTTAGATTACCTCTGCACCAAAACCTCGTCGCAGAAGACGTCCTAGTAAATCTATACCTATGATTCCTATTGGGACTATTATACAGGTACGCCATCTTTTCGCCAGCATGATAGGTTCATGTTTCATCAAGGGTACAATCAGTGTTGACTAGTAGCTGTGTACGGATTTGCAAAGAAAATGGGACGATAGCTGTAAAAGCTGCATAAATGGGGTGTGCCTTGCGATGACGCGCTGTCGCAGGCGACGCTCTTTAACGCGTAACGCTCGCACGCGTCGTACCGCACCGCCGCTATTTGCCGCGGGCGCGCATCTCGGTTGTGATATTTTCCGACACGACCCGGGACTAACTACCACAACCGAAATGAAGGATGATCAGCTTGCAATAAACTCTATCAGTTGTCTTTTTGTGAGATTCGCGATGCGATGAAATCGCGTGATGTATGACCGACCCTTTACGCTAGCTTCACTCCGCAGGTTGAAAAGAGGAACAAGCATGTGCAAGCTTGTCTTCAAACTTTGCGATCAAAAAGCATCTGTCATCTCTAGAAAGGGAATATGCATTTCACAAACGATGAACTTGCAATACATAACTTTGGTTACCTTGTCAATCTCGCCTCTCACCTTCTCACTTCTTGTGCCGTTGAGCCGTTCGCCTTCACTGTGCGGATGCTCATGCTTCATGTCAGCTACATGGCCCAGCTAGCGAGTTAAATGCGTGTCGAAGGCGCGCCTAGCTCGCTCGTCGAAAGCGTTGTACATTTCAAATAGTACTACTTCGACAAATTTTACATTCTGGTATAACAGGACATTACAACCATAGAATCATCACTTCATCACCTAACGCGTAAAAGGAAAATGCTCCACCAGAACATTCAGTGATACAGCACAACAACACATTGAGTTGCGACGGAATGCGGCTACTGTGACGATCTCTGTTGAGTGCATCCAGCAAAAATGGTCAAAGATAGCCGCTGTGTGTTTCTCTGTTTAGGATAGTAAGGAGTTGCTCAAAGCAGGTTTCGAGCCATAGTCAGAACACAAGGGCACGCAGACTAAGGCAACAAAGTAGAGGGGGCAAAATTTGAAGATGATAACATAAAGGAGGGGTTTCGAACGTTTCTTGTCAATGCCGAATGCGAGACGTGAATTGCCGCCTGGACAAATTGTGCTGCTGAAGCCGGCACCTAAAGCCACAGCGCTTAGCACGCAAACTTCATGAAGAAGTGGACGCAGGCCTTCCGAGCAGAAGAAGAAGGTGTTTTTGGAAGACCTCGTGATTGGAAGCATTGTTCCTTTAGCCTGAAGGGACTCCGCGGGCGGATGAATCTAGCTCGTTGCCCTTGCGCTTTTAGTTTCTGCGAGCCCCACTGCTCCGACTTTGCGAAATTTTAAACTTATCAATCTGCCGGATAATGATTTTGGATTGTGATTTGTGAAATGAAGTGCATTCAAAAAATGTTTTTCGTCAATTATATCTCTGGCCACAAACAGAATATACTTTCCTAGTTTCAAAGACCTGTTTTGAGGGGAAATATGAACTGAAACGTGTTCTTGGAGCGGGCGGTTATGGACAAATTTTCAAAGCATATGATTCGGTGAGGAGTCATATGCTTTTCTTCACACCATTCACCATTCTGTTGCAGAATAAAAACTTATATGTAGCGGTAAAAATAATGCAAAAGAAACATGAACCTCAAAGGATGATTTTAGAACAGCAGATATTGTATAATTTGAAAGGAAAACCCGAATTTCCTCAGCTGGTAAGCCAATGATCAACAATGAATCGAATTACCAAGGAGTTTTTTTAGTATGGCAGTGGGACATATGAAGACTACATGTATATAGTAATGGAACTACTTGGGAAAAGTCTCTCAGAAATGCGAAAGAAAAATGAGGGCAAAAAGTACGATAAGGGTCCTAGCATTACGCAATATAAAGTATCAGTTAGTGATTTTAGATTCGATGTGGTCACTGCTTTACGGGTTGGTCTCATGATGACTGATTCATTAAGAATTCTACACGAAATGGGTTACTTGCACAGGTAGGATATTTGAACATAAAGTTTATCGTTGATTTTTTTACCCAATGCTCGAATTTCGTCAAGAAAACTATAAGATATGAGAACGCACGAGGTTAGGTCATAAAAACTCGCAGACCAAATGATTTTTTTTATTGCAGAGATGTAAAACCTGGAAATATGTGTATTGGAGCGACTCCCGCCACCATACGAAGGGTTTATCTTCTGGACTTCGGACTTGCTCGACATTTCAGGGTCAGTTCTGTTACTTCAAAGTTAGAGGACTAATACTTTTTAAAGATCGCACCCATCATTGGGGCTGCGAAGGGTTTTTTTTTTCTCGAAACGAAAATTTCTTTTGCAGGATAAAGGAGTCATAAAACGAAGAGATCACGTTGGATTTAGAGGCACATTACGATATGTATCATTGAATGTTCATGAAAGAAAAGACCAGGTGAATCATGAAAGTAACAAGTTTCAAGCTGGAAATGCCATTCTCACCTTGCATGGAAAAACTATTATACGCGATTGGGCCTTGACGAAGGGCACTCCAGGAAAAATGCATTGGTATCACGAGACAATGAGTTTTCTGTCCACTTTGAAAGGGAATAACTTGAAGCGTCCGTTTTGGGAATCAAGGATTTCTATTTGAGGGGGAGGGGAGGTACGGGGTTCGCAATGTGTTCGTGATCCTTTTCTCGAAAGAAAGGCATGAAGCATTTTATGCACTTTCTCTACCCGCAAATGTCGTTTTGATAAAGAACCATTATTTAGTGTGCCTGTGACGATTTGATATCGAATTTCTACTCCATGGTTGAGCTAGCAGAAGGTATCCTACCCTGGACTCGACTGCGGGATGCAGAAGACATTGCAAGAAGGAAGCGAAATATTACATATGAAGAACTATGCCCGTTCGTTAAGTTCTTTAGTTAGTCACATTCCATCAAGGGGCAGAGAATGATTAGTATAGGCGAGATTTTAGATTCAGCGGTATGTCATCGGAGTTGCAGGAGTATTACACATATTGCTACGATACTGTTGAAGACCCAAACCAACCTAGCTACGACTATCTCAGGGACATCATTAAGGTGTGAATCGTCCAACTTTTGTTGAAAAAATAGTGTATCATATTACAGAAGTGTTTGCCATCAAATTTTGACTTCAACACGCCGATGCCTTGGGAGGGTAAGCAGCAAGAAAGCACAGCGACTGCAACGCAAGAAACAAATCCCTCTAACGAGCAACATGCCACATAGCAGTTCAAGGCTTCAGAGCTAATTCAAAACAATTCAAGTTTTAACTGTAATCAACAACGTATACAGATTGTGCAGAAAGGGTCTTACCCTTCTGCTTTAATAAATATTGCAAGATTATTTGATTCGTAGAACACGTTTTATAAGCGTCGCTTTCATATTTGGTGTCCATTCCAACTGAGAACTAGGAATCGACAACGTTCAGTGGAGAGCACCCTGCAACATGTTCGACGCCAAAGACACATTGACTTTCACAAAAAGTGCAAAACCAAACAATAAAGACTTTTTGGAAGAAATCTCTGGTAAGAAACAAACGATGTGGAAGGCATTAGGAACAGACATGGACAGAACACAGAGGTAAAAACAGCGACTGCTTGCAAATCAAATCTTCATAAATATTATGTACTCAAAGGGTTAAATAACCCATAGATGCTGTTCAACAAAGAACGTTGACTTGCTGCATCAAAATCTTCTCATGTTATGAGAATACAAAAAAGCACTACAGGGCCTGCACTGCTGACACCTGCGAGAAGGAAGAAAGGAACAAACATTAATATCAACAAATAACAACTTCACAAGTTTCTTCACAGAATCTTTCTTGCGGTCGATTTTTCTGTTTGACTTTTCCCCTCTTCGCTGGCTGCTTTTGTTCTACTTCGACATATTCCGTTAACAGCAATCATGGTGACGGGACATTTCGGTACTGAAATGGTCAGCGATATAATATATTAGGCTGTTAACTAAGTTTTGCAACTGAGTCTATAACTTTTGCTTTTTGATACGGGCGCGCCCAAACTTTGATATTGTACTAATGAGCCAGTATTTAAAGGCACTTGATTGCATCCGCGCGCTTCAGAACCGCACCGCGGTTTCCCGCTATTGGATTTTTGAATTAAGCTAACAATTCTTTATATATTAGATGGAATGCCGTATGGGTTATGAACTTACACAAAGCGCTCGCATTCTGAAGACAGAATAATCCGAGACTTTTTCAAAAACTGGCGAAATTTGAAGATTCAAGGAGTTTTAAGTGGAAGTGACACCGTTTTTGATCTAGATTATGCACAATCCCAAATTGTGCATAAATTGTTGCTAGAGATTGCTCATCTAGCGCAATAAGGAAGAAACGGAATTCGAAGACAACTCAAGGTTTGGCGCCCTCACAAATTTGAAGTAGCCGCTATACGCAAAGCTGCTTGGGAACAAGCATCAATCAATAAAAAGTCGACGTCTCAGAGTTTGCCAGAACTGGCATTGTGGGGTTATTTGCCCTGGCAAATAAGAATATCATACTCATCCATCGAATTACCGCCTCTTTTCTTGTTCAGCATGAGACCCCATGATGAAAACCTATTGTAACCTTACAGAACCCCTACCATGCGAAATCAATATCGTTTTCGAGATCAGCATGTCAGATAACTCATCTCCACACAAAGTTTCAGCCAAATGTATGTACACATAATTTTTCCCCTTACACCATGTACCTACCGTAACCCTCACACGTCACAACTTTGGCTGCGCTCGTAGCTTACGTCATGATCTACACAATGGGAAAATTTGAGTGCCTCATATGCAAGAGAAAGAAGCTATAAAAGTAGTTGCAAAACTTAGTTAACAACCTAAATTTTCAAATTCAAATTCTTTTTTGAGCCTAAATCATCGAGAATATTTTATACAGCTCGAATCAGCTTGATTTATTTTATTTTTTGCACTAGGATCGTATCAGAAAACTCTCCAAGCGCATTGCGATAACTACATTAAGCGGTGAACTCTTTTCGAATAACTCATCACAACTTTTCTTTTACTGGACTTTCATCATCCGCCGAAATAACAAAATAAATATCCACGACTTACGACAGCGACGAATCCTCCGCTTTCCATCGTCAACTTCAAGTTGTACCAAATTTTGCCCACACGGACCGCGGTGTAATTTACGAGGAGGAGCAAAGAAATTGATCATTGCTTGTGCATTTTCCTTCTTCTTTGAAAGAGAGTTTATCTAAATTGACAATGTGACCAATTTCTTCCACTTGTATACAAAAAAATTATAACAAATTTTTTGAAGCTGTTGTGCAACAAACCTTGATGATGTACTGACTCATAGCTATTGGTTCGGGCTTCGAGCAGCAATGAGAGTACTGTGTCAAGTGATTACGCAAGCAAGAATATCCCGATGGGCACGGGCTTGTACGAGAACACGCTACGGGTTGTCCCGTCTTTGGGTAAAGTAGAGCTACACCAGATTTGCAGACTTTTCCTGATTCTAAAAAGCGGAATTCGGATGTTCGTTTGGGCAGTTGCTTTACACCAGAATGGAGACATGTAGAAGAGACTCTCGGATAACATGTTTGATTTTGAATAAATCATTAAAAATTTTTATCAGGGAAAATCAGTGCGCATCCTTTCCAAAATATGCCATTTTTTGATTTGCTAGTATGTGCTGCACCAAAACGTAAACATGTACGGGTAAATTCAGCAAAGACTTGCCTAACTATTCAGAAAAATAGTGGATCTTGCTTTGATAGTTTTATTATCACTTATATACCAGAAAGTCCCCTGGAACATGCTTACCTTCCAAGATTATCCGATCCAAATTTGAGCAGCAAAAGTAGTTCCGTTCTGATTTTGAGTACATGCAAGTATATCGGGCAGGACAACCTCTCCCTCCCGTGCAGGGTTTTGCTACCCCATCGGTGAGAAGTGGAAAACGTGGAGAGGGGCAAAGTCCTGAAAATGATGAATTTGCCTCAAAATCTTGTTAAGGTTACTTCTACTGTTTTATAATCTAGATGCGCACAATTTGGATTTCAAAATTTTATCTCACAACTTATTAAGTCAATGAATCCATTGCTGTGGACCAATCACAGAAATTGCGATTATGTTAATTTTGCATTTTCTGGGCCATGATCACCTCTGAAGCTCCGGGCATACCCCACGCGATTTCAGTCGCGACGCGAGTTGGCAATACTCCAGTTGCTTGTAAGTCTTCCAAACTCAATTTGAGCGCACGAAAACAGCACATTCTATCGACTCACAAAAGTTGAATACACCAAGCATTTGTGGCCTTGGAGTATTGGGTTTAAAAAGATCTGGTAAATGGCCAAATCGCGCGGCGACTGAAATCGCGGGAGGTATTACCAGGGCTTAAGAATTATTACCTGTAACGTTAGTCATAGATTTTGGCCTGTATTCCTTCTCATTCGTCGATCCGTCCACAGCGGGGCGGAATGAAGTACTAGGAGTTGAGGACGCAAGGCGCTCTCTTTGCTCACAACGTTCAAACTGAAATTTTTCACTTTCTAATTGTAAGAACATTCATTTCATCAAGCCCTATCTAACCTTTCTAAATGTATTTAGAGGACAAGTGCAAACTCCTTCTTCACAGTGTCCTCCACCTTTGCATTGAATTGTGTGAACGCAAGCCCTGCCCAAAGATACTAGTGGGAGACATTCATCATTAAACAAGATTTGGTTGGTGTCGCAACCTAAAGTTTTTTTATTCATACCTTCACTTTAAAAGAACTTCGCCAGAGCTACCTACTTTTAACAGCTGCTACACATCTTTCTTTTTCTTCTACCATTCCCGATGGACAAGCACATATGCCTCCAGTGCACGATGATTCTCCCAAACACTGAGAACTGTGTTCACATTTGTTTCCTATACGTTGAAGTGGTAAGCATTTTCCGTCCACTGACACTTGTGTCACTTCGCAGACTGAAATGTTATCATTTGATAGCTCATGGCTTTTTTGTTCTGGATAAAACAATATAATAAGAAATTGAACTTTTGAGGTTATGCCCACGCAAAATCACATCATTTAGAAACAGAGTAATCCTAACTAGTCGCTCAAGTGCTCATATAATTCATTCTCAATGACAATCTAGCTCTAGGCTTTCCGTGAACTACCGTATTCGATGGAGCTGATTGGTCACTCGAATGATTACGGTACAGAATGGAGGGTACCTGTGGAGTAGGCATGAAACATATGACCTGCCGTTCAAACAAGGGCTTAATTAGGGCTACAATCAGTCTCCATTAAGAAAAGAGGGCAAAATTCTGTTTGAACAATGTCTGGAGTGGATCCGACCATACCTTCGCCGCCAGCACAGCATATTTCTTCGTCGTTCCTTCCTCTAACGCAGCTGTAACCCTCAGGACATGCTTGGCCTCCGCTCATTGAGCAGCGCTGATGTTCGCCGGAAATTCCGATGAAGGCAACCTGAAAGTAGCCTTTCCCCGTTAAATCATTTCTGGAACACTTCTAAAAATCCTCAAAAATCTAGTACTAGCCATTGGATGAGGGCAGTCGCTCGGTATGCCGCAGCACTGGAACTGCTTATTGTTCTGACTAAACTGGCAGAAATATCCTAACGGACAAGTCATACTCGCTGATGTACAAATCTGAAAAAAATTTACCTATTTGCCTCACAATTGCCCATCAAGATCCCCACAAAGGATTTACCTGCGGTTTGCCAGTTGCAATATCCTTGTATGCCACTTGTCGAGAAGGACATCCATCACCTTAATATTTCGATGATTTTTCCTCTCTAGAAAAAAAATTCATACTCTCAAGCAAAGGCGGTAGTGAATTTGCTCCACAGCACTGATATCTTTGCGTTCTTATCGACCACTGGCAGGTGAAACCGCTAGGACAGCCTTGATCTGTTGGATTGAAAGGATCGCAGACAGCAACCTAAACAATGCACATACACCCAACAACAAGCAACCGAGTTTTCGCGAGTGCTCTAGAAAGTGATTTAGGAAATAGCTTGCTTTGTGAGTTAATAAAAATAATTGTTTTATGACTAGTAAAATTTTCCTTGTCCAAAACAAACCGTAAGCTGCGTTTATGGTTTTACAACTCGTAATTAATTTTTGTTACTGTGGTACTACCGTGGATGGAAAAACAGCGAAATTATCAAATTTACCTGTTTTTAGCATATGGTTTCAATAGCTTATGGTCACTCGTTTCTGGTTTTCGCTATTATGAGACATTGTTTCAGTTTGAGCAATTATTATATGCTTTTGAAGTAAATCGATAATATTGGATTTCCGGAGTATTTTCAGTGTGTTTCTATCTTCTAAGAACAGCGGTATTGCTCAAGCAAGTTTTTGATCCTCAAAAAAACGCCGCGAAATTTTTCAAAATACCTCAGCTGCTTCTTGACACTTTTTTAACGTTCCAATGAGCAGAACCTATCACGACCCCTTAATTACTAAGACCAGCTTCTCTCAAAGGCAGTGTACCGGCAGATTCGCGCCCTCAGGAATATTGCTATGTTTGGATTCCTGGTCATCCCACCGAACTCCAGGCGCAGTCCGCCTGGTTGATGTCCCCCTTAGGCCGAGAAAATAGCCCTTGAACCGGCGCGCGCTCGGAAGACTTCGCTTACCGTTCGGCGCGGGACACCACGGCCGCTCTCCCATTGTGCATGCTATCCAAAGCAAAAATTACAGGCAGCAGGGTGTTCGTGCCTCCCAACTTTCCACTGAGATTCTCGTCCGAGCTGCTTTTTGGAAATTGGGTAAACGCCCCGAAAAAGGTCTTTTCACCCGTTTTAAGGCTCAAGTTCGGAGTCTACGGGTTGAAAAGGCCCAAAACATGCAGAAAGACGGAAGTGCAAAATCTGTCGGAACCCTGCCTTTAAGCGATATCAATGAACAATAGTTTTGCAAGTCTCGCAGAACTTAAGAAGCTAGCAAATATTTAACTCAGTACCTCATTTTTGACCATATATACAACTTCTCCAGGTGGGCAACCATCCGATGGTGTTAGGTTCACTTTTCCTCTAAACAAGAAATAGGGTTTCAGCGCAAACATAGATTAAGACAGCGGTCTTACCGGCAGCAATATCCAGATACCCCATCAAACTGGGCCATGCACGTGAAACCAGCTGGGCAGGTAACGAAATGTCCTATAGAACATGATCGTGGCATTCCAGAAGTCTCATCCACATAGTATTCTTCCTTATTAGGGCAGATGTCTAAAAAGTGGGAGCTTGGAGGACAATTTCCTAATTTTTGAAACGTACCTGAAACCGAGCAGCAGTAGCCTTGCAAGGCATCCTTTAGATCACTTTGACATTCAAAGCCATCAGGGCAAGTGGAGACTCGAGCACTCATAGTGCAACGCATTGCTCGGGTACTCATCAAGTCCTTGTAAGGAGCACGTCCAGGCGGACAGTAACCTGCACAAATTTTTTTCAAAAAAAGTTAGCGTAGACCTTACCAAAAAAAGTTTTACTGCTCTTTGTAGATCCGCAACAATAATAGCGATTTTTCGAAGCATTGAAGCGGCACAGATAGTTGGCTGGACAAGAATTTGGCTCGTTTATTAGGCATTCGCGTACGGTCATATCTATGGCATTGATATAGGCCTAAAAATTCCAGTTAAAGTAGAATATGCATTTATATATAGTCTTCACTTTTTCTCCATCCGGACAAACTCCCATATCAGTAGCTCCACAACATACACTAGAATCGGTAAGGCTGTCGAACACGCACTAAAGCAAGTACGATTACTGTAGGGTTACTGTATGCACCATTCACGACTTGTTCAATGCAACAAACCTGGAAATTATTCGGACAATTGTTCCTTATCTCATCGTTGCAAGCTATTGGCATTTGAGTATTTGGATTGACATATACCACATCTCCAGCAGCACAAGCTAAAAGTCATTTTACATGGGGGGGGGGGGGAGGGAGGGCTAATGAACTGCTAGGTACCTGAAGCCATGCAAAAGTTATTGCACTGAGCCAAAGTGGCAAAGTTATTGGGATTGCCATCACAACCATTGAATGCAAATGGAGAGCATTTCTTGGTTACGATATTGAAGTAGTATCTGAAAGTTTGCGTGAAATCTAGTGTTCAGGCGGATAGGGTATCTAGACTTTTTATTTGGACGCGTATTGGACAGTTTCATTCAAACTGCTGCCAATATAATAAAGAAACTTGACTCTGACAATGATTATTCACCTATTACCGTACTCGAGGACGCTGATTGGCCTGCTTGGGAAGAGTACGGTAACGAGCGCATGCTTAGAATATAATTTCCTAGCTATGAATAGACGTTATAAGCTGCTGATTAAGCACTAATTAAGGCTCCCTATTAGTTTCTAGACATGGAGACCAGATCTGAATGGACATGCCCCCGAATGCATTTTTACTAACAGGTGCCTTACCTAGTGAGCATCGAAGTACCACCCGAGCACAGCGATGAACCCTGCTGGGGTGGTAATCCACAGATGTAAGCTGAAATATCAGAAGTTGTTTACACAAGCGATTTATAGATGAGACTTACTTTTAGATGGGCAGCAACGATGTGAAACCGAGTCAGGTCCCAAGCTGACAGCCTGGCAATCGTGTGTTGATGGACATCCGCCAGACTTTTCTGAGCAGGTTTGTATGGAGCCAGAGCTATCACGTAGAGGGACTCCACCGTTGGCGCAACCTAGACAAAGCGTAAAAGTTATGCTAGCAAGTTTTACTTCGTAAACACACCTCCCACTCCACAGTAGGATTCGCATTCCTGCCTTGATGCAAAAGTGTTTGAGTTGCCATCACAGCCAAGGTATTCGAACGACTCGCATTCCTAAGATAGTCATTAGAAGGAAAAATTACTATTTCATAAAGCAGCACGTTTTATTCAAAAAACCAACATTAACAATTTTTAGATCAGCGTACATCTACTTCTCAACGATGCTACGATGATTCACTTCGATTTCTGCCCATTAGATTACTGTATAGGTTCAATAGTCTGTGTTTTCAGTCATTCTCGGTTTTGCTCACAGTTATCCAGAGATGAACAGCTCAGAATCACTTCTTTACGTGATCTCCCCCAAAGTTCCCTCTTTCCTTTTGTGGTCCTTTTTTTTGTAAGATAAGCCCAACTCTTACTCACCTGTGTTTGTGAATTGTAAAAGAACTTGAAAGAAACTCCAGGGCCACAAGTCTTTCCTTGATTAGGGGCCAAAGAGCAGGTGTACGCTAGAAATTTCCATTAACGTACAGATATGAGGCCAGGAATCTGTTACCTTTACTGGGACAACACCCAAACATACTGCCATCATAATGGCACTCGTAATTCGCAGGACAGGATGAAGCAGCTCTATTCGTTGAGCATGTCACAAATTTGCCAGAGTTATCTTTGTAAGCTTGTCCTTGCAAGCAGCGTGGTTCAGCTGAAAACAAAAAAAAAAGTAAAAGTACTCATGACAAAGGATCACTTTGTCCCGGACAGAAAGAGAGTCTTCAAAACTGACGTGCTGCGTTCCTACAAAACGTCTGGCAGTCAACAAGTGTTTCGAAGTTGTTGTCGTTTCCTTGACAGCCTGCAAAATGATTTTTGTACGATCATTTTCTGTACATCAAACCCATATGTCAAAAGTAACGTGAAACTGCTTCAAATGGTGCGATTTCTGCTATTAATCTGATCTAAAATTTTGCTCGACCCAAATATCGTACCAGTAAACTCGAAAGATTGACATTCTCGTGAAGATGCCGAATACCAATATCGCCGTACAGATCTATCGCAGTTTCCAACTCGCAAAGGCTGAGTGCAGATTGTTTCTGGAATAGACACTTTTATTCATAAAAAGTTCGAGTTTTCGATTTTTGCTTACGCATTCTCGGACAACAGACTCCCTGGTCCACTTTGCACTCATGTGAAGATGGACAATCGTTATTACTCTGACAAGACTGAGTTACATCTCCTATGCGAAGTGGATTTCCTCTATCACATTGCACTGGAAATTGGATGAAAGTAGTTCTGTCGATCCGAAGTAAGATACTTACATCTTGCGCAGTACAGCTCGCAGTCGATCCTGGACATGAAGTTATTATAATTGCCTGAGGAACCTAGATATGTGAACGGAGAGCATTTTCCCGAGGCTGGATCATAGAAGAATCTCGTCGATGGGCTTGTACCCTGAATAGATTTTCATAGTGATCTTTAGTGTTTAGTTTATAGTGCTACAGAAAAACCACTAATCCCAAATGTTTTCCAGCGAGAGTAAGCGGAGGTGGTGCAGGAGGAACCAAAGCCCTTGACCCCTGTATCCAAGAGGGAATGGGGAAGGCAGAAGGCTCCGCCCATCGCTCCGCCCACGGGATGCTCCCATTGTGTGTTGAGCAAGAATGGTGGATGGACTACCAGATATTGGTCAAATTCGATGAGTTAAGAGGTTGAACTATGAAGTGGAACATGGGAAATGGACAGTAAAGATCCTAAAATAGGTTTTAAGGTACCGGGATGATAATAGAAGTAGTATCATGTCATAAACCCAATAAATGTATAGAGTAACGGTCATCTTCATAAGATTCATATAGAACACCTTTACCATTTAACTGTTGATTAATTTTGCTTAAAAATGTGATAATGATACAGCTTAGAAGGTGGATTTCCAAAAAATTGATTTAAAGCAGGAGAACATAAGCCGAAAATGAAGTTTTAACACATTGACGACCATGCAGATTTTTAGTTGTCTGCCTTTTGGGACCAAGGCCTTTTTATGGATCAGCCCATTTTTTCAACTTTAGTTTCGCATACTGCCATCTACAGTACACCTGCAGTAGGTCTAAAAGTTTAACGAAAAAGGTAGAAGTCATCCCTAGATTCTGGGCAAAAAAGAAGCTCATGGAATGAGTTTATTTCAGGATAGTAGTCATTTTACCAAAATTCAAGCCTTGACACACATGGTGTGTCAAGCGGTTCCACGCGGTAGTCATTGCTTGACACACCATGTGTGTCAAGCGGTCATCAATGTGTTAAAGTGATTTTAAAAATAATTCTAACAAAAAGAACAACTACATCTTGGATACTCCGATCCAGAAAGGACGTAAAATGCAAACGCAAACATCGTTATGCCTAAGAGGAGGCTCAGTAAAGCTTCACAGCTCAGATTTGAAGTGCGAACCATGCACAACCTTCACGCCGCTGGCAGTTGTCGAGCCATAAAATTGAAGAATTGGGACAATATGTATTATAAATAAAGGAAACCAATGAAAACTACTGTAACTGTTATAGCAGACAAGTGTTGGTGACTTTGCCTGCTTTTTGCAGCTTTTTGGCCAAGTCTGATTTTGCAACTCGAACATTTTTGGTCAATAGTTTGGCATCTATCTACTTTCGCAAGTTTCCTTGTGAAACACGACTTTTCAACGTTTTTCTAGCAAATTTTTCCCGATCTTTCCCTCCAACCTCCGAGTAAAGCGTTTGATGGAGTTAATAAAAAAACTTTTCACTTGAGTCATGACTCTCTTAGCTCATCAGACGACTGGCTTAATCCTGCAAAGGTCAACTAATCGGCTATCGATTAGCGCAAATGCAACTAACACCGTGACTATCGTAAAATATGAGAAAATTATCTCAGGATAAAATCAATGTTAGTAAGTTTTTCGCGTAGCCATTCAGGTATTGGAGTAAAAATTAGAATGTTCGCCAAAGAGGAGTCCATGAAAAATTTGAAATCGAGCTGGGGCTCTAAGAAAAATTGTTCATCAATTTCCAATCTTCAAAAGAATGCTGAATTGCATTGATGCGAATTCATACAAAAGTCCATTTTAAAGATTCGTCTTTCAAAACTGGTCACAAATTTGTTTTTCCCTTCCTTGTATCTCCACCCCAGGTCTTTTGAACTAACCTTTTCCATCAAGGAATTCCTGAGCAAAAAAGGTAAGACCCAGGCTCAGAGCAGTGGGCGGAGCTTGGAAGGTTGCCAGATCCTTCTTGGCACGCAGCCAGCTCCTCCCCTTTCCTTCTTGGATACAGGGCTCAAGGGCTCTGGTTCCTCCTGCACCGCCGCCGAGTAAGCGATATTATTGTTAGGGAAAGACCTAAGAACCTCAAACACTTTTGTGCAAGTGCGTAGTTCAGATAACAAAGTAATTGCAAATATGATTTTTTGAGTTATCGTTATCTACAGCGTGTAGAAGGACCTCTAGATTTTTCCAAATGACTATTGATTTTGACTATTGGATTTAGTTGCCACCTCTGGTCTTCACCACGATGTTTACTCTACCTGTGTGTCTAAACGGCCACAAATGGAGCGAAAAATACTGATCGCAGTAGAAACAGTTTTCATCTTCATCCTTCTCTTATTTTTGGCTAGAATCACATTTAAATGGTACCTACCTGCTTTTCTACACCAACGTGATAGACCGTTCCACGTGAGTGGATAGATGTATCCAACGGCCGGCCTCCTATGGGACCACAAACAGAAGCTGAATCGAAAATGTGTTATTTGAAAGTTATTTTATAGGTGCAAACATCTTACCTACAGTTGGACAGCACCACTGCGAGCTGCCCACTGTCTTACACTCAAAATTATTTGAGCATGTTGTGCCTTGCGAACAACCAGTTAATGGGGTTTCCTCCAACAATGTGGACCTGGATTCATACTCTGGAGCTCCTCTAGTGCAACCTAATAGGAACTTTCATTATGTACAGTAAGAGAGCCGAAAAGGTGTCTAGTATGTGATTTATGACCAGAAACTGAAAACAAAAAATGAATGCTATTTCGGACCGACAAAAAACCAGAAACTTCTCTTGTATGAGTGCTATTATCCGCTCGGATAAGCGCTTTGGAACTGACTTCGGTTACGCAACTCTAATTATCCAGACAAAGGGGAATTTAGCTTCTACTGTAGGATATATTCAAAGCAGGACATGGCTGCAGTTGGTACGAACGCATAGCCACAACTGCATTTTTTTGAGTTTCATCTTCAATGCTTTTTGCTTCTAGTGGTAGTTTTAATAATGCAGTATTTACTCACCATCTCTGCAGTAGCTTTCACAATGTTCGATGGTCTTGAAGTTGTTTGGAGAATGTTCACCTGGTCCAGTTGCTGTAGGATCCCACAGGAATTGTTGGCACATACCTGAACTGGGCTGACTTCACCATAAATAATTTTAAATCGCACATAAGAAGATTTTATTCAGATCTTATTTGAAAAAAGTGAGATCTATGCGCGTCTATTACTTTCTGACAAGAAGGACTTCCTGCTCAAGCGATCAGTTAATCACAAAAAAAGCCAAGCGATCATCGTTTACTAGTTAGAGCTGGGCTGATCAGGGCTCTGCTGGGCTTTCATACTGGAGGATTGAGTCGATACAAAAAAAACTTCGCTTTCAAAGATTTCTTAAAACGTAATGTTGGCACATTTGAAGTATGATACTTTCAAACTTGTTATCTGTGTAAAATATGCCACCTCTGTAGGCTAACCTGTTATAGCATTGTACCACCATCGCGGTTCAGTTGGATTTGGCCCCGTTGCCGTCGGTTGGATACATGTGAAAGCTGAAAAACATTTTTACAAACGCTGCACTGATTTAATCAAATCTTCCCACCTCTGTTAGGACAACAAATGCCATTAGCCTTCTCACTGTAGCCTGATGATGTCAAATCCACCGGCGATACAAAGCCAACGCAATCGTAGAGGTCGGCAACATAGGTGCCATCAGAAGGAATAAGACAGGCCGCAGACCCATCACCTATTTCTGGGCCAGACTGGTGAGTTGTCAAGCTCTCGGTGTTGCAAAGAACAGGACCAGGTGAATTGTTTTGGCGAGGGTGCTTGGAATCCGAAAGGGCAGACGTGTAGCTAGAAAATTTATCAGGCTATAATAAGAAGGCTAGATTACTTATGGTTAGAAAGTGCAAAAGATTCGATTTCGTTCTACTCAACAACAAATACTTCTCCACTTACCCTGCTCCTTCTGGAAGGGGACAAGTGATAGCAAGCACATTTTGATTCCCATCTAGCATATCTAGGCACACATGACCATCGCGGGTAGCTTTTTCGACCTTAAACAAAGTATTTTGGAAAAAATGCAGCTTGAATTTGTCAGGAACCAACTTTGTTTTCTCCACATCGGCAAGTACCAACTCCAGCCGATGTGTCACAATATGCATCGGGCCATACCGAGGAACATTGTTCGTTATAGACGCAGCCGGGTTGCCCAGGATCAATCTCTGAAATAGTATATGTAATTGCTTTTTTTGAGCCTAAATGCATCTTACTCTGGTAGCAGTATGATTCGGCGGCTATGTAGGAGGTCAAGCAGGCGCACAGCCCTGAGTTGCAGAACATGCCCTAAAGCAGCCGGGATAATTTCGCCTATTTTCTATGTTTGGTGCAAAATCCACTGGCAAGTAAAAACGAACTCACTGTCAAACAATCAGTGTTGAAGGAACACGCATCGCCAACTCTACCGCTACCAGTTTGTCGCTCTGGTCGATGTTGCTTATGTGAAGAAGCTGAAATTCCTTAAATTTCAAAACGATTCTAATCTAAAGGGAATGGCTATCAAGCCAGTCAGCTTAATGTTCTTGTCGGAAGCATTTTGCGAATTTCTGAGTCGAAGGGCTTATTGATTTAATTTGAGTGAAAGTGTTCAGTCGTAAACATGTTATCACTAAAGACAACTCATTCCTCTTACCACTTACCCCAAATCCATTTTTGACATGGATTTCGTTTCGTTTTACAAATTTGAGATGATGTAAGCTCACCATGTGCAAAAATTAGCTTGTTAAATGCTGAGCGAGTTCCACAAAAAGAATTTTGTGCTTTTATGGATTAGGATAACTATTCGCTGTCTTACAACTTTTGGAGGTGGAGCTATGAGGATGGCTTCACTGTCGCACCAGAATTCTAAACCCAAAGTTGGTGATTTAGCAATTAATTGGAAAGTTCTGGTTTAGTCGGATAGAGCAAGGAAGCACTTTCAAGGAGAGTTTGCAACGAGATTGGCGGCTGGAAGGCGACCGCCGCTCGCGTCCACGCCGCAGTCTGCGTCTCCCTCGCGGGTGTGCTCATTTTCTAGCCTTAGCTAGTTTACGAAGCCCGCCTTCCAACCGCCAATCCAGTTCAATCAAAGGGTTTATACAGATGGGGAAAATGGAAAGCCATTGACTTTAGCAAGTATCTCCATTTAACAGGTTTCTCCCGCGAAAAGTCTTGGTTAGTATTACCTTTCTTATTGTTAGCAAGAAAGGTCTAAAGTCAACTGGGACCCCATCTTTAAGTAACTGATTATGAAGCCTTAACACAACGATTATCCAGCAGCAACTCATCCGAATTATTAGAGTAGGAAAGTCAACTTTTTCTCCTATATACACGCCATACCTTCTACAGTACCCAAAGGTTAACTGGTGCAAAGGGTGGGTACGGTCTCTGCTGGTGTTTACAGCAAAAATCTAGGCCATGAACCCATATGATTTGCCGTTTGGACGACTTAATTAAGAAATCCTATTCGAGGTAAAATGAAAGGTTTGTGGAAAAAAATTCTGGATACTTTGACTCCAAGTACACAGCTTTGAACCCTACTTTCACAATCGTATCGCTCTGTGTAAGTTTTCGATATAAATTTGAAATCTGACGAATTTTCAAACAAGGATCAATGGAAAAGTAGGTCCTATATGAAATCAATGAAAATCAAAGAAACGTCTCGAAAAGCTGTCGGTAATTCAAATAATCTTAATAAAATGGAAAAAATGCAATTTTCGGATTCAGTATGTTCAGACTTGAGTGCAATTTCATTGATACTTTTATGCGTGAAAACAGAACAGTGACTTGAGACAATAATTTATAAAAAACATCATCGAACTAGACAATATTTAGGAGAGAAAGTTCATTATGAACACTACAAAATAGCAATGACAAAAAATCTCAATACTTTCATATGCAGTTTTAGTACAATAGTACTTACTTAGACCAAAAGAATAGCACAATTATAAAGGACAAGGCAGAATTCTCACGCTAAGACCATACTATGGCTTGACAGTGGGAAGACTGGGGTATTTCTTTAGTTCTCTTGTGTAGGCTAGGATAGATTAAACCAACATATGTGTAGTGTACACATATGTTGGTTTAATCTATCCTAGCCTACACAAGAGAACTAAAGCTACACCACCACTTAATGTCGGAACAGAGACTTACAAATGACACTCATTTAGCAAGGTTAAAAATTAACGATACCTGTCTTATAAAGTAATAACAGATAAATGTGAAGGATTAACGATTTCATAGGGATGGACTACAGTGACAGCGTCGTGAAACAAGGCAATAGCTGAGCGCAATGAACCCTCGCGCAACCGGGGATCTGTCAAGCTGGACACTTCCTGATGAAGTACAAATATGGCATCGACAAGCTATGACAGCTATGGCCACCGTACGACTCGGCGATTTAGTTTCTTCTCATCTCGTAGCATATTCCACCTATAGGCACTTGCATGTATGGACAGCTTCGCTCTGAAAGCGAACACTTCGAAAATCGGATTTCAAACCTGGAGGCAATGTCAACGAATGAGTACTTGAGGTTCTTACATGGGAACTAACAAGGCCTTAGCACTGTCCCAGCGGTAGCTCATATAATTCATCGTAGTTAAAGTTATCTTTACGCTTCATTTCAAACCGTAGTACTCTCTACCGTACCTCAAGTACAAAAGAGCAGTTGAATTTTCCCACAAGTTTCCACATAAGAACCCCCTGTACTCAGTATCTGCCAGGAACGTTTGTTTTTACTTACCACATCTTTCTTCAACCCTACCATCGATGACTCTGGAAACTAGCACCAAGTAGCCTTCACAGGGTGGACCTAAAAAACTCATATATAAACTGAAAAGGACGGGATAAAATACAACAACTAGATTTAGCATATTCAGCTCGAGTTCATTCAGCAGCTCATTCAACTTGATGATCCAACAAAAGAGATTTTTCTTTTGAAGGGACTTCAAACTGTGAAGTTTAAACTCGATATTTTTTCCCAAGAACACTTTTCATACTTGGAGGAAACCGTTCAAAGCTCCTGTATATCAAACTCATAATGAAGAACAAGTCATTTCCTCCTGGATTAATTTGCACGATTTCCCATGTCTTATTTTTTCAAATCAGGAATCGACTCAAACGCTCAATTCCTAGATTTCCTATTCTCGAAGTAATGGTATGGCTTTCACAGCCACGCTGACAGATCCTAGTGTTCAAAATACTTCGACTTCAGTGAAAAAGCTTGTAATTTTGGAACGAATTTGTATAAAATAGCAAGTTTTAGTGAGCGAACACGTGATTTTATCTAAAAATTATCTGTTTCCTGATAAAAAAAGACACGAGAATTCATCCAGAAGGAGATGACTTGTTTTATCAGTGAGTATGATATACAGGAGCTTTAAACGAGTTGAGATTCCTTCAAGTATGGGTGGTGTTTCTTAGAAAAGATTTGAGGTGTAATTTAGAGTTTGAAGTCTTTTTAGGAGAAAACCCCTTCTATCAGATCTTTGCGACCGCCCGTCACGTTTGCTCGTAGTTTTTTTTCGCGGAGCATTTTGTGTAGTAAATTAGAAATAAAACAAGTGTAAGTTCAATCATAATTGTTTGCTTTCAAAATAGGACCTTCTCAATTCAGTAATGTCAGAACAGGGCTCGGCACGAGCTGGCACCGGGACAGTTTCAAAACGAAGTCCCCTTTGACTTTTCCAAAATTTTACGAAGTCCCCTTTGACCCTCAACGATATCCGCTCTAAAAACCTGAAAAATTCCCCAAAATCTCCCCAAAAACGAAACGTCGACTAAAAAAAAGGTCGCCAATTTTTAACGTGTCTTTGCCCACAAAAACGAAACTTCCTTTGCTTTTTGCCCCAAGAACGATATCCAGCTTGCCCCGTGCCAGCTGGTGCCAGGCCCTGTGTCAGAACTTCAGCTTTACTTATAAGCACATACCTGGGAAAGCGCTCAATCGAAATCTTGACGAGCAACACACATATTGGTCGGATGCAATGCTCTTCTTACAAGCATATCTAAATGTTGACATAAACTGAGGTATAAACAAAACAAGATTTTCTTTGGGTTGGAGAGAAGTCTGAATACTAATACCTATCAGTGTATATTAAAATTGTAAAAGGAAGCAGTAGGTACTGCTTAAATGCTTACCCTGGAGGACATCCTTTCTTTCCTGGAATGCAAATTACAGGCATACGCGTAGATGGGTAGATCAAAGCGCCTCCTTGAGGACATTGATCGTTAACTGTAAACGGTTTCGCCTTTGAGTGGTCTGAATTTGTAAATTTCTCCCCAATTTGGAAAAGAGTTTATTAGTATTCATTTGGAAACCTTACCTGGGGTTGATGTTGGAACTCGTCTAACGGCTTTGCCCTTTGAAGAGCAACATATGTAGTCTTGATCCCTATAAGTACAATCATATCCCTTTGGGCAACGTTGCGATGTGCATCGTTGTGGGAGCCCATTGAGAAGATAAGGGATTCGACCAGTTGGGCATACTGTAAAAAAATCAGTTCATCTCATTTAAAAGGGCCAAAACTTAGGACACTTACCCTCATCATTCAGCTGCGGATCATCCGTACAGCACATATATTGCGTTTTTCTACTGTTTAATTGACAAGTGTACCCGGATGGGCATTGTTTTGTCTTAGGACTACAGAACACTACCCTTCCCGTCTCATCTGATAGGAGTGGCTTCGAGTTGGCATTCGCACATTTGGATGATCCACCTAAAGAATATTTTTCCTTTAACATAACAGACATTTTTCGCAATTCACTCATAAATTTCCAACAAAAGTAATTGGCTAGAATAGTTCATTTTTTTTTCAGATATTTTCTTATTGTTAGTAAATTTCTAACATTTTCACAGTATATCTTCACTAGCAACTCACTCAAGGGTAATACTGACAATGAGAAAGTATAATAGTTGAAAAGTAATCACAAGGCAAGAGCTTACCCTTGCTCTTTTCGATCTTTGATCGGGCACTTGGTGAGACGCATTTTCCAAGAAGTTCCGTCAAAGGAGCATCGCAAGCGCACACTTCATTAATACATGAAGATCCTGAAGAGGTAAATGTTCTGTCCTGTAGCAAAAAATTGTGGATCAAAAATTTGATAGGGTTTCTTACGACTAGGACATTGTTCGTTGATGACGCAGGGTTTGCCTAATTCCACCTTGTTATGGCATAGAGCGCCATGCTTGACTTGCTCAGGACCGCATTCTAAAAAAATAGTCCAGAGAACTGTTTTGGCGTATTTCAAATCAATTGAAAGCCTAAAACCTTTTTTCTTGTCATCGTAAACGCAGGTTTAGGGTATCTCTACTTACTTGGAGCTGGGAAGTCTTAACTGGACCAGTATCCAAGCTCATATATTTGATTTGTAAGCTATGAAACAAACCAAATGCTCGCCCAGTACCGTACTCTTTCCTAGAAATCCAAATCCGGTACGGTACTGTACGAGAGTTTAGGTTTGAATTTCTCACTTACAAATGACTTTTATGACTTGCCGATTGGGTAATGATTTAATCAATAACATGTGATCGTTTCTTCATAGAAAACCGAACCCAGGTGCCTGGGTTTTCCTGGACTTTGATTTCGACACTATTATCTGTGGTAATTTAGTAGAAAAGAAGGAAATTTTGTTGGTACTCACTTATCTCTTCTTGACAGAATCCCCCAATTGGGACTGTTGGTGGAGGGCATTCACAGATTCCGGAATGGCACAATGACCCTCCCAAGCACTGCTCTGATTTCAAGCAAGCTGCTCCTGGCGCTGCTGTTTTTAGGCACATCCCGTCAATCAACATTTCCTTGTCGGAGCAGGCTTCTAAAATTTTTATATTGTCCATGTAAAGGGTTGAGGACTATAGTTGTCCTAACCCTTTTTCTTCTTGGTGCAGCAAATGTGATGTCCAGCAACCGATCGACTACATGCAAATCCCACAGGACACTTCGACTGACCCAAAACACATTGCTGTGGTTCCCCTGATAGACCGACGAAAGCCACTGATTCGGCAGGACAACCTTAAATGGAATGATTAGAAGAATACTGCAACTTCCAGTTAGGAGTACGGTACCTCCGCTGACGCCACAGCACTGAAATTGGCGGTTCGAAGCGGAAAATTGGCAAAAATATCCTGGAGGGCAGGTAGATGAGCCAGCCGTGCAGATCTGCACAGTTCCTCTATCCCTATAGGCTAATTGGGCATTCGGACAACCGTCATCTGTGAAAGGTTTTTTACTAAGAAAAAAACGACAGATATGAACTAACTAATGGGAGGAGGAGGAGGAGCAGGATTTGAGCCACAGCATTGGTATCTGTAATCGACTGTCAATTTTCTTGACCGAGAATTAAAATCTCTCTTACTTTTGGTTCGCTACAGACCACTGGCAGGTAAATCCGTCAGGACAAGGAGCGTTAGGAGGATTGAATGGGTCACATGAAGCAACCTCGTCGCCTTTCATAAAAACATAATTGCCAGGAGGACATCCATCTGCAACAGCCCTTTAGCACCCTCTAATATTTGATTAAAGAAAATTCAAGAAATTGTATAAAGGCCAATTGAACAACAAAAATTATCTAAGCTCTCTATAATTTAGATTTCTTTCCTTTTCGTTTGTCGCGAATATGTGCATAACATACCCTTTGATTCAACGAGATTGGTGACTGGAAGGCAACAGCTCGCGTCCGCGAAGAAGTCTGCGTCTCCCTCACGAACGTGCTCTTTGATCATTTTCTAGCATTAACTAGGTCACTAAGCCCCGCCTTCTAGCCGCCACTCCAGTTGAATCATAAAGTAAAATAGATAATTGAATAAATAGGTGACAAATAAATGATCATAATGCCCGTTGATTGTCATAGTCATTGCCCATTTTCCAAAAATCACTTTTATAAGAAAAATTACAGTCACTGAATAGTATTAGCTTAGGAAATGGTTTCAAAAAGAGTGTATGCATCACTCCCTAATCATTTTCTACATTTTTACGAGATGTGAAATGATTGAAACAAGATTGAAGGATGAGCTTGTTGAGCTATGAAACGCTTGAGTATTTGCCTCAAAAATATACATTCTTATTCACTGAAATATTAGATAGTGATGTTAGTGAATATCAAAGGCTATCGTTATAATCTTTGCATGCTAAGTGGATTTTTCAAATCAAATTTTACACAGAAGTAATTTTGGTTTCTATCGTACCTGTAGAAGGTGTTTTAGTTGTAGATCCTGTTCTGCAGCAGAATCCTTCAACAGCAGATGTTAGTGACCTAAAGATGCTCTCCTTTCATTAATTTCTTCCAGAAATTTTTGTTTGGTGTACCTGCATGCATAACCATGAGGACAACTGACAAATGAACCCATAGTGCAAGCTCGCGGTAGCTGAGACTGTTCGTCAACCACAAATTCTGCGTCATCAGGACAGACAGCTAAAACAACATCATCTTCCCTAATGTCTTCTTATGGCTTCCCATACTCACAATTATTCGTGCAGCAAAAACCTTGTGCAGAATTGGGTAGGTAATTTTGGCATGTATAGCCATCTGGGCACTGCTCAGATCTGCCCATGGTACATCGCGTGGGTACAAGTGACATAGAGTCTCGGTGCAAGAACTTCCCAATTGGGCAGGTTCCTGCATTGATTACAAGGTTGCCGATGTATATTCGGATAAATAAGTACCGAACTTACTTCCCGAGACGCTTGCACAGCAAAAATACTTGTTTCTTTGCATATTGAAACGACAAAGGTAACTTGCAGGACAGGATGCGTCCATACTCACGACACATTCTCTTGGAGACATATCCGCAGTGCTGACGAATGCTTTTTCGCCTTCGGGGCAAACTCCTGAATCAGGTAATTGTGCTGAAGTGCCGAATCGTTTTCTGTAAACTAAAGTCCGTTCTAGGCTTACCGTTGTCAGTAGCTCCACAACATACATGACCATTAATCAATGCATTGAAGGTGCAAGTATAACCAGGAGGACAGCTATTGCTGAGGGCTTCATTGCACTGTATGGGCATCTGCGAGTTCGGATCCACGTAAACTACATTTCCAGCAGGACAAGCTGAAAAATAGGTTAATGGCAAACGAATAGGTTCATCTCCTACCACCGAGAGCTTCAATCTTTACTTAAATGAACTAAATTGATTCTAGAAATCTTGCTTCGCGTCAATTCATGTGGACGGCTCTTGATCAATATATCAATTTTTGCTATTGCTATATCTTTCTCTTCAATTCGTCAAGAAACACTAAGTACTTGCTTTTTTATATGCCTCATGTGCCTCATTTTTTTAAAACTAAGTTTTCCCTCTGCTTTCCAAATGACAGAATGTTAAACATTCACATTAGCCCAGCACAAAGCCGAATTTGCTGAACCCTTTCAAATGATAAATTTTCTCAATGAAATCTAACTATGAGAAACGTTTCTCTTGATGCTAAGTTCTCATGCTCGTAGCATTTTCAGTGCCTTCTCTACAACTCTCAGTACAACTTTCAAAGCTTACAATTTTCAACTTTTAGTCCCAAAGAAAATAGTAAAATGAAGATCAGGCCCTTGCCCCCATGACCTATTTGATCATAATTAATATCTTAATTTTTTTGCAAAGCCAAGTGTCAAATGTACTCACAGCTGCTATAACAAAAACTCCGGCATTGTTGTGAAGTTAGGAAATTGTTGTAGTTTCCATCACATCCTCCAAATTGGAAAGGCGTGCATTGGCCGGTGACGATGTTGAAATAGTACCGAGTCACGAAGTTCGCTCCACACTGACTGCCTTGCTGAGGTGGAAGACCGCACATATACGCTGAAAAATAGTTATATTTTCAGTATTCTTGCTTGAAATCCTGGAAGGGAAATGTTTACATCTCGTAGGACAGCAGCGATTGATGGTACTGCCTCCAACGATCACGGGACCGCATTCATGGGAAGAAGGGCAATTTTCCTGCGTTGAGCAAGTTGCTGTCATTCCAGAATCATCACGGAGTGGAGTTCCACCGTAGGGGCATCCTGATATTTTGATATTATTGATTCTCATTTAAAATGTAGACGTGCTTTTTGCAAAGAGGATCCAAAGTTCATCGAGCACCTAACTTGACTAGTGCGCATGCGATGACCTACGGCCAATATTCGCCAGCTCGTCGTGATCGCCGGCGATTCACCTATTTAGACACGCGCCTTCGTCAAGAATTGGACTATGTAAGACTCATCATTTTTATTGCAAGTATGGAAATTTCTAATTTTGAATTTTATACATGACGAAAGCCGAAGGACAGAAATGGTTTACCTCCAACGCTGCAGTACTGCTCACACATTTCTCTATTGGCAAAGTTGTTTGAATTTCCATCGCAGCCGTTGTACTGGAAACTTTCGCAATTCTGTGTTTGCGTATTGTAGAAAAATTTGAACGTAGATCCAGATCCGCACTGTATCCCAGGGTCCGCATTGAGCGAGCAAGTGAATGCTGAATTGGAACAGATTACCACAATGGGGCCGTCCTAGGTAACCTTTCATTCGACTGGCGTGACGGCTGGAAGGCGGGGCTCTCTGACCTAACTAAGGCCGCTCGCGCCTGCAACGCCGTCTGCGCCTCTCCCGCGCCCGTGCTCTCTGAGCATCAGCTAACCTTAATTAGGTCACGAAGCCTCGCCTTCCAGCCGCCAAGCCAATTGAAGGTAAATCATACCTTTTGAAGGGCAACATCCCCATTGCTCTCCATCGTAGTAGCATTCATAATTAGAAGGACAGCCAGCACCAGTGTTGCAGGTGACAAAATCGCCAAATGGATTTCTATAGGCTTGGCCTTGGATGCACTTAGGCTCAGCTGGAAAAATGAAGCAGTGCAAATATTATTTCTGTACTTTTACTTTGTATTTTTGATAGTATAATACATTATGAAATTTATACGACAAATACTTTTTTGTTTCTTTTCGAAAGCCATTTTCTGGAACAAATAATAAAAGCAAAGTTTCAAATCAAAGAATGTTGTTTATATCAGTGGGTAAAAACTGGGAAGTGGCAGTCTATTCTTCCGATTATTTACTTGATTGAAAAAGATTCCGACTAAACTACATTTCACAATACTAAAATAAATAAATAAATACTAAAATAGAGCAAAACTTGAAACCCACGAATAGCATTTTTGCAGAAACTTTGACAATCGAGCACCGTCTCAAAATTATTGTCGTTACCCTGGCACCCTAAATAACAAAAATTAAGATTATCAACAATTATTTCTGACAATCTGCAAACCTGTATACTCAAACATCTGGCACTGTCTGCCCTTAGCATTGTACCAGTATCTCTTCACACTTTCAGTACAGTCTCCTACTCGTAGTGGTTGAGCGCAGATTGTTTCTAGAGATGAGAAAAAATTATCAACTTATTTTTGGGGTTTCAAATAATAATGTATTACGTTTTCTAGGGCAACAAACTCCTTGATCAACACGGCATTCATAGGAAGAAGGACAGTGACCATTGTGCTGGCACCTCTGAGCTTCTTCGCCTACTCGGAGCGGTGTACCTCTCTCGCATTGCACTAAAATTGATTTATCTTTATCGAAGGTTCATGAAAAATATATGAATGACATGAACTGGACTCACATCTAGCACAATACAGCTCGCATTCGTGTCTTGAAAGGAAGTTGTTGAAGTTACCACCAGCACCACGATAAACAAAGTCCTGACATCGTCCGGTATTCGTGTCGTAGTAAAACCTAAAAAAGTGATAGCTGTTTGCCTTTCTTTTTTCTCTGCTTCCCAAAAATTCAGTTCAAAACTCCAACCCAGACCGTACTCTCGAACCAGTCAGCGTCCTCAAACTGCGATAGAAATCACGGTCTGAGCTGGACATAGGTCATAGCCTTTTTGATTTACACAATTAAGGTAGCACATTTGCCTGGACATGCTTTCAAAAAGGAGCTCACCTGATTGCTTCCCTTCCTGTGCTCACCAAGAACCCTGCATGGTAGATGGTCGGCCGTGATACCAAATCGAAGGGACGACCTCCCCGGGCAGAACATACAGAGCCTATGAACACAAATCTCTTATCTTGATCTTTTGTTTCTTAAGAAGTGTTATACCTGGCGTGGGACAACACAGGTGCTGACTTCCAATCGCGGAGCACTGGTAGTCGTTTGAACAACTGGTAATTGTTGAACAAGAAGTCAGCGGACGCTGACCATTTAGACCTTGTTCGCCAGAGTATTGTGGAGAACCACGTTGGCATGCTGAAATTTAAGAATGATCACCAATTTAGGTGGCTACATTAAACGTAAAACTTACTATCTCTGCAATAGGATTCGCAGTGCTGTATAGTTCTAAAATTGTTAGCAGAGTGATGTTGAGCTTCAGATGCGACGGGATCCCACATAAATTGTTGACACGTGCCTAAAAGACTATCCTTATCCGATTTCTAGGGAGAGCTGTTCGGTTCGCAATAATGGGGAACATTTGAGTTTTGATTAGGTTTGCAGCGCAAAAACATTCATGTTTTATTTCACTTTGTTAAAGTGCATGCTTTCTTTTAACTACATAATTTGAGGACACAAAAGACAGTCAACCCTACAGCCGGCGTGTCAGAGAAAACAGTCTAAAAGCTCTGATGCGGTAATCAGTTCCGTAGGGACATATGGGGAATGGGTGGGCTAAAAACGGTTCTTATAAAGCAAGGACATCACAAGTTCTGAAATAGTTATGAAATAACAGTTTTCCAATTTCATCATTTCGAGTAAGGTCATCGCTGCTCCATAATGTAACTTAAATGATTTTCTTCCATTCTGCAGTACTTTTCTTGCTGATGAATGTATTAACTCGTTGGCGACGAGCTGTTTTTTTTTGACGTCTGTCCCTATGGACGAACCGTTTCCGGACATTTTCATAGCGGCTGCATGTATGTATGCATCTATGCGTGAGGTATAAGAATTCAAGTGGGTGGGGTAGCTCCGCCCACTTTTGGCAAGCCCCGCCCACTTTTCAAAAATGCTGAAAATTGCTCAAAATCAATGGATTCGTGCAAATTCCGGAATTTTTAAAAGTGGGCGGAGCTTGCCACTCAGGGGGTGGGCCTGCATAATGGGGGGCGGGGTCAAAATTAAGATTATTCGAAGTTCCCCAGTTATCTACGAGCTTTTCTATGCGATTTGAGAAAAAAGTTTTTTGTAGAGGGCAACGGAGTGGGCGGAGTTTGCCAAAAGAGGGCGGGGCCAACATAAAAAACTTCTGAGCCGAAATTGATGATGTGAACACAAATTGGAGCCATTGTGCACATTAGAACTGGTATTTAGGGTGTCGCGCGACATTGTCGTCAACGTGTTAAGGGCTAGCATTCCCATATATGAAGCAATATTAGATTTCTATCGTCTTTGCTTTGCGTCGTACAGAAAGCTTGTGATCATTTCAATAGAGGTTGAATCCTGCACAGGTTCATAATCACCGTCACATTACATTCTACTTGAATTAAGCGATGATGCATGGTTCGTGATATGCAAATTTTGAGACATTTTGTAAAATTACCAGTCACTGAGTTGTACCACCAACGTGGTTCCGTGGGATTAGGACCAGTGACTTGGGGCTGAATGCATGCCAAAGCTGGAACAGATTGTTCATATAATAGCTCGTAACAAGGTGAATACCAACTTACCTCGGCTAGGGCAGCACACGCCGTCTGCAGTTGGAGCATACGATGATAATGGGAATTTTGATGCAAGGTTGACCTAACAACAATCAATTCGGTGTCGACCCTTTTAGCAATGTAAACGCTCACATGTGGGCTTGTACGAAGACAGTCATAGATGTCGCCAATATATTCTCCATCAGATGGCCATATACAGGCACCTCCACCATGCAAGCCAATTACCGGCTCTATCGTAGCTGAGGAGCCTACAGTACATCCAACTGGCAACGATCCCGATTCAGGGTTGGGGTCGTTCAGAGCTAAAATATCCGTTGACGTTGCTTTATGACCCTTTTTTGAACTTACCTATTTTGAACCCTGCCCCTTCTGGTAAGGGACACACGAAGTAGAGTGGTACGGTGGCGCCAGTACTGTGATCCAGCAGCGATACGCAAACCCAACCATCCCGAGTTTCTCGGGCAACGTGGGTTTCCTCTGAAAGGAAATAAATTTCTTCTTTACGGTGGAGGAGATGGGAAGAAATAGCTTACCTGGACAGCTGCAAGTGCCGACACTACTATCCATTCGGCATTTGGCTCCTGGCCAAACAGACTCGCACTGGATGTCATATGTACAACCGGGCTGATTTGGATTCACTTCTGAATAGTTTGATAATTTAGGTGGTGTCATCTATTTATTAAGTTTTAGTTATTTATTTTTGAAATTTGCAAAATGATGAGAATTCCACAGTTCAAATCAGACTCACTTTCATAGCAATAATATTCTCGCATGATGAATGTGCTCAAGCATGTGCATACACCTCCTGAGCAATACATACCCTGAAAACAGCAATTTTTGAAGAATGCAGATATCCAGTAAAGTTTCAGGACTCTTGATTAGGTATTGTCATTAAGACTGAAGTCTTTTAAGATTATATCAAGAGCTTTCTAAGGTTTTTGCCTGTAAAAGAGGAGTAACTCACACCCAAGCAATCAGTGTTGAATTGGCAGGCATCACCGACACGGCCGCTTCCTAAAATTATAACCTAATTCCCTACTCAATAAAGAATGGAGAAAATTCAGAACGTTTTTCGGATAGTTCTGCCTCTCAGATTGGAGTGGACTGGGAATTGAGAAGGGAATTCCCTTTGGCAGTGAAATTTTAAAGAGAGAATATTTTTTAAAGAAGGAATGGAGTATAGCTTCTGAAGTTTATAGAAATTCTTCGATTTTAAGCTCACAATCCTGAAATTTGGAAAAGAGGGTATGTTTTTTTATTATACAAAGCTAATGTTTCAAAAAATTTGAGAAATCTTGTATATCGAGTAAGAGAAGCACCCGTATGAATGTATAACTTATGTTCCAAAGAAATTGCTCAATTAAATAAACCTTGGTTTTGTAAAACTCGATTCTAATCACTTTTAGCGATAGGAAAACTTTGGTTCCGTAGATTTTAACTCTAATCACTTCCAATAGCACAGAATTTAATCATTTTCCAATTGCTTACTAAAGTAAACTGGGACAGTTACGTGTTGTTAGTAGATAGAAACCTTCGCAATAGAAAAGTTTTGCTCATTGTCAGTTGAAACTGTCTCTGGAGAAGAACTTGTGCTTGTGATAAACCAGAATAGCTGCCCTATCAACGCTACCTTTTCCTCTCCGACTTACTTCAAGTTCATAGAAAAAATTTCAAACCTGAAACAGCCAGTCCTTGCATCAAGGGTTCACTCGTCGGGTCAACGCAGCCCTTCCCGTCTTCATAGTATGAACCGAGCGGACATTCCCGTAATACCAATACGGATTTATTGCATTCCAAGAATGAAGTAGCCGTTTGCTTTATAAGGCTGCAAGTCACATGTTGGAGGAAAAATTACATACTTCAGCTGACTTACTCAGTGTTTGGATCACAATATAGCAGAGGATGTGTGCCGGGTTGTAAACATTTGTCTCCCTTCTTGAAATAAAAGCGGCACTCTTCACAAGGTTGATTTATACAATCAGAATAGCAGTGAATGTGGACAGCTAGGACAAGTACGCAAATCAGGCGTACATTGAACCACATCTGTTAGCAGAAAGTACAACCTGTAACTGAAAAATTAGGCTTAACTCATTTATGTTTAGCTGCAATGACCGAGGGGGAGGGAAGAGACACTGAGAATGGGTCGCGAAATTTTTGAAATTCACTTACATGGATTATGAAAATGTGCAAGTTACTTGTTTATTCTTGTTTATTCTTTCTTCTTCGTAAAAAATTGAAATAATTTTTCAAATTTTCAAAAAGCCTTGTAAGAAAAATTTTGGGGGAGTGGTTGCTGCCACTCCCCCAAAATTTTTCCCCAAATACTGGATGTTATTGGCCCGGAAAACTCTAAGAATCACCTCAAAAAATTTTCGGAGTGTGTGGCGAAAGCCACCACCTTCATTTGTAAAAAGTTTTTGCCGCCCCCTTCGGACGGAAATCCTGGGATACGCAACTGGTTAGTTGTATGAGTACATGACAACGGTGAGACTGATAGAGTCTATTAACACATTGACGACCTCAAGCATTAACTTCCGCTTGGGACCGCTTGACATATATGGTGTGTCAAGGCTTTAATCTTTTCTTGCACTAACTCCACGAGTTTTTTTTTGAGCTGGATCTAGAAATAACCTCCTTCTTTTTTCATTTTGTCAGAGTTACTGGTATACTGTAGATGGCAGTATGCTTGATTTTGTCAGGAAAATGTTGCCTTTCTCATAAAATGCTTTACTTCAAGAGGCAAACAACTAAAAATATGCATTGTCGTCACTGTGTTAATATATTAGGTGGTCCCGAAAGTTTTGTCCGTTTTTTCAACCTATCATAAAAATACGTGGAACAAAGATAGGGAAACGCTCTAAGAACTATTCAGTGCAGCTTTTGTTCCTCTTTCTAACTGTCAAGCCCACATGCCAATTACTCTTTTGCTCATTGAGATAAACGCCGAAATTTCGAACCCATGGTTTATACTATATTCAAGTTTGACAATTTTTCAAAATCTTCATTTTCAACTTTTGGAAGACCTTTGATAGCCTTAGATAGAGTAAGCAAAGGGCAATGCAATGCAATTATTTGGCATATCTAGCTGCCTTTTCAATATTTTTCAAGATAATTTTTTCAAAAGTCTTCACTTTTGCGAAGTCCTAAAATACAGAAACGCCTCGAAACTAACAAATCATCGCGTTTTGAAGCTTTCAAAAATCAGTTACGATTATTTACTATTTTTACGAAGCGAATGAGTGCTTACCGCTTCGAAATATAAGATTTTGCATTTTACGTGTACACGCTGGGTGGGATCAAATTCAAGAATTATGTAAATTTTAACGCCAAAGATCCCGCAAATTGGAGAGAAAATACACTCACTAGAAAGAGGAGGAAAAGCTGCATCGAATAACACCTTAGTTGTGCGCCGTTTCATGATCTCTGGTTTTTGGCATCACCAAAAGTGAAATTTGATAGCATCAGAAAAATAATTCTAAGAAATTTTCAAGGCTGGCTATAGATGCCGCAAAATTGCATTATATTGCCCTTTGTTTGCTCTATCTAACTGTCGCCAAGCTTTTCCGAAAGTCAAAAACAAAGATTGTGAAAAATTGCCAAACTTGGACATAGTAAAAACCATGGGTTCGAAATTTCGGCGTTTATCTCAATGAACAAAAGATTAATCGGCATGGAAGCATGACACTTAGAAAAAGGAGGAAAAGATGCGTCGAGTAGTGCTTAGAGCGTTTCCCTATCTCTGTTCCACGCGTTTTTATGATAGGTTGAAAAAACGGACAAAACTTTCGGGACAACCTAATATGACAGAAGTCAAATATCTCCGTGAATTTCAGGTTGATTTTTCCGTTTGGTGCAATAGGGGAAGTGTCTTGTGGTATTAATGTTTTCGAGCCTTAAGACTGGAAGTCAAACAACAGGGAGATAGAAAAAATAAATTCTGATTACAGAACAGCAACACTGCTTTTAGGCCAACAACAAAAATTAAGAACCCCATTTCGGTGTCGATGAAAGCCTCTGCTTTGACCCTCCAATAGGGTTAGCCTTAGCGGATACTCAATTAAAACTCGGTCGCTTAGCGGGAGGCATTCTTTTCTCCTGGGGAAGGCATTCTCTTCTCCTGGCCCTTCAGTTTTCAAACCTACTACATCTCCAAGTAGAACACTTTCACCTTGCGCAATCCGGTCATACCCTATTTCCGGACTCCTTTATGAATGCCCTTGACGCACTCTTCAAAAGCAAATAAATCTAAGTGTTCGCAACTGAGTAGCTCTAGCACGCTGAGCGTCCCTAAACCACATAGGCAATGTCGAATTGAAACATTTGTTAAGTCACTTTGCGAAACGATTCAGTGAGATTGTTCAGCTTCTCTACCTATGATTTCACTAACTTATCTTTTTGGCTGTAAAATTAAGACCAAAGAACTAACGAAATCTTTTCCAAACTTTGTTTGTGCATCAAAATAAAATATCTTGAAAACCTGCATAGGACTATTAATAATAGACTTTACCAAGTAACCAAAAATTGTATTCAACCAACCGAAAAATTTTTAGAAGCTCATATGGATGGCACAGGTGGTGGAAGTGTTTCTGTTCAGAGTTTCATCAAAAATTTACGCAAAATTGACATACACAAACTATTAGGTGAGCGATTAAAGTTTTTGAGGAAAAAGCTGGGACACTTATGAAAAAAATTGCTGAAATGTTGCTAATATCAAAAGCACTGTTCGGTATCACGACTACAAATACTTCTACGTATGCGCATCTATGCTAGCGTTTAAGAGAACAATTATTCTTGAAAAATAAAAAGATAACTGACGTATCCGGTGGTACGCTATGAGAATAAGCTCAATGAAAATGTAGCTAATTGCGAAGTTAGACTTAAGTGGCCCTAACTAAATGTTCAATTTTATTACTTGGTCTTTCGAATGTTCATCTACTTGAAATTTTTTTGAAAACTCTTTGACATGAGCTAGCCGACTATAAGGTGCACTTAGTCTTACATACGAACGATTGCCGGTTTCAAATCATAGGCAGTTTCATGATTTACTGCTGACAAAGCTGTGTACGACCCTAGAAATGTAGATCAGATAGAACAGCTAAAAAAGTTCATGGACAAAGTCTGTTATGATTTGTACTAAGCAAGAAGAGTGCGCAAAGCGAATAAATATCTACGTCAAACTAGATTCAAAGTTATTTCAGCACCAACCGTAACCAGATATGTATTCACGTGGTGAGATAGAAAATATTGCTTTCTGACTGGATTGTATCTGCTATACAAATCTTCAAAAATCTTCTCATGGACTATCACCGGAGATATTTCGTGAAAATTTCAACGTGTCTTAGCTGGAGCACCTACCGCAATATCACGAAGCGCTAAAATTGATTTATAAAGCTGAGCCCTTAAAAAAACCCTAAAACGTTCCTAGTCTTCTTAGCAGGGAACTTCTCGTGAGATATAAAGAAATCGTTTCCCGCCTTCTTACAAGAGAGATGTTTTCGGTCGAAGTGGCCTTTTCGCATGAAAATGATACGACTATGAAGAGCATTGAACGCTGATTCCAAATCTGTCTTCATTATCTGCCGAGCGCCTCTAGACGTTGAGTTATGAATATTTTCTTGGTGCGAAAAATGAACGCATAATCTAAGTAAAATAACATTTTACGGTCTTCTCAGCGCTCAAATAGAGCAGTGTTGAGTATGAGTGCTTTGGATAGAAGGTATCGTTCACATAAAGTGTTTTGATAATCAACATTGGACCATTTGAGCAATTTTGACGAATATTGTCCTAATTGTGCATTTAATTTCTCAGCTCAAAAAAACGCTCATCACTAGACGTCTAGAGGCGCTCGGCAGATAACAAAGACAGATTTGGAATCAGCGTTAAATGCTCTTTATAGTCGTATCAATTTGATGTGAAAAGGCCACTTCGACAGAAAACACCTCCCTTGTTAGATGTTGGTTCAGATGAGCAGCAACTGCAGCGTAAGATCGCGATTAAAATTGTCTTTTATCAAATATGCATTTTATGACTATAAACCATGTAAATTAATTTAACAAGTACTTGTAGTCTCATTTTGAGTGAAAACCAAAGCGCAAGTCAGATAGGCTTCAGTATTCAATAACATCTATAAAGGCATACATTGTGTTCGGAAGACCAGTACGAGTTTCGGCCATTTGCTTATCTATATTCGCAATTCAAAGTTCATAATGCTCAAGGAGTAAACGAACAAAGCCAGATAACCCACTCCTAGCGCTTTTTCATAGAATTTCCTTTTGTTGTACTGCTTAATCAAGATGATAATCAATGTGGAATGAACAATTCTTCTTTGAATCAAAAAAGACTACTCTCTATGGTGCAATCTTACAGCCTCATGATTAACGTCAGCAATAGTAAATATTCAGTTTTTAACGGAAGCAAGTTGCTTTTCCTGAATGACTGCACTTTTTATCTATTTCATGCTATCAATTAATATACATCATCATACTACATTATTTACTTTATTATTTTCTTAATCTATCACTTTTACGTTATACTTTTGACATACTGAAGTATCAAATTGTTCAAGTTGGGGTATCGCATATGCAGCTCACTCATAAACTAAAGGCAGGTCACAACTAAGAGAGGCATATTTCCAATGCTGACCAAGACTCACTTCAAGCAAACAACACTTTAATACAAGTAAAATTCTCAAAAAATGTCCATCATTTTTTCATCACATCCCATAAAATCGCACGAAAAATCTGCCCAACCAAATCGTTGAATAGAACGCCAGTTGCACTTTTCTACCCAGCTCGAGACGAAGACACTCATTTCCACAAAGACTCTCTAGGAAGATGCATTTGTTTGGGATCTGCGTGATTTCTGGCTTCTTCATGTGATTCAGAATAATGCATAAACAGCTTGAAGAACGTCTTTTGTCAAAGCATCAAACAAGACACTTCTATGACAGATAAACACAACGGAAGTAAAGCAGATGATTCGTGATATGATGAGGCGAGAGAGATTTGATGTGCATAAGAAGCAGAAGCGTGACCTTCGCCGGTTGGAGAAGTGTCAAATCGAAGGGGGGAGTGCACGTTTTTGAGGTGGCCGCAAACAAGGGACCAGCGATCGCAAATAGTCCGTTAGGATACCGTAACGGGGGTCAGAATGGGTGTTCATGACATACGGGGATAAATTGGCTTACTGCCACTAAAAATCGGAATACTACAATTTTTCGAAAATTTTAGACTCTTCGAGAGGGGCAAGCTACCGTAACCCGAACACTTCCTCTATGCATAAAACACCTTTCGACCCAAAAACGACCCATCAGTCCAAACAACTCGATTAACTTTCTCAGCGAAGACCTGATTTTTTCTAGTAAGTACTCGGAAATGGAAGTGTGAAGGGCTTTGGCCCTCTCCATCCATATCACCCACAATCGCACCTTACTAGCGACTATGTAAATAGAAGCTCGATAGTCTGTCAACGATCCAGCACTCGGCGAGGTCTCAAGCACCAAATATATCCTTTATTTACAAAGTTATCGAGAACAGTTGGCAACTAGTTGCTGTACGAGTTCCTTACTGCTTCCGCGTACGAGGGGGGATGATCCACATTCCTGTAATTCTTATATATAAAAGTAATCTTATATATAAAACTGAGAATCTGTTTGTCTGTCTGTCTGTCTGTCTGTATATAGTATATCTGTAAGTAAGTTCCGAATAGAAATTTTTATTTCTGAACCGATCCGGACCAAACTTTACACACATACACTTTGGGGCGGGGCGGGTGTCATAACTCCTCTATATCGATTTTATTGATTTTTCAAAAAGTTTGAGCTACGGGGCTGGAAGTTGGCACAGGGGAGTAGATGAGAATGCTGATTACGAATATATTATTCACAGGGCAGGGCGAAGCCGGGTCTGCCAGTTAGTGCTTTCTGTAGAAGCCAATAAAATAATATCAATATGATTTTTTGTTTTTATACCTGGAAACTGCTTCTTCGATGGAAAACGGCGATTGAGGTGCATAATTTGTGCCATGAGGTAGAAAGACTTGCGAGTTGTAGGATACACTCAATGGTTCCTGAAAATATGTATATTACAGGATTGGAGAAAAAGATTATATGCTTTTTGAGTTAGGTATTCAAAATAGACAAGGCCAGAAGTACTGGACGCAAGGTAGCGACCATTGGCAACGGATCTCCTATGAACAGCATTACAACCTCGGAATATCTATCCATATTTCAATGATTCATCTGCTTTGTTCGAAAAAATTTCTGACAGAAATCTAAACAAACTATTTACCACTTGATTCAATGGGAATGGCGGCAGGAAGGGGGGCTCCGAGACTTAATCAAAGTTAGAGAATGATCAGAGAGCACCCTCGCGAGACGCAGAATGCATCGGGAACGCGAGCGGTTCCAGCCGCCAATCCCGTTGAATCAAAGGGTATGTTCATTCCGAACCCTGATTTGCTTTTGTAAAGACCTAAACGCAAAACTTACATGAGTTAGCGATTGTGTTGAATAGAACACCGAATTGGCTGTTGATGGTCGGCTATCTCCTGACCATAAGCTGGGTGAAATATGATGCACAGCACCTGGAAACGTAGTCATATTGGTTTCCATTTGTAGAAAATATGTTGAGGAGATATCGCAAGAGAGTAGCACAATAAGCAGCTGATCAACAAAATTTTGATAGAATATAAGGGTGTAGATATGCAAAAGATATGCCTACTGTTTTATTATTAATAACTTTTCTGTCATAAATTTTTTCGAGAAGCTTTAGGTAAAGTTTGATAGAGCTGGCTCCAACTCAGGTTTTTTTCACAGTATGGAGACAAAAAAGTTATTAATAATAAAACAGTAGGCACATCTTTTTTTACAGTATGAAGCGAATTATGAATCTATCTCCGTTACTGGAGGAGCACGGTAGGAACTTGAAGCATATAGGGCCACTTTGAAAAAGGGAAAGAAAAATGTGTAACAAGATTTGCACGCATGCTGATTTCAGTGCACGAATTTTTGCACTTTCTTAGAGCTTTTCAAATGTCAGATTTTCGACAAATAACAGAAATTCGTCATCATGGTATATCTCGCATAACTTACGAAAAATGCGTTAAGGTGAAGTGCGAGTCATGTTTGGATTTAGCGACTCTGGTCAACCTAGTGTGAGAGTTTTCAACTTCTTTAATTCTATTTATAATCCTTATTTACTGACTCAAAACCTCCTCGAAGTTTCTACCGTAATCCTGCAGTAATGAAGAAGGATTTTTGATTTACGCCATGTTGTACTATCTAACAAGGGAAGGTATATGACTCGCAGTTGAGTTCCCCTATGAGTCATACATCAGCCACAAGGTCTTTGAGCGCTGATTTCAAAACAAGCTTCTATATCTGCTTATCGGTTCACAGAACAAAGTTGGAGACATCTTTCGCTTTCAATTTGCATGGTCAGGTACTGTGTAAATGACCTAAATCGTAATAAATGCGAATTCACTCCAAAGTTTCATGCCCAAATGTGTGGTACCTATTGTACACAAAAAAAACTGGTAGGACTAATTTTGAAGCTCCTCTGCCGCCTTGGTCGTGCAATAAGCAGCAAAATCGGTGTTATTTAGGGGCCAAAAAATGCCTGCAGTTTTGTTCAGGAAACCGATAAGCAGATAAGGATGGCTGTTTGGAAATCAGCGTTCAAAGACCTTTCGATTGATATACATCTCATAGGGAAACTCTACTGCGAGTGTCATATACCTATACATATATCTTCCCCTGTAAGCTGAGTTCAGCTCTTCAAAATGGTACCTAAAGCTTCTCCAAAAACTTCATTACAAGAGAATTAACAACTAAACAATAGGCACATTTTTTGGGACACACTGTATTTTATTTAGCATGATGTCGCCTCATTTGAGGTACTTATCATTGGCTGTTTTACTAATTTACAGATAGAGATCAAAATCTTAATATCATGGAAGATCAATTTGCCCCAGAGTCAAAATCTGAAAGTGAAAAGTCAAAATTCATATATACGAAGAACTCTCGGACTACGCGCGGCGTTCTTTATCGAGTAAGGTTTGACTGAAAACAGCAAAAATCATCGTCGAGCGGCTTCTGAATTTTGTTCGAGAGAATTTTAGCATAAAATCACAAGTATTTCATACCATCCTAGCTTTGCACTAGTCTCATCAGCCATAGATTCGCAGAACTGGATCCATTTACGGTTTTTTTTATAAAACAAGGAATCTGCTTTTTTTGGCGACGAAATGTGATGTGCAATTAGAAAAAATTGATAGTTTTTGATTTACCGTTTTTGGAGTCTGTCGCGTGAAGAACGAAGGCTAAACGTCCAAATATGCAAGCTGCTACGATGAGTATCCACGATAGAGGGTAGGGTAGAAATAACAGCAGGGGGTTCCTGAACAGAAAATAGAGCTTTTAAACGAGACACAATCGTAAATCTATACTAAACTCACTGATTGAGTGCTGTTGACAGAAAGAATATGTTCTCAATTACAATAACAGCTGCTAAGAAGACTGTGAGCACAGCTATGACTATGAATACTTTCCTGAAATCATCTCCGTTGAACTGTTTTCGCAAAAAAAAATATAATAAAATTTCTATTACCAGTAAGGCTTAAAACGCTTTATCGTCGCTTTTGTGATCCATCTGCTTCTCATACCACTACCTAGGAAATGTAGCTAGTTAACCCAAAGTTGAAGAATTCTGAAATAGCCAATTACACATTATTTCGTTCTCAAGTTATGGAGCACACTGCGTGGTAAGTATGCATATACATAAAATTACACGAAATTAAAAAAAAACAACGTTCTTCTACAAAACAGCGCCAGAGGACAGCTCAAATAACCTTTGGATATTTCCAATTTCTTACAAGGGAAGTACACTTAGTCGAAGTGGCGATTCGGAAGATGATCTATACCAATAGACAGAGCTTAAAACGCTGATCTCAGATACACCTTCTATATCTGCGATGCATAGTTCTGAAAACAGTTATGAGCTTTTCTAAAGCCGAATTTCGTGCATTTTGAGTAGCAAAATCATGATAATTTCTACACAAAAAGTGTACAAGCTCAAACAGACCACCTGATAAGCATTGTAGGTCTAATTCGAGCTCATCCGCACGTTTTTGAGTGTTTTCCGACCATGCTGCTTATCCATAGGTCGTCATTTCCTTCCTAGATCACACTTCCATTATATATATATATATATATATATATATATATATATATATATATATATATATATATATATATATATATATGTATATATATATATAAAAGCCCATAACCTCCATTTAGAAGAGTGTCGCAGATATTGAAGATATATTGAGATCATCGTTTTACGTTCTATCCATTGGCGGTTTCCAAAAATTTCCGACGCGATGCGTTTTTCTAGATGGAGGTTATGGGCTTTTTGTATAGATAATGGAAGTGTGATCTAGTAAGGATATAAGGACCTGTGGATGAGCAACATGGTCGAAAAACGCAAAACGTTCGAATGAACTCGAATTAGACCTACAATTCTTAATAGGTGGTTTGCTTAAGCTTGCACACTTTTGTGTAGAGATTATCATGATTTTGCGACTCGAAATGCACGGTGGCTTTAGAGAAGGTCATAACTTCGTTTAGAACAATGCATCGCAGATATAGAAGGTATAATTAGGATCAGCTTTTTAAGCTCTATGCAATGATGTAGATCATCTTCTGAATCGCCACTTCGACTAAGTGAACTTCCCTTGTTAGAAAATGTTTATAATTGTATGCAATCGAGGCGCGCCAAAACAGCTCCAAAAAACGTAACAAGGAGGAAAAACTTGACTAAAGACGTTACTAAGACGTTTACTATTAGGCTGGAAATTAAGTTTTGCAACTGGTTTCATAACTTCACTCTCTTTGGATATGCCGCACTCAAACTTTGGCATTATGTAAAAGGCAATGTGAGCTACAAGTAAGCACAAATAGTCTAAATTTTGAACACGAAATAGAAAAGTTTCAGACGTTTTTCGAAAACTAGTGAAATTTGAGATTTTTTGGGGTTCCAAGCTAGAATGAAGCCTTTAGCAGCCTAGACCAAGCGCAGTAATCCGGATTGTCTGCAAATTATTGCTGGAGGTTGACTTCTTTGGCCCAGTAAAAAAGAAACAAAATTCAGGGGCATGTCGAGATTTGGCGTCCTCACAAAGTCGAACGAGTCGATGTACGCAAGAGCTGCTGGGGACGACCGTCAATGACTAGAGAGTCCGAAGCTCAAATTCCGCCGAGACTTCACATAGTAAGGTTATTTGACCTGCCGAACGCGAATATCATATTCATTTGTTGAATCAACGCCTTTTTCCTTGTTTAGGGTGAGACTCCATATCGTACACCTACAGTAATCCTACAAAAAAGCCTTTATCACGCAATTTCACTATCGTTTTCTTGATCAGCATGTCGGATAACACCCCTATGCCAAGTTTCAGTCAAATCCGTCAAACTTTGAATTTTTCCCCTTTATACCATGCACCTACCGTAACCCTTACCGCGACGTCAGAATTTTGTAGGACAGCAGCTGCGTTTGCAGCTTACGTAATAGCCAAAGCAGAGGCAAAATTTGAGTGCGCCATGTTATGTGAGAGGGAAGTTATGAGACCAGTTGCAAAACTTAGTTTCCAACCTAATATTTCCTGTCTTACTTAATTTCTATATTTTGCAGTGCGAACTGAAGCTTATATAAATGAAAAAATAAAGCAAATTACGAAGCAAATTGACAGCTTGTGAGAGCTAACAAATAGATCCTAGTTAGCTATGTGAATAGGACGGCTTCCCGCGTCATCTATGAGGTTCTTCCTCCGTCGCTTGATAAGCTGTGCGAAGTATGGTAAATATGGGAAAAAAATTATGTGACATGATAACCATGAGAATTTATTAGGCTGTCCCAAGCCAAATTTCTTCTTTAGATAAATTAAGCTGTTTTTGTTTTCCTAGCAGAGTCAGGCATACGATAAAGCAGAGCAAGCTCTATAAAATGACACCAATGATCCGTCTATGTCGTTGTCCACGGGGAATTTGGAGCCGAAAGTAAGAAAAATTTCATTGGTGGAAATGGGGTCCTTGCAAAAAAATCTTACGGACCTTTAGCTTGGTCATCATGCGGTATACACATAGTGATACTCGAAAATGCATTTAGTGATTTTTTTCCTCTCATAAAAAGCGAGAAAAAAGATAGTCCAAGAATGGCAAACTCTGCCCTCAACTCCTTCCACATATGTGACTGCATACCGCAAGCTTCAGTAAGTATAACCTCAAATTTTTATTCCTGTAATTACCCTGGCAATCGATAAATACCAACTTTAATATGAAAAATCCCGAAACAAACGACATTTCTGCATTTTTCTCCACCTACGCATTTTTGGGTATCACTACGTGTGTTGTCTACAGGGCCCGGCACCGAGGTGGCCAAACTGGGTTTTCCAAAACGAATTCCGCTTTGATCCCAATAGTTTTTACAAATACCCCCTTGAGCCCAAAAGTGACGCTTTGTGCTTGTGCAACGAGAGCATCGGCCCCACTTCGCCTGAAAGCGCTCAAAAGCGCCCAAAATGCTCAAATTCCTCTAAATACTCCTCACCTGTGTCAAGATAGAAAACAGGAAGAAGAATAAGCAAGAAAAATGATGAAGAAATGAAAAATATCAAAGTAACGCAGTCATAGGACTGAGAGGCGCCGTTCCCGCCCGTATCGATTGACTGGGGCGCGCTTTCCATCTTAGAAAGCTAGGCTGCTGATGCGATTTCGGGCTCTAACAAAGACAAAAGGAGGGGTTTCGGAACCAAAATCTCACCATATAGTTAACTTTAGGTGCACAACAGCTTTATGTAAAAATTTTGAAAGCCCACTCCAAGTGGGCATTAGGTGGGCAATTGCCACAAAGTTGGGCACGCTCTTCATTCACATAAGTTTTCCATGATTTTACATACTTCGTTTCCTAGTCCTACTGCGCGTATACACAGCGAATGTTGCGCGATTTCGTCATCTATACGTTGCAAACGAGCCATTTTTCCATTTTCTTGATAGTGGTAAATTTTCAAAAAGCTTGCCACAACCTTCAGTCATACAATTTTTCAATGAAACTTCTAAATTAATCCCTGCAGGCCCGTATTCATGTGCCTACCAAGTTTCATACCGTATGGTCATCTGTGCGCTGCAAACGAGCCATTTAAATTCACATCTTCATTTACCAGTTCTGCAAATTTTTTGGAAAAAAAGCTTATTACTCCTCCCATTCACATAAGTTTTCCACAATATTTCACACTTTGTTTCCACTAACCTCTCTTCGTTCGCTTACGTAATTTGGTGGTATATCTTTACGCCTGCATAAAGAACTGATCATGTAATCATGCTGTTTGACGGCATCGCTGATGCGACGTCGCGCACGCGGCAATTAGCGGCAACGCGGCATAGCGCGCGCGAGCTCTGCTGTGCGTTGAGGCTTATGAAAACTATTTCCCAATGAATTAGATGTATAAGGTAAGCATGATTCGACTTTCTTTCGCTTGCACTTGGAATCTTCTTCGGGTTCTGCCTCGGATCCCGCAAAAACGATATCCCCTTTGCTTTTTGGCCCCAAACTAGTTCCAGCTTGTCATTTGCCCACCTCGTGCCGGGCCCTGGTTGTCTACAGTGATGACCAAGTTGAAAGTACGTGAGGTGGTAGTCAAAAAATTTTGATTTTTGGCTTCAAACTACCTGCTTTGAAAATTAGAAACATTTGTGATGGTCATTTTGTAGAACTTTCTTCGCTCTATCGAAGGGTACCTAAGTCTGCCAAAAAAACAACAAAAACAGTTTGATTTACTTAGGTGTTTATTCTTCAGACAGTCTGATATTAGAATAATTGTGAGTTCAGTGACTACCGCTATCAGTTCACCGCTAGCATGTATTTGAAGTCATCCAGTCTCACTGAGTCTAGCGATCCTATTTTATAAGTACCTTGAACAAAATCTAGTAAGTGCTTCAATGTAATAAGAGTTGTGAAGGCTTAATGCAACCATGAGATATTATAGTATATTCCGTCGTCTCAAAATTACAATCTTTCAGACAAAAGTGATTGCCATTTTAAAGCATGCCAAGATTGTCACATGTGTCTGTATGAAACGGGTGATCTTCCAGGACTATGGCAAAGTGAAGAGAAGGAAGATCTAGCACGGTTTGTTTACTAATATTGAATTGAATTGAAATTGAAAGAGTTCAACACACTTCTCCCCGTCTGGTTTTCTGTCGTTCGAGTGGTAGAACACTAGTTGATATTCCAGACTGTCACCTATGCTCTAATAAAGTGGGCTTGCCTTTACTCATAATTAGACGCATGATATCTGACCTGGTCTTTTGTTTTCGTATTCTTCGCGTGGGAATATAGAAGCAAGTAATTTTCGGATCTTCAAATCTGTTGGTGTTAGGCTAGGTGGCTTTAATCTGCATTATAAACCTATCAAGCTACATCAGCCTGGAATAATTCAACTATCTGCTCTTCCGCTGCGCAAGATGGCTTCAGCGCTTACCCGTTGATATTGTGTCAGCGCGTGGCGGTGAAGCATTCAAGAAAAAATTGAAAAAAGGCTGATTTGTCCCAACTTTTGAGCAGTGATACTTCTTTTTGATTGCGTTGCGTTGCGTAATATGTT